GTCCATACAGAATGCGCAAAAAGCTTGAACGATGTAAGCTAAAAATTGATAGCATCCAGAATGTTCTTGATGGAAAGTTGGAACTTGGAGAAATTGAGCTGCCCAAAGTCAAAAATGAAGATGGACCAGTTATTTCTGACACAGATTCCGAGCCTGCTTTCCTACTCAGTGAACTCTATGATGAGTCGTTTTTGAAAGAGTCTGATGATTTTAAAGATGTCGCTTCCGCCAGAAATGGATGGAATGATGATAGAGCTAGCAGTACAAACGAAGCAAGTCTTCACTCTGCTCTTGATTTTGGTGGAAAATCTAGTACAGCTTCTGTGCCCATAACAGACAACACACATGTGAAATCTGAGACTGGCTCTCCAAGACATTCATCCTCTGCTAAAATGGATGAAACTAATGGCCCAGAGGAAAAATCAGAGAAGGAACTGAATGATGATGGTGAGTATTTGATTAGACCTTATCTGGAGCATCTTGAAAAGATTAGGTTCAGATACAACTGTGAGAGAGTTGTTGATCTCGACAAGCATGATGGAATCTTCTTAATAGGGGAATTCTGTCTGTATGTGATAGAAAACTTTTACATTGACGAAGATGGGTGTATTTGTGAGAAGGAATGCGAAGATGAGTTATCCGTTATTGATCAAGCGCTGGGTGTGAAAAAAGATGTCTCTGGAAGCTTGGATTTCCATTCCAAGTCTAGCACATCAGGGACTACAACAGTGAAAACAGGAGCAGTAGGGGGAAGAGCATGGGCATATGGTGGTGGTGCTTGGGGGAAAGAAAAAATGTGCATGACTGGTAACTTGCCACATCCTTGGCGTATGTGGAAGCTTAATAATGTTCATGAAATTTTGAAACGTGATTACCAGCTGCGTCCGGTTGCTATTGAGATATTTAGCATGGATGGATGTAATGATCTCCTCGTGTTCCACAAGAAAGAGAGGGAAGAAGTTTTCAAAAATCTGGTTGCCATGAATCTTCCAAGGAACAGCATGTACGGTACCATCGTTCTTTTCATCTCATTTCTTTTTTTCCTCTCTACTGGATTGAACACAATGCGTTGTTTGTTATTTTTACATTTTATAGCCATTTATTTTTCTCTAGTAAAATGAATAAATCTGTCAATCTACTCACATGAGTTAGCGTGGGTGGGTCTCTTTTTTAAAGCTTACTTTGACTAGTTTTTAAGGTTTCTATTCTTCATTAGTTTGTTTACTAGCATCCTTGAATGGTCTTCTGTTTCTTGGCCGTAGTACTCATGTGGAGTTATTATAGATGAGATTTTCTGTCTTCATTGATCTGCGAAAGTGTAATTTATTCCTTTTTATTTTTTTATCTAGGCTCGACACAACCATTTCAGGATCAGCTAAACAGGAAAGTAACGAGGGAGGCCGGCTTTTCAAATTAATGGCGAAGTCTTTCTCGAAAAGATGGCAAAATGGAGAAATCAGCAATTTCCAATACCTAATGCATCTCAATACCTTAGCAGGACGTGGATACAGTGATCTCACGCAGTATCCTGTATTTCCGTGGGTTCTAGCAGATTATGATAGCGAGAGTCTTGATTTTTCAGATCCAAAAACATTCCGAAAGCTTCACAAACCAATGGGTTGCCAGACACCTGAAGGAGAAGAAGAATTTAGAAAACGGTTTGTGATGTGCATTTAAACTTTGTATAGTGCCTGTTTCCCTTGTGGTCTTCGTCATACATCAATTTTTTCTTGTTAATTTGCTACTGTTTCATGATATCAGAGTTTTATCTAATCTTTGCTTATCATGCATTCTTTTTTTCCTGCTCGATTTCAGATATGAGAGCTGGGATGATCCCGAGGTTCCAAAATTTCATTATGGTTCTCACTATTCTAGTGCTGGAATTGTTCTTTTCTACCTTATTCGCCTCCCACCATTCAGTGCTGAAAATCAGAAGCTCCAGGGCGGTCAGTTTGATCATGCTGATAGACTCTTCAATAGTATTAAAGATACTTGGCTAAGTGCAGCAGGAAAGGGAAATACTTCAGACGTTAAAGAACTAATTCCTGAATTCTTCTACATGCCCGAGTTCTTGGAAAATAGATTCAGCCTTGATTTGGGTGAAAAACAGTCAGGAGAGAAGGTTTGTGCCAGTTTAAGGTCTTTTAGTGGTGTTTGAATTTACCACTTTCCTTTCATGTTGACTTGATATACTTATATTTCCTGCATAATTTCAGGTTGGTGATGTCTTTTTACCTCCATGGGCTAGAGGTAGTGTTCGTGAGTTCATCCTCAAACACAGAGAAGCGTTGGAGTCAGATTATGTCTCAGAGAATTTACATCATTGGATAGATCTCATCTTTGGGTACAAACAGAGAGGAAAGGTACATTACACAATATTTTTTCCCTTTGCCGCTAGTCAAGTAGAATGCAGATATCAAAGTATTGTTATGTTATTTACTTTCCTTTTCCTTTATTGGAATGTTTATTCTCAGGCTGCAGAAGAAGCTGTGAATGTTTTCTATCATTACACATACGAGGGGAATGTTGATATTGATGCAGTTATCGACCCCGCAATGAAAGCTTCCATACTAGCGCAAATTAATCATTTTGGGCAAACTCCTAAGCAACTATTCCCGAAAGCTCATGTCAAAAGAAGAACAGACAGAAAAATTCCTCTCCACCCTCTGAAACACTCGATGCATCTAGTTCCTCATGAAACACGTAAATGCCCATCTTCTATAAGCCAGATCATTACATTCCACGACAAGGTTCTCGTTGCCGGAGCCAACTGTTTCCTGAAACCTAGAGGCTATACTAAATACATAACATGGGGATTCCCAGACAGGAGCTTGAGATTTATGAGCTATGATCAGGACAAACTGCTATCAACCCATGAAAATCTCCATGAAAGCAACCAGATCCAGTGTGCTGGTGTTAGTCACGATGGGCGCATTGTGGTCACTGGAGCAGAGGATGGTTTAGTGTGCGTGTGGAGAGTAAGCAAGGATGGTCCCCGTGGTTCACGGCGTTTACGGTTAGAGAAAGCCCTATGTGCTCACACAGCTAAAGTCACATGTCTACGTGTAAGCCAACCGTACATGATGATTGCAAGCGGGTCAGACGACTGTACAGTCATCATATGGGATCTCAGTTCATTGAGTTTTGTGAGGCAGCTTCCTGACTTCCCAGTTCCCATTTCAGCAATCTACATAAACGACCTTACTGGGGAAATTGTAACTGCTGCTGGAACTGTCCTTGCGGTTTGGAGCATCAATGGCGATTGCCTTGCTGTGGCTAACACATCACAGTTACCATCTGATTCGGTATTATCAGTAACAGGCTCAACATCTTCCGACTGGCTTGAAACAAGCTGGTATGTAACTGGTCATCAGAGTGGAGCAGTTAAAGTATGGCGGATGATACATTGTACTGATCCGGTGAGTGCTGAGAGCAAAACAAGTAGTAGCAACAGAACAGGAGGGCTGAATTTGGGTGATCAAGTGCCAGAATACAAGTTGATTCTACACAAGGTGTTGAAATTCCATAAGCAACCGGTCACCGCGCTCCATCTCACGAGCGACCTGAAGCAGTTACTAAGCGGTGATTCAGCTGGACAGTTACTTTCATGGACAGTACCAGATGAGACATTAAGAGCTTCATTGAAACAAGCTTCATTAAAACAGGCTTCATTAAAACAGGCTTCACTAAAACAGGCTTCATCGGTTTAGAATCCAGAGCAGAGACCAGTAAATCCCCTTTTGGTTTCTTTGACTAGAATCGAAAGAGTTGGCCAGGGAACTTAAGGACAGGGCCACATAGGAGGAAGCAGACCAAAGTCTGAACAGTGTTAGCTCAGAAAGAGAGCATAGCGACCCACTCTCAACTCTGTTGTACTGGTGAGTTTTCAGGTTTGAGAAGGAGAAGGAGAAGAGGTTTGGTTTGAGAATTTGTGTAAATAGATGGGAAGATTACAAGCTTTTACAGGGAAGTGTGTGTACTGTGTACAGTATGGTATTTTTGCGGCCTTTTTTTGTATTCTTACTTAAAATTATTTCTTCTTGAAAACTCATTGAAAATAGCAGAAGCTGTGCAAATTAGTATTTACAGCCCCATCTATATCTGTATTTTCTCAGATGCAATACTTGCATTATTTTTATAGTTTGTAACCTTTTGTGTTCTTCATGTTTTGCTTCAATGTCAATGATAATTTTTTTGTTCTCGAGTGAGAGAGAGAGAGAGAGAGATCTGGTCAGGGAACTTAAGGACAGGACCACATAGGAGGAAGCAGACCAAAGTCTGGCCAGGGAATTTTTTTTGTTCATGTTGGATTTTTTTCTTCTCATATACTATCAATATTTGTTATCCAAAAGCTTGATATATTTAGTAAATCAACAAGTAAACAAAAGACCACATACCTACCACAGAGAAGAAAAGAAATACGACTCGTAAGTCAACGAGATTAATTTTGTGCAGTCAAATGCATTAAAGAAGATTTTTTCTAAATGCATATTAATTTATTAGAGTAAATTCACACAAAACTATGTGTTTGTTTATATGATATAAGTATGTGATATTTTTTTTGTCGAAAATATATGTGATATTTATATTTATGTTTCTTTAATAATAGTAATGATTTTTATAACTAATTCAAATTGATATAAATGATAATAGCTTTCTTTCAGATTTTTACCGAAAAAGAAGATTAAATACCATTTCAAACACTTTAACCATTCAGCCTTTTGAAAAGATCTATAAGTCATAAATTGAAAGAGAGAGAAAAATATGATGTACCTCTCGAGGTTTAAACAATATCTTCCAAAAGATAGAGAAATGAGAATTTTCTAAATTCTTCATTGTTTTCTCGTTTTAACTTTCTTAGAAAGGACTCTGTCTTTACCGGGAAAAAAGAAAAGAAAGGACTGTCTATTTAATAAAAAGAGAAAGAAATCTTTTTAATGAAAGATAGAGACAAAAAAAGATACAGGCATTCAAGGCCATATATATATATACTTTGGAGACGTCAATTTCTGGCCTTAGAAAAATAAAACAGAGAACCAAATTTCTGCCAAAAGCTCTTCTTCTACAAAGACCAGAAGATGAACACTAAGCTATCACTTTCTCAGACCAAGATCCTCACTTTCACAACTCGATTCAACGATACTCGAAGTGGCTTAGATAGACGCTCAAGCATTTCCCCGACTCTCAGCTCCAAGCCTGTCTACTCCGGTGAACTCAAGGCTGCAAAAGAGACAGCAAGAATTGAGCCATCGAATACTAAGAATGCCAGTATTCAGGACAGCTTTTTCTCGAAAATTGCAATCAATTATTTATCAAAGAATCTTCAAGACGCAGCAGGTTCGTATCTATCTCACATCTATTCTTTGATCTTTGCTTGTTTAGTGCATTAAAAAGTTATACTGTTTGAGGAAGAAATCTGAGAATTTTTTCTTCAGGGATTAGTAGTAGCAGTAAGAGTACCGATTATGATAGGTTAGTGGACACGGCAACTAGGGTTGCGCGTAACTTTGACACCAAGCAACAACATGAGTTTGTTCTTAGCTCTTTGGACAGAGCGCTACCGACAGTGATAAGCTCCTTGGTAAGTTCTTATGGATTAATTAAATCAAGTAGCACCAAAATATGAACATTTTAAACATTTCTTGCTGAAATTACAGATCAAAATGGCATTTCCACCTTCAAAACTCTCGAGGGAGCTCTTCGCTCTTTTCACGACGATATCTTTCGTTTGGCTTGTTGGACCTTCAGAGGTAAGAGACCCTAGTTTTTTTTTTGTCTTTGTGAGTTGAAATTATCTGAACATTTTCATGGGTTTTAATTGGAAAACTTTATTGCCAAGGTGAGGGAGACTGAGGTTAATGGAAGAAAAGAGAAGAGTGTTGTGTACATAGAGAAGTGCAGGTTAAGTGTATTCTCTCTATTTGGTCCCACTTGATCACCAAACTTCAGACATAAATCAAAAGCATTCTTCCACAAACAATCATTACATTACAGCAACCACCAACCGCTAATTTTCACTGTTGAGATCAGTAACTTATATCATGTCCTTGACTGTTGTTTAATTTGTAGGTTTCTTGAGCAGTCAAATTGTGTTGGCATGTGCACTCATATTTGTAAGATTCCATCCCAAATCTTCATCAAAAACTCACTTGGAATGCCTATCTACATGGAGCCCGGTACTATGCTGAATCTCATTCGCTTTACTTTATAATAGCAATCACTGAAACAGGAAGATTTGGGCATAGATAAAACAGTACTTGATATCAAACTTAATAATATATGATGAAAATAGTAGCCTGCACTTCTCAACTTGTGGAGGCTTAATGTGATCTTTAGGGGTCCCATTGATTCACCATTAAGGACACCATTAACTACAAGTAGACCCATTAAGTCTTCAAGCTGAATGATGATGTGTGATCATTCTTTCTAAGAAGTCAACGATTTGACTTAAGACACAAGCAATCATTTTCACTTTTTCTAATTAACATTTGTATTGCAGATTTTAATGATCTTAGCTGTAAGATGATGTTTGGTCGGGAGCCTCCAGAGATCGAAGATGATCCTGCTATGAAACAACCATGCTTTGAATTCTGTAAGAATGAAAACCTTCTGCGATCCTCTAATGTCGAATTTGACAAGACAACTTCTTAAACAAGAAATTTGAGAACCTTTATCAACGAGTATTCTCTGGTTTTGCAGGCAAATCAAACAAAAGCTATGGTGTGAAGCATTAGAGCTAGTATTAGAGAGATTAGATATAATTGTGATATCAAAACATATTTAAGTTTTTCTTTTAAAGGTATACCAGATCTTACAATTACAGAAGCAAACCTCACAAATGCCCCAATGAATTTGACCAAGAACAAAAAAATTAAAAAAATTGCAAAAAGATTAGTAGATCTATAAGACCAAACTGATTGGTAGACAAAACCAAAAAACTGACACAACTCAAGGAGAGCTTCTTCTATGGCGCACAATCAATATTGAGGTGTGTAAGAGTAAGGTTGGTTTTGGTTTTGCCTTAGATTCATGTGTCCTTGTCTTCCTTCTCTAGAGTATTGATCCCACATTATCTGTTCTTCCATCAACATCCTCTGTTTCTTTTCCATATCATTCATCTGCACATATGGTGGCGGCGCAACCTCCAATGACGCTGCAAATGGATCCATGGGAACCGGGCTGTTATTGTTTCCGCTGTTTCCATTAGCCATTGCTGGTGCTGGAAGTGCCAACATAGTTGCTGTAATCAATAGAATAAATATGTTAAATCATCAGAATGCAAACGGAAACAGAGCAAAAGTTATAGGGAACTAAAAACAGAGCAAAGTTTTAAGAAAGTATAAAACAGAGAAAAGTCATGTTTCTTTAAAACCTGCTGGTCTTCCTGCAGAACCAAATGCCATACTGCTCGCGCTTCCGCTGGCACCATAAGCCGTCGATGTTTTCACAGCAGCGTTTACAGCACCGTGCTGATACATTCCGTTAAGCAACAACATATCAAAGCCTCCTCCGAGTTCTGACTTTTGTCCTGACAAGTTTGTAGCTGTTTGCACCAAAGCTGTTTCCCAATCGGCCGAATCATCCTTAAACGCTTCCCATCCTGGACCAGACTCTGAACCAGAACCGCTCGCGTATGGTCCGTCAAATAAAGCCAATGCTAAGCTATCTTCAGCTTGTGCTGCTTCACCGCCGTTTGTATTCCCAAGATCCAGTAAATCACCCATTTCTTCTTGTTTCTTCTCTATGATCACTTCTTCCTTTGCTTCTTCCTCAGGTTTTTCGTCTTCTTCTTCTTTTGGTGGAGGTTCAGGTAAGGCCTTGATTGCATTCATGTCTTCTTGCTCTTCATTTACTTCCGCTGTTCTTGCATCATCTTCTTCTTCATCGGCTTCAGAGTTAACAGATTTTGATTGCTTGGTCTGTTCTAGAGCAGATTTGTCTCTTATAAACTCATCCATGAGATCAAGCTTCTTCTGTGTGATCTTCTCTATCTCTGGATACTCAGAAGACCGTGCAATCCCCATGTTCTTACACCAAGAGTAGAACTGATCGAGCTCTTCGAATTGTTTCGAGACCCGACAGAAAATGTCGTAGACCTTGATCGAATCAGGAATATCTAACTCCATGAATCGATCAATCAAAATCCCCATTATCTCTGTTACATCGTAATATATCTGAAAACTCTCCTTCACTATAGGATACAGAGCCACAATCACAACTCTGTTGTTCCTCGCATTACCTGTTAAAAAAGTGTGTTTTTTTCCTTATATAACTTTTTATCCAAGAAACAAACACACAGAGAGAAAGGAACCGTGAGACGCAAGTTATACCTGTTGGACGACAAGCCAAGAAACGGTCAAGAAGTTGCTGCAAATGTTGGATTCTGATGAAAATCTGCTCTGTTTTCATCTCGGCGATTGGTTGTGACCTGACCACGATAGCCGTGGAGAGATCAGCAGCGGCTTGATCTTGTTCTCCTTCTTCAGCTTCTCCTCCAACGCAGTAAACTCCACGTTTCCCATGTCTTGCTTGCATCCTCAAAAATCGAAATGAAAAACACCAAACAGCATATTAGATATCATTCAAATCACATATTTAACTTGAACCCGAAAAGCCATAATCGAAACCTGGATCAAGCACAAGCACTCTTACCTGAAATCAAGCCTTTCGTCAAGGTACAACGCGTAAGTCCTGACAAACGCAGAGTAGTCCCAAGAATTCGACCTCGAAACATCCCTAAAATCAGACATATTGAGAAGCCTGGTTCCGCGGCGAGTGGCGAAGAAGATCTCTTGCTCGTAGGCTTGATCTCCTTCTCCTAAGAGGCGTTGGATCAAAATCAAGGTTTTGAGAGCAACGGTCCAGCATTTGGTTTTGTTAAGACGTCTCGAAAGCGTGTTAACGCAAGCGTTGATGTAACTGCGTGAGTAAGAAGTTAGGCTAAGAATCTCTCTTATGTATTTCTCTTCTGCTGGAAACTCTTCGTGACGAGTCGCTTTGACGATGGCTACGTCAAGTTCTGACAAAGAAGCGCTTCGACCGTTGACTTTGGCTAGACCGACGCTTGTTTGGTCCTTTACGGCTCCTATGGCTCGTTTAAACTTACTCGAACCCATTTTTATTGTGATTTTAATTAGTTAAAATGTATTAAAAAAAAAAAAAAGAATATGTAAAAGAAAAAAGACAAAGATCTGAAGAGAGAAAAGGGAAGAACGAGGGTTGTTTTATTTTGTTTTTGTTTTTCCTCGTCGTTTCCTTTTTTCTCCTCTGTTTCTTTTTTAGTTTAGTTTAGTTTTGATTCTTCTTCTGTGTTTTTGTTTGTTTGTTTCGTCAATGTAGTTTCTTTGTTGTTCGTCGATTTTTCACCATCCAAGTCGCCGAGGTTATTGGAGACTTTGGCCGGTCAGAAGTGCAGCCACGTGGCTTTTTTTTACTTATTATTTGACGGGTCAACTGAAATTTAGTGTGAATTTGCCATTAATGAATGGGAAGAGGGAAGAGAATTTTGATTAAAGAGGAAAAATTCGTTCTTGCGATTTTTCTATGGAAGCCCATGATTGAGTTTATTTAACAAAACAAAATTGATCCAGCCCATTTTTGCTGACATATTTTTAACTCGTGATAAGATTATTTCCAATTCTCCCAAAATATAAACTCTTGTTTTGTGTTTTCAAAATGGATAACGAGTTGGACAATGGTTCAGCACTAGGATGAACAACAACAAGTGGTGAGACCAAATGGCAAAATTTTACACGTGTCATTTTTCAATTGGATAGTAGAAACTTTACTCCATGAGTGCTAGATTTCGGAAAAACGACAAAGACACAGAAAATTAAAAAAACTCTCTTATTTTCTACCACTAACGAGATGATGACGACCCCGACAATGCGGAGAATTTCCCATTATCATTGATAATATATAAAATATAATTAAAAAACAATTATATTGGTTTTTAACATTCTACTAAAAAAGAGTTTGGTAAAAGACCTTTTCCTAATTTGATGTGAATAAATTAAAGAAAGTCAAAACAAAAAGCCCACTTAAAAACAAAATAAAGCCCACTTCAAGTTTCTGGAAGGTAAATAAGAACAAGGGCAAAAACGAAAATAATCGATAAAGTAAGGTCCTTTTATCAAAAATAAAAAAATAAAAGAGAGAGAGAGCATAAAGTGAGTCTTTTTGTCATATCCTTTCTCGTCTCTGTCTCTTCGTCCTCATTAGCTTAAGCATCATCATTCTCCTTCACCTAATACAACTCCACAAAAGATTCGCATGGAAACTTGTTCTTCGACTTCTCTATAACTCGCTACCTTTAAACTCACCCAACTCTACTGAGTCGAAAATTTCAAACCTTTACTCGTTTCCATGGCTAATAACAACAACAACCCACATGATAGCATCTCCGATCCATCTCCTACCGACGATTTCTTTGAGCAGATCCTCGGGCTTTCCAACTTCTCTGCGTCTTCTGGTTCTGGTCTTTCTGGAATTGGCGGAGGATTAAGCGGCGTGGGTCCACCTCCGATGATGCTTCAGCTTGGTTCAGGCGACGAAGGGAATCATAATCATATGGGTGCCATTGGAGGAGGTGGACCTGTAGGGTTTCATAATCAGATGTTTCCGTTGGGATTAAGTCTTGATCAAGGGAAAGGACATGGCTTTCTTAAACCCGATGGTATTCATGGAACTGGTAAACGTTTCCAAGATGATGTTCTTGATAATCGTATGAAACCTGTAAGTTTCTCTTTAAATCTTCAGTTTTTGTTTTATCTTTTTTGTGTTTGTGGTTCTCGAGAAAACAAAAAGTGAAATTAAAATCTTTAGGGTTTAAAAAAGTTGGCGTTTTTGAGAAAACCCTGTTATGAAAGCTAGAATTATGCCGGGATTTGATCTAAATTTGATAGTTACCGGGAGTTTTTGGCTCAGATTGTTGAGATTTCGTTGATATTCGCTTGTTTTTGAAGAATCCCTAGTTCAGTATTTTGATGTTTTTTTTAAGTCATAACTCTTAAATTAGCTTTGCAGGCAACTTTAGTATAAAAGAGTGTTCTTTATGTCCAAATTAGATTGTCCGAAAATCTGCTCTTTAGTTTCTTTTCTCATGTGGATGAAGTTGAAATTTTTGCTTTAACTGCTCTAATGGCGACGGTTCTTGTGAGAAAAGTGGGTTTTAAGCTTTTTCTTAACGTTACTGCGGCATTGTTTTGTGTTTTTGTTGAAAGGTTTTCCATGGGCAGCCAATGTCACAGCCAGCTCCACCAATGCCGCATCAACAGTCTACAATTCGACCTAGAGTTAGGGCTAGGCGAGGTCAAGCCACTGATCCACATAGCATCGCTGAGAGGGTAAGATGTTTGATACACTTTATTATCTTCTGGTCTCTTTTCCTATTTTTATGTGATAATGTTCATGTCTAATGTTTGATCAAAGCTCAATCATAGCTTTTAGTTGAGAAAGTTCTATTAGTTCTTACTTACTAAGACCTAACCTGAATGTTTTTGTTTTCCAACAGCTCCGTAGAGAAAGAATAGCAGAACGGATCAGGGCGTTGCAGGAACTTGTACCTACCGTTAACAAGGTTGGTATCTTTTTTATGGAGCTTCAGCTACTGTTCTCATGTCGCAAATAGAGCTTGACAGAGATCTCAAAACCAGTCAGAAAACTGGAGTTGTCATTGAGATAAAAGCTTTGTGATTGGCATATAGAAACTGCGGTATTCACATCTGTTTCTTTTGTTTTCCTTTTGCAGACAGATAGGGCTGCTATGATCGATGAGATTGTGGATTATGTTAAGTTTCTCAGGCTCCAAGTTAAGGTAAAAACCCAGTCATTTTTCAGTTTTCTATTTTCTGGTTTTTGTAAATGTTATCATGAGAAGTTTGTTAAGAGATTATTTAAAATAGCCAGAAGGATTTGGTGGTATAAAGCCTTGGTCCCCACCACCACCCACTCTCTTCAACCAAAATACCAATCTTAATAAAAGATTATAATTGTTTAATCTGGTAATCAAGTGTAATCAAAGAGCACATGATTATGTGTGTTTTTGGCAGTAGTCTCTTTCACTTTTTATTGCTTCCCTCCCAGGGAGAATCATCACAATTGAGGACTATGGTAATAAAGCTAATGAGAACATTGAAGAATATTATGCAATGATGGGCTTTGATATTATTTTTTCTTCATAAGCTTTATCTCTGGTCAACTACGGCAGGTCTTGAGCATGAGCCGTCTTGGTGGAGCCGGTGCTGTCGCACCACTAGTCACTGAAATGCCATTGTCATCATCAACTGAGGTTAGACTAGAGAGAGACTTAATTAAAGGACAGAATAAAAGAACAGAACTTCGTTGATGGGTTTTTTTCACTGACTTTTGGTGTAAAAACTTTCTTCAGGATGAAACGCAGGCCGTGTGGGAGAAATGGTCAAACGATGGGACAGAGCGGCAAGTGGCTAAGCTGATGGAAGAAAACGTTGGAGCAGCGATGCAGCTTTTGCAATCAAAGGCTCTTTGCATAATGCCGATCTCATTGGCAATGGCGATTTACCATTCTCAGCCACCAGACACATCTTCTTCAATCGTCAAACCAGAGATGAATCCTCCACCCTAGATTCTATTTTATCGACAGCATCCAACAGTCCCCAGCTGAAGATTGACATTTTGCTCTGTTTCCCACTACTAGACTTTTGTGACTGATGAAAGGTAAGTAAAAAGGCATTGGAGATGGAATCTAAGTTGGATTTGTGCAGTAAGATGTAAAAATGGGATTTGTCAAAAGAAAGGAAAAAGCTCTCGCTTGCTTGCTTGGCTTTTTTTTTTTTTGTGCAAAGCTTGCTTGGCTAATATTTTATTATTTTGATGAAAGTAACTCTTTTTGGTTCAAAGTCTTTAGTATCATTTTCAGGACGAAGGGCTTTGAAGGTAGTAAAGCTAGCTGTAGTAATAGTAATGAAAGGTGTTGGATCGTATTGATGAATTATGTAAAAAAGCAAGTAAAAACAAATGTTAGTAGTATTATATTATGTTTTTTCTTCTCTTAATTTTCTTGCACTAATTTGGATAGATCATCTAACTATTCAAAATGATATAGTTGGGAGCTGGACTGATCACTATAGTTATAATATTTGATTTTATCCACTGGAAGTGTATAACAAAACACGTCTGAACAAAATCCGTGAGTATGCAGAGACAATTAGCATACACAGTTTACTGCAAACAAAATTGCTTACCGGAAGTTTCCATTACAAGGAAAAGACATTCTTCCCTTAAAGCGCAAGATTGTGTCTTCGTTATTCATCTTACTCTGTTTTTATGCAATAGCCCCCAAGAAAGTAGATTCAAATGTTGACAGATCTGATCAGTAAATCAGCGTTTGTCTTTGACTTTATTATCAGCTCAGCGTTGGGTCGATCGTTATAATCCACCTGCCATCCAAATTTGAAAAAAAAGAAGCAGCTAGATACCATGAACAAACCATTGAAACCATGTAACTGAATATTAAGTAGAGTACAGCCAGAGCTTTTACCCGCCATTTAGCAACATCCGGTGGTTTACCTGTAATTCGCATAGAAGGATAAGGGATTGAACAGAAGCGAGATTCTCTGAGGTCATTGCATTCTTTAAGAATGGAAAGAAGAAATTGTACATACCAGTTGAGATATGCCGGTTCTCTACACGTTGCATTGCTGTATCGAGATTCACATCGATGAACCTTGAATTGAAGATGGAAGACATTAATTGGTAAAACCGAACTCAAACACCACGAGTGAGAAAGGAAAAAACACTTTTGATTAGTCTTACCATTTCTCATCAAACATATCTGAGATGTCTTTCCAAGACCCTTCTTCTAACAAGATGTAGTTTCCTTCTACAATTACCACTTTATGCCTGTAAGAAGAGGACACAAAGTAACTAATGTCTCGGGAATATGCAAACAAAACCATTTCATATGATACTAGATTTGGATTTGACAGATTTAGGAAGCTACTGACTACTTACTGGAGGCTAACAAAGATATCATCTTCAACTGGATCCCCAACTCCATGATCGAATGATGGCACATAAACTGAGCCCTGGACAGCTTGAAAACTTATCAGAGTCTAATGTAAGTCTCCTAACTCCAAGATCCTAAGGTCAACAAGATCTTGTAACCACCTCTTTACCTCGTTTTTCAGCTTCTTTAAACAGTTAAGTAGTAGCGCAGGATCAAAAGTCCAAGGAGCTGATTAATGGATAGAAGAGTCAAACCAATTTTGAACATTTCGAAAAATCTCATGTATAAGATAATTCTAACAGATCTCACCCCCTCTTCTGGCATGGGCTTCTTTGGGATCCTAGCGTGAAAGAACAAAATTCTCTTTAAAAACAAGGAGCAAGAGACAGAAAGAGCGAAATATAACTCAGCAAAATATTACGAGCCCAACCTCCATAGCATCGAGTTGCGAACGATACAAATGGAACCCATCCATGGGAAGTACTATAGCAACATCCGACGGCTTAACCTCAGCATCAAAAGAAGAAGCTTTCTGAGGCCATAGCTTATTTACACGACGCACAACTTCATTTGCTAATGTGCTTTTTCCGGCACCAGGAGGACCAGCCAAACCGACCAAACGTCTACACGAGTCAACACACATAGTTATTAAAGAGTTATCAAAATGCTCGGGCTGCTAACAAAACATCTGGAACACCATTTATAGAGGGTTTCCAACAGTAGCAAACTTACTTAAGATTGGGGCTAAACATTGCTGCTGCAGTGGGGACAAGACGTTCCGCCAACTTATCATATATCTCATCCATACAACTTCCAAGGAGAAAAAAATTGTGTGTCAATACTTTGGTAGAAGCAATGAGAAGAAAAGTGAACAAAAACACATATGTATTTGACAGGAAACAATAGATACAATCATTTATCCGTTTCTTGAGTCTTACAAATACAGAAGAAGAATCTAATCAAAACAACTCATCAAAGAAAAAGGCCTCCTGAGTCCTGAGTATAAGTTTGGATCGAGAAAAGACGGGTCTAGAATCGGCCCGGAACAGTCTAATCATCTTATAAAAGAGTAACTTGTTGACCATAAACTATAAGATTCTATACAATGACTAGATATCTGCAAGTTACTGAGATGGGTAGGAGATTGATAATTACACAGTAGTAGTGAGATTTTACCTTCCATCAACAACAGTGACATCTTTCTTCTGACTGCAAGAAATCTGCAAGAGTTGACACAGAAGATTAAGCAAAAGACAAGAGAGTGAATATGAATCTAAAATTGAAAACCCACCAAAAAACGAGGGGTGGTCTTTCTTTTTCGAAAGCTCAAATGAAGAGGAACAAGAGATTGGTCCCATAAGTGAACGTTGAATCCTCTGAAACGAGACAATTCTGCAATATGAATCCAGAAAAGGGGAGATTGATTAATATCAGGAGCAAGCAAGCTCTTAATCAAAACCCAACAAGGAAAAACTGAGAATTGTGAAACCTGGAGGAATAGAGGAGCGTGAGTTACAGTATCTGGGTACAGTGGAGAAAGAAGAAACCTCCATTGATGGATGTACAGATAAAAAAAAATCTGAAATTGTCACTCAAAAAGCAGTAAAAATTGAAAATTTGCGAACGAAAGCTATGAAATCACAACAGTTGCGAATCAAAGTTCCGATTTTTTGTCTTCGGGGAAGAAGAATTTGGCATTGCAGGATAATAATCAAATATAATATTTTATTTAATTGCCACGTGTCATGCTCCTTCGCTTCTCGGCGTTGAATTTCACCAAAAACTTACCAGCGGCCCACTGGGCCAGGATCTGGCCAGTTCGATTGGTTTAATTAATGGTCCGCTAAATTGGAGTACGCAGTTGAAGTTACCTCTAAAAAACATAATCGGCCAATTAAATCAAAATTCATGTGTGACCTCATGTAAGTAAATAAGCGGCCTTTCGAATTTCCATGGAGCCAATTTACTTTATATACCACAAGGATCTTGAAATATATATACCAATGAACTAGGGGAAAAAAAAGAAGATTATTATTCATCCATTCCATTCCATGCAAAAGCATCGAATTCAAATATGAATAAATGTGTAAACTCATTTATGTGAGAGAGATACGTGGCCTGTCATGTTATTGCCTTGTTGGAATATTAAACAGCTTACCAGTGCTTTTTCATTTTCTCCGCATATACGCATAATTTCTTTGGATATTATTTGATACATTATTTGAAAATTTAGATTTAAGAAAATAGAAATAAATTTCCGGAAAACAAAAGCAAGTTGGGTCCAATTGTAATCTCTTCTTCATGTCGAATATGTTCTCGATAGTATGGATCGAACAGAGACCTTCTTCTACCGACGACACGTTCCTCCTCACTATCTCGTTTGGACTCTTTTAGGTTTCCCAATTTCATTTATTTTTGTTCTTTTGTCTCGTGAAAAAATAGTGCATTCGCATTCATTCCTACACATTTCTTTATTGTAAATGCAATTTACCTTTTATCAACCCCAGAAAAAATTGAGTCATCTTTATATGTATCATCTAGGCCAATGACGGGTCTGTTAAGGTGATATTTTTTGTTACTATTTCGTAGTTAACTCTCCTAATAAGTATAATTTCTTCATTCATCGTATGTTGGATGATCGTTCGAAATAAAGTCTAAAAATTAAACTTGAGAAGTACATATATGAAGTTATGAACCAAACCAGTTTTAGGGCAAAGTACAGATATATGAAGTTATGAACCAAACCATTTTCAGGGCAAAGTTCATATGGGAGATGCATGTGAAAGATAGAATCTTTAAAATAGATCAACTTGAAGCTGCAAGTACATATATGAATCATTTTCCTTTTGTAATACTCAAAAAGAATATATGTTGTGATTGATAACAAAGTGGAACAATGAAGTTGTGAATTAGTTAATTTACGTTTGAACTGAAAAAAAAAAACACGTGAATGAATACGGAATTGACTACTTCTCATATATATAATTTTTAAAAAATAAAAAAAATTAAATAAAGGCAATAATAACATGAACTTCTTTATTGATATTAGAGCCTAATTTTTCAAAAACTCGCATTGAAAGGGTCAGGATCACTAAATAATGTGTGCTACAAAGCCTACAAAACTACAAGTATGATCTCTACCCAACGTTGTATTTCTAGAGTACATTTTGAGGGAAAGAGTTTCACGATCACGGTTTTATTTGATTAATAAATCAATCAAATTTGAGTTTCCATATTGTCAGTTAAGTCGCATAATTACATGCTAATATTAATATAGATTGAGATTGTTGGGAGAGTATATAGATTGGTTCTCTTTTCTTGTCGGTGGAATAATACGAACGTACAAAGGGGAGCATCTTCCTCGTGATCAATTCTCCTGCTTGTACGGCTTAAACGACAATGGCGGCTCTTTCGTGGTATATATTGTCATCATAGACTCATAGTGTACGTATATTGAAAAAAATTCTTCTAATTTCAAAAATGAATTTATTGAAAAATCGAAAACGAGATTAGAATCTTTGTTGATTGTGGTTCTTTTTCTGATAGGGCCTCCAATGTTCTTCAACTTTCCTCTCGCTCTGTCATTTCAATAATCTAGTGATTTTTTTTCCCCACGGGGCCATTTCAGTGATCTATTTTGCAAAATAGTCCCAAAAATCGAAAGATAAATATTGAAATCCCCAATGTTATTTAATGTGCTTATTTCCCCCTGTGTAAACTTTTATTGAACTTAGGGTTTGGATAAACAGAACCGAAAATAAGTTTAGAATATTCAATTCAAACTATTCAGTTTATTTTTCTTAGATTGAAAAAAGGGGAAATTGACAAAAATAACACTAAAATAAGTTTTCTTCTAAAAATAACTCTACATTTGAAAAGTTCCACAAATAGTACTATAAACTTTAATTAGATATTAAATAGGGGCTTTTGCAAAAATGCCACTTTTTCAATGTCACTTTTCAACAATACCCCTTTTCAACAATGCCAAAAAATTTTTTTTGCGGGAAAAGTGATTCCGCAAATTTTTTGGCGTTAAATTTTTGGCGGGAAAAATTTACAAGGTATTTTAAAGGGTTTTTACAGGGTATTTATAAGGTTTTACAATGTATTTTAAAAGGTTTTACAACGTATTTATAAAGTATTTATAAGATATTATAAGATTTTACAAGCTATTTTATAAGGTTTTACAAGTTATAAGGTTTTACAAGTTTTTTAAAAGGTTTTACAAGTTATAAATACCTTATAAAACCTTATAAGTACCTTGTAAAACCTTTTAAAATACATTGTAAAACCTTACAAAACACTTGTAAATATTCCGTAAAACCTTTAAAATACCTTGTAAATTTTTCCCGCCAAAAATTTTCCCGCCAAAAAAATTGCGGAATCACTTTTCCCGCAAAAAAAAATTTTTGGCGGGAAAATTTTTTGGCGGGAAAAATTTTTACGGGAAAATTTTACAAGGTATTTTAAAGGTTTTTTCAAGTGTTTTGGCGGGAAAATTGCGGGATCACTTTTCTCGCCAAAAAATATTTTGTATTTTGTGGACCTAATTTTGTTTCAAATAAGGGTAAAATGGTCATTAAAAATTAAAAGAGGGCAAACTTAAAAATGGACTCTCAAAAGGGGCATTTTTGAAAAGGGGTATTGAAAAATGGGCATTTTTAACAATTTCTCTTTTTTTGTATTTATTTATAATTATTTATTAATTTAAAAAATCAAAAATAAGGTGCTATTTTGGTCCAATAAACTTTTGAGTGTTATTATTGTCCAAAAAACTTGATTTGGGCTATAAGAGACAATTTCTCAAAAAAAAAAAGAAGGGAAAAAAAACGAATACAGTATTTAAAATTAAAACTACAACTAGTTAGTACATACTTATTAGAAAACCAAATCTTCAAATTAATCAACTCAAGTATTGCAATTGATTGTTATCTGTTGACAAAACAAAAACGGTTATCTTTTTAATTTGATCTCATATGGAGGTTAGATTGGTACCCAATCTGAACAAAATCAAAAGTATAAAGCATTAATTGAAAACAATATAGGGTTTAACAAGCAAATCATGTAAAATAAAAGGGGCTGTCAATAATTTTTCCGAGACAAAATTCCTCTATAAATATACCAAAGATTTTCCTAGAACCCAGACTCAAACAAAATCTCCCCATTACTTATACCAATACACAGAAAGTAACTTACACTAATACACACACACATTAATTCAGACAATACCAATATAATGGAGAAGATATCAAATTTGTTAGAAGACAAGCCAGTGGTGATATTCAGCAAGACCTCGTGCTGTATGAGTCACACGATCAAGTCGCTCATATCTGGTTACGGTGCGAATCCAACGGTGTATGAGCTAGACGAAATGTCTAATGGATCAGAGATCGAACGAGCACTGGTCGAGCTTGGGTGCAAACCGACGGTGCCAGCTGTCTTTATAGGGCAAGAGCTCGTAGGTGGTGCAAATCAACTTATGTCTCTTCAAGTCAGGAACCAACTAGCCTCGTTGCTCCGAAGAGCTGGAGCCATATGGATTTAAGACTTATGGATATGAAGCAATCACGTAATGTTTTTATTTCGATATACATAACCATATATCTTTTAGTATCAGTGTTTGAAGCATATATATATTAAGTACAAGAAGAAGAAGAAGAAAAGCAATTTGGTACAATTTCGCTTTTGTGTTTTGAATGCAATCGCAAATGTTTAGGAATAAAGTCGTATCTGCATAATATGTATTTACCCGGCCGAGGATGTTAAAGTGATATATCAGTTTTTGTTTATTTTTGTTTATTTATATATTATGATTATTTATGCCTTGTGTTTTCCTATAAGTTATCAACTATATATATATGTGCAAGAATTTTATATTGTACCATGTGATTATTGACATATTATTTGGTTGAAGAAATATTATGATATAAACGTTGGCACTGATGTTAAAAAACAAAAAAAAACGTTGGCACTAAATATTCAAGAAAAACAAGAAGTTGTGTTTCATTTCATATGTATAGTATCTTAAGATTCATGTCATACAAAATCAGAAATCATGGACTGGTAGAAGCAAGCTGAGTCTTCTTCATCAATTGCGATTTCAAGTTAACAAGAAACTATGGTTTTCTATAGGTTTTACCGTAGGATTTACTTACAAAAACAAAATGGGTGAAGAGATGATTTAGTTTCAATTTAGTGAATTGTTCATTTATTTCCTTTAATAGTGTGATCTTATCGAGGTTTAGTGCAAATTGACATTGTGCAATGATTTATCTAGTTACCGCAAATTCTGATATATATTTTGAGAATTCTGAAACAAATTAAAGCTTAAAAAATAAGAAAAGAAACTAGGGTTTAGGACAATGTAAGTGGTAAGAACGGCGTCGTGTGAAACGACAATGTAAACGGTGTCGTAAATAGGACGCCAAAATAAAACGGTGTCGTATTAGAGTTCCAGAGTATGCAATGCTCTCGCGCAACATGCAAATTTTTATACAAGTCTCTAGCAAAGATCGGACAAAACACCATCGCTCACATTTCACAAACACAACTATAGAAAGCTATACATGCACACGCAATCACAAATGAAACTCCCCAACGATAAAAACCCATTCACTATATATGCTTTCTTTAAAAATCAAGAAACAGAGTGTCGTCTTTTTCTCTGAAACAAGAAACGGCTCTCAGAACTTGCCTTGCCACTCAAGGAAGGTTTAAGACTACTGAAACTGAAAAGAGAATTAAGTTTGCTTATCTTTTTAGCAAATGACTTGAAAAGCTTAGTCCCAGGATTGGATTTCACGAGTTCTTGTTTAATCGAGATGTGATCTTTCTCTAGATCCGTTAATCTCATCCTCATCCTCGCAACCTCAAGCTTTAGCTCTCTGTTTTCCCTCCTCACCGACGCATAGTTATCTCTAGGAGATATCGCTCCGCTTCCTTGTGATCCAAACAAAACAGACAAACATAAAGTGTTTCAGACAACATCAGATGGTGTTACTAGAAGAGGTTTTGACATATGTTTGCTTATAAATTACCTGCTCCACTTCCTGACCGTTGAGGAAATTGATGACAGTTACTGTTGAATAGAAACTGAGTAGGACCAATGCCACTGCTCATTGCGTTTCTGAGTCTGATCTGTTCAAAGTACAACACTTGTACGGCCATTTGCACAGGTAATCTCTCGTTTTGAGCTGCGTGGCTACAAGCTTCTTGTGATAGTTTCTGTGAGTCTATCGTCTTTGTAAGACGATAACGCTCTGAATCCTTTATATTTGGATGAACCTGTCAAAAAGAAAACACTTTATATGAGTTTTGACAGTTTATAGAATTTGAGATTGATGATTTTCTTACTTTGAGGTAAATATCAACGGCTCGATAGAGTCCATCACTGACGATACGAGCATGATCTGGTAAGAGTTCTGCTAAAGCTATGAACTTTGAGGTTGTGAGATTCGGATCCATAGCTATCTCAGCTAGATAGTTATCCATTAGCTTTGATACTTTCAAGATCGAGCTCTGTTTTGGAGACCCGGGGCTGTCAAAATCGTAGATCATCTCTGTTTCATCTCTAAATTGACGTTGATGATGTTCTTCTTCTTCGTCATCTTCATCGAGGTTCAAGAATATAGAGAAGATTCTCAAGATTGAATCAATGTCGTACATCGTGTTGTTGGTTCCGTTGAGATTTATCGGAATCAAGACGTCTTCGAGGATGGCTTGGTCTAATTGCAGACCGATTCTTCGTTCTAGATCCGATCTACATGATCCTGAAGAAGCAGATGATGATGTTGCGATGACCATTTTGAGAAGACTTGAAAGGAAGGCCATTGGAACAGAGCTTCTTCTTCCTTGTGTAGGAAGTAACCTCACAATTGTTTCCACAATTAATCTCTGTTTCTTCTTACATTCTGAATCAAGAACCCTTTCTTTCTCCAGCTTTGGATCGCGAACGATGAGCCCTTGAAGAGACTTATTCGTGTAACTTATCAGAATCTTGCTGATCACGTCTTGTATTAACCCTTTAGACTTAACCGCAGAGACAACTCTCTGAAAGAAATCAAGATTCAGAACAGCTAGTGACTTCCCCCACCAGTCTAATGGAGTTTCTGGTTCAATATTTGTACCCGAAAACGAATTATCGAGCTTTAAAAGACCCGATGTTAGCTGTTCTTTGCAGGCATTGTTGGCAATAGCTATGATTAACCGATTAACCAAGTTGAGATCTTCAGAGACTGGGATTAAGGTTTCGCAGTGATGTAGAACGATGATGGAATTCAATATACTCGGAAAGATTGTCTCTTTCAAGAAATGTTCTGTTTTCGCAGCGAGATTCTCCTCGGAGAAATCCTCAGTCATCTCTAGATAATGAGATGCACAACGGAGCTTAGCTATATTAAGAAGGTTGATTTCAATGTTGATTCCATAACAGAACTTAGCTGCGAGCTCAAAAGCCTCAGATCCTCCAGGAGCATTCGAGAGACAAATACTCGAGATTTTTGGATCCACGAGAAGCTTTCGGATTTTTCCACTCCGAGACACAAGAGGAAACTGAGAAATCAAAACAGCAAGAAAACCTCAATACAACTCAAGAACAGAGAATACTCTGTTTTAAGGTTCTTGTGTTTGCTTTTACCTTATGAAGACAGAAACTCGAAGATCCAACTTGAACTGTAAGATCACTAGAGACATCGGATATCGGCCTGCGAAAACAGATAAAAACACATCAAGATTCTGAGAATTTTCGATAACAAAAAGGATTTCTGAATTACGAATCAAAGAGACTTGAATTTGATGATCATATAAGAACTGCTTCTGTATTCCATGACTCCGACGCTAAGATGCTAGGATAACGAAACAGTGAATTTATCGCCAAAAGTAGTGTAAACTTTTCCTGGTTTTGAAGACATATTTAGATTCAGAGGGGACATGTAAAAGGTTGTGTCAACATCCAACTTTTTCAAATAAAGACAGAACCAGAACCAGATGAAGTGTTAATGTACGGATATGTTCCACATAGATACAAAATAAGACGGAGAAATCATTGGTTTCGATGAACAGAAAGACTTTAGCAATAAATGAATTGTGGCTACAGATTCACATCACATACAACATTGCTAAAATTTCATCAGAAAGAACAAATCTTTTATTCGTTTTCTGACAGTTTTATCATCGAATCTGCGTTGAAGAAACAAAGATGTGAATGCAGAAAAAGCAAGAACCATTTTTACGAAATAGTGTTGTTATTTTGGTAATAATAGGTACAAAACTGGTTTTTAAAACAGAGTATATATATATATATTACCATTCAGAGGCATGTCTGATGCTTGAATTCAGACGAAACCCTCTCTTTCCTGTGAAAGCTGGCTTTAATTCTCCGACTGTAACAAGTCCCATCTCTCTCTCCTTTCTCTCTCTATTCACACAGAAGAAGAATAAGAAGAAGAAGAGCTCTTGCGGTTGTAAAGGCAGTGAATGTACGTAGTTAATGGATGTAAAAAGGTAGAGAAAAGGGTTTTGGTTAATTAATCTGCTAATTACGTGTAAAGCTGAGATCATTATTATCACAGATAAAATTAACTCAAGGAATAACAATACATGCATGTACCTACATTAAGTTGCTAGTATCCTTTGAGGCATTTTCCATCCATTATTATGGGCTAAGTAAGGTTTCTTCTATTAAGATTATGTCCACTCTCTTGTTTCAATTTAACAAAAGTTTAAGACGATCATTAACTTAAATTTTCTACATACTCCTTTGTCTACTAGGTTTTCTATGGAATATATTTGTGATGCAAAGTTTTCTAAATATAAACAATACATAAGGAATATATTTAGTGTCATGTGAATAATTTTGGTGAGACCAAGCTTTAAGATCACTCCATGCTTTAGTTATGAAAAATGTAATTGTTTGTGTGTGGTCCAAACAAAATTAGGACCTTTCCTATGCTTTGGTTAGGAAAATAAAATAAAGAAATAGAAAGCAGTAGTGATTACACCGATTGAGATTTATATTTAGCTTTAAGGCTGTTTATGTAATGATGTTAGGCTGATCGCAATTCTCGAGCCCCTCGAAACCTATAATTTTTATTTAATATTTATGGTAATTATGATTAATTAGATAGTTATGTTGTTGACCAATAAATTACTGGTATTGTTTACTAAACAGATTCTAGTAAAAAAAACTTTGATTAGGAACAAATAGTAAAAACTAAAAACAAATTGTAGTATTATTTTCCTGAAGTGGGTCCGTCATCTTCCCAGTATCATTCTGATCCTCTTCATCGGGTCGCGTGCTGTGAGTATCGTCGTCTTTGAATAACTTGAGCGGAACTTGAAGCTTGTAATGGGAAATTAGGGTTTTCTTCTCTTTTCTACCTTTGCTTAATTAGGTGAATTCGATTTGATTCCGTTGCAATGGTGGAGAGACGGAATCCTTTGGTTCTATCATCCACCAGAAGCACACTCCGTTCAGTGCTCAATTCGTTACAAACCAGCTCTGCCGATGGTGACCGAGTTCTGAATCACGACGGGATTGTTTTGGGCGGATCCGACTTGTCACGAGGGAACGTTAATTTGTCTGCGGGAATTCTCCGGTGGCGGATGGATGGAGAAAATGTTTCCGATGCAAAATTGGATTCTTTAGATGACTCTGCATTGGTTGGACTCTCCACTCAATTGCTTAAGAGACTATCTATCAATTCTGGTTCTTTGGTAAGTCCTTCTTATCTTGTTCAGTGTAACAGAAATTGGATGCTTTTCTGGAATTAGTCGATTGATAGCTTTGTTTATTGACTCGCTTAGCATTCTGTTATGTACAAACTTGTTGTAGCTTTTGATGTTGAGTTTTAAAAATGCAAGGTTGTTATCAAGAACATTGAGATAGGCATTCAACGGGTTGCGCAAGTTGTTGTACTTGATCCTCCCAAGACGACGCTGGAAGATGCTTCTGTCTCTGAATTACCTGTTTCGGACTCTCTTCATACCATGCTTGTCTTTCCCACTTATGATTTGATGGCCCAGCAGTTATTAGATCAAGAGGTTGCTTACTTGTCCCCAATGGTAGCTTTTAATCTTAGCTTGCATATATCTTGCCTGAAATCCCTCGTCCACCGAGGGAACGGGGTCTTAGAGAAGTATTTTGAAGCTAAGTTTGACGAGGAGTTTATCGGAAAACCTGCGGCAGATGGGTTGAAGATTGGTTTGGGTTTGGAACCTGTGTCTGATGTTCCAGGCTATGCATCACATCTGAGAGTTTCTTTTGTTAAAATCCCAGAGTGTGGTACCATTCAATCCCTGAAAGTCAATTCTTCATTTGAAGCTGAAGAACGACAAGGGTTAATAGATTCTGCATTACATAAGTATTTTGGAACTGATAGACAGCTGTCAAGAGGCGATATATTTCGCATTTACATCGACTGGAATTGTGGTTCAAGCATTTGTATTCCATGTAGTCAAAGGTTGTGCTCTGAAAGCGACGACTATATATATTTTAAGGTGATAATTTTTTTCTATTTTGCCAGAAAAAGACTCATTTTGGCCAGAACTTACTGAAATTTAGTTCCTCTGCTCAGGTTATCGCGATGGAACCTTCTAATGAGAGGTTTCTTCGAGTCAATCACTCCCAAACCGCCCTTGTCCTTGGAGGAACTGTATCTTCTGGTCTCCCACCAGATTTGCTGGTGTATAGATCAAAGGTTCCTATGCCCTTGCAGGAGGAGACAGTAAATATTTTGGCATCAGTGCTTTCACCACCTCTCTGCCCATCAGCACTCGCCTCAAAACTCAGGGTTGCTGTTTTACTGCATGGTCTGCCAGGTACATTTGCTTCTGTTTCATCAAGAAAATTCTTCACTTTCATATCTGTGCTTAAGGGCTAAACTATTTCTGGAAACAATGTTAAGGCAAGACTAGTAAGAGACTATGTTTCTGTGTTTACAACTATGGTAATATGGGAGAAGCCATAATTCGACCTTTTTATGCTTTATGCACATAACTGAATCACGTGCTAATAACTTTTTGTATCTAATGCTTGCTTAAGGGTGCGGGAAGAGAACTGTTGTTAACTTTGTTGCTAGGAGGTTGGGGCTGCATGTAGTTGAATATAGCTGCCACAGTTTATTAGCATCATCTGAGAGGAAAACATCTACTGCTTTGGCCCAGACTTTTAATATGGCACGAAGGTAAAACTGTATACTCTTGTTTTTTTTTTCCTTTCAGGTATTCATTATGTACTGCATTCAGTAAATGACTGTTTTAATGATGTGAAAATTACTTACATTTTGGTAAATACTGACCTCTTCTTTCTGGAAACGTATTTTTATCCACAGCTTGGGTAATGCCTTGCTTTCATTTGGTTTCATTGTCACAGGTATTCACCAACGATACTTCTGCTTCGCCATTTCGATGTTTTTAAAAATCTGGGCTCTCAGGATGGTTCACTGGGTGATCGAGTTGGTGTGTCCTCTGAGATTGCATCCGTGATTAGGGAACTCACTGAGCCAGTTTCTAATGGTGAAAACAGTTCCATGGAAGAAAAACCGAATAGCAATTTCGTAAGATTTTCATTTCTGTCCTTGGTTCTCCATTGCGTGTTGCACAATTTCACTTAAGTTCACTCTTCAGTTTACCATATTTTTGTCGCATAATCCATTTTAGCTAAGCTCTCAAACAACTCATAATGGTTTTAGACCTCGTACCCTATAAAGCATCTTTTCTCCCTTGATAAGATTTGTCTGTGCTTTAATTAGTAAAGAGAAATTATTGATCTTAGAAATCCTTTTCCATGATGCCTTATCTGTATATGTGCTAATGCAGTCTGAAGATGAAGTTGGGAAGTTTAGGGGACATCAAGTGCTATTAATCGCATCTGCTGAAAGTACGGAGGGTATCTCTCCAACAATTAGGCGTTGCTTTAGCCATGAAATACGTATGGGTTCTTTGAATGACGAACAGAGATCTGAAATGCTGACTCAGTCCCTCCAAGGCGTCTCTCAATTCCTTAATGTATGTGAGTACAATGCTCCAAAACTTTAAGTATTTGTTTTATGATATAGTTTGCTAAATTATATTACCTCTCATTGAAATCTAAGAGATACCAGATCCATTTATTCTTCCATTTTCAAACTAAAGTTAACAACTTCAGGCTTGATGGATAAATATTTTCACATTATAGACCAGCTCAGATGACTTTATGAAAGGATTGGTGGGACAGACTTCTGGCTTCCTTCCTCGGGACTTGCGTGCTCTTGTAGCTGATGCTGGTGCCAACTTATACATCAGTCAAGAGTCCGAGACCAAGAAAGTTAACTCTCTGTCAGATAATCTTCATGGAGTTGATGTACACCAGGCAAGCCAATTAGGTAACAGTAGTGATGCATTAACAGCTAAGGAAGACTTTACCAAAGCTTTAGATCGATCAAAGAAGAGAAATGCATCAGCCCTTGGTGCTCCGAAGGTAACATTCATAGTTTTTTTACTGTCGGTTTCTCGTTTGTTTATCTAATTTATGAGACAAGTTTGCATATTTTTGTTACTGGAGATGCGCAGAACTGAAAGATTTATTTGTATTCTTAGGTTCCGAATGTGAAATGGGATGATGTTGGTGGGCTTGAAGATGTGCAGACATCGATATTGGACACAGTTCAACTACCTCTCCTGCATAAAGATTTATTTTCGTCCGGATTGCGTAAACGTTCTGGTGTACTTCTCTATGGCCCTCCAGGAACAGGGAAAGTAAGTAAGCCATTTTTTTTCTTTCACTTTTAGAGTCTCTTAATAGACTGTTTTTGGCAGTTGAGTTTTTGAATTAAATTTACAGACTTTACTGGCAAAAGCTGTGGCGACAGAGTGCTCCTTAAATTTTCTCAGTGTAAAGGGTCCAGAATTAATCAACATGTATATTGGAGAGTCAGAGAAAAATGTTCGAGATATATTTGAAAAGGTAAGTTATATGTCTTCTTCCCTAGGAAAAGCCTATTGAATATTTGGTTCTGATTTATTAAACTAATGTGTTTTCTTCAATTGCAGGCAAGGTCAGCGCGACCTTGTGTGATCTTCTTTGACGAGCTTGATTCTCTTGCTCCAGCTCGAGGTGCTTCTGGTGATTCAGGAGGAGTCATGGATCGAGTGGTCTCTCAGATGCTTGCAGAGATTGATGGACTCAGCGACTCTTCCCAGGATCTGTTTATTATAGGAGCAAGCAACAGACCTGACTTGATTGATCCAGCTCTTTTACGGCCTGGCAGATTCGACAAACTTCTATATGTTGGAGTCAATGCTGATGCGTCTTACAGGGAAAGGTTAGGCATTTAAACAAGCAAAAGCATGATTTTTGTCCAGTGACAAAAAAAATTATAAGCTTCGTGATTCTTGTTTTTGACAGGGTCCTTAAAGCACTAACTCGGAAATTCAAGTTAAGCGAAGATGTATCTCTTTATTCAATAGCAAAGAAGTGTCCCTCTACATTCACCGGCGCTGATATGTACGCCTTGTGTGCTGATGCTTGGTTTCAGGCAGCTAAGCGAAAGGTGAGAGAGAGAGAGAGAGAGAGGGTTGGCACTTTAAGACTATTATATATTTCTCTGTAAAAGCTTTTATTGAAATCGTGTTGTATCTGCCTACTTGGCAAATGCAGGTCTCAAAATCAGATTCAGTGGAATTCCCTCCAGAAGATGATCCGGATTCAGTCGTTGTAGAGTATGTGGATTTTATAAAGGTAAAAAACCTTTTTCCTCCATCAAAAAGAGTTACCATTTTCATATGTTATAATAATATCTCACTCACTTGTCTTCTTTGTAGGCAATGGATCAGCTCTCACCATCACTCTCCATAACTGAGCTTAAGAAGTATGAGATGCTTCGAGATCAATTTCAAGGCCGTTCCAGCTAAACCCTTGAGTAATTACATTTCAACCCTAAACAAGAAATTAGCATATATAATGGAGACATTTCATATTTTTTATTTTTCCAGAATATTTTCTCGAAACAGTTGTGTGCTGATTTGGTTAGTCAATCCATTGTAAAATTAACATAGGAATCAATAAAAGTTCTTGGTTTTGAATTTACCTTTGATTGGGTATGCACAAGTAATTCTTACCTTTGATTGGGTGAAGCAGATAATTCAATGGAAAGGGTTTCTTTAAAATTTCCACAACGATTCATAAGAATGAAATGATCACAACAAGGTTCATATGTTGATCCAGAGACAGCAAGTTGTTCTTATCAAGCCATTATCTTAAAAATATAATTGATAAATTTAATTTAAGGGATTATACTCGCTCATGTTTCATTCTACAGTATGATACAAAATCCATGATTCAAAAACATTTTAAAATTTTTACACATGAAAGGGCCCATCCAGAAAAAAATTTACACATAAAAGGGCCCATTCTGTCGACTTTTTTTTTTTAATATTATAGACCCAGATTTTTTAATAAATTTCTCTAGTGAATTACTTTTGCTAACAATTATTTTAATTGGTTAGTCATTCCAAAAATAGAGTTATGTTTAACTCCATGTAACTCGACAAAAGTGACTAAATTCCATTTGATTACGTGAAGCATAGAATCCAAATGGCGAAAGTTTTTTAAATTACAGTAAGAAAAACATTACAATTTGCTTAAAGAGTACTTGACCACTATGACATCACTGTCACGTGGGATTTGCTTTGTTTGGGCGAGCTGGTCCGAAATCAAAATTTGAGTTTTTTAGGAAATTATATTTGTTGAGTAATTTTTTTTCTGCTTCGTTTGTTGGAGAAAACAGAGACAAGAAGAGAATGAGGAATCAAAAAACGGAATTTTGAATTTGCAACGTGAGGAATCTCCTCCGTCGTTTCGATCTTCAAGTCTTTTTTTTTTTTTTTTAGCTTCTCTCTTCAGATTTCTTCACGTGAGCTCTCCCAAATCTGGTCGTTATTCGCTTTGTGGATTCTGAATCCGGTTCTGAGCATTTCCAACGAATCCAGCTGATTGATTTGTTCAATTCTTATAGGAGTTTTTATTATCTCTCGATCGATCTGGGTTTTTCTGAGGAAATTGGAAGATTTATTAGCTTCTTCGATTGATATGTTATATTATAGGTTTTGGTTTTAGATGATTTTGGTGAGTAGTAGCGATGCTAGAAGCGAATTAGGGTTAGGGTTTGGTGGATTAGGTGAAGAAATCATGCAAGATTGTGACTTTGAGGAAGAAAGCACACATTCTTATGTTTCTTGCGTTGACCCAGATGTTGCTCTCTCTTATATCGTAAGCTTCTTCTGACCTCAATATATGTTTTCCTTTCTTCTACTACTACTACTACTACTACTACTAAGATAGAATCCCTTTTTTTTTTTTAAGGATGAGAAACTTGAAAACGTCTTGGGACATTTTCAGAAAGATTTTGAAGGTGGAGTTTCAGCTGAAAATTTGGGTAAGTTTGTTGCTTTCTTATGTTTACCTTTCAGGCATCTCCTTTATGACTTCAATGTTTTATTACAGGTGCAAAGTTTGGTGGCTATGGTTCCTTTTTGTCTATGTATCAGAGATCTCCTGTTTGTTCACGTTCTAAGACTCCACCAGATGTTCAACAAAACCAATTGGTAAAGATCACTAAACAGCTCAAACTTCGATTAGAGCTTCAAATTTAGCTTTTATTCTGAATGTCAATTTTCTGTTTATAGGGGGGTCGATCTAATTGCTCAGCTTCATCACTTGTACCTGAACTATCAATATCCGGATCCTCTTCGAAACCTCCTGCCTCTGATGTTTTGGTCAAATTAAAAAAGTTCGTCAAATCAAGTAATATAGGGACACCTGATAGCAAACAAAAACCTGACACAAAAATTTCTTCTTCTGCTCCATCAAATCATAAGACTCTCAGACTTCGTATAAAAGTTGGTTCGAGTGACCTCTCTTCACTCAAAAACGTTTCTACCTATACTAAAGAAGGCCTCAATATGCTACCATCAGCATCGCGGGTGAATTGCCTTTCAGAAGTTGAACAAGACTTACTGAATGGGATTTGTGATTCACCGACTAAAATTCTTATGGTGATTTTCTTTTCTTTTTTTGTTTCTTCCTTCTCCTTCAAGATTGGACAATGATGAATATGAGTTTGACATATTCCTTTGTGTTTGTAGGCTATGGTGTCATTCCCTTTGCATAAAGATCAGCTGTTATCACCTCTCTCTGATGATCTTATTTTGTTGGGATCGAAAGAAAAGATTTTCAAAGATGCTGGATATGGTTCTGCAAACAAGTCGGACTCAAAAAGTACACCCGATGATTTGGTTGTTTCTGATTCACAAAAGCGTGCTGGTAAGTTTTCCATTGGGAAGAAGGAAAAGTTAAGGGATAGGGTAAAGTATAGGCCACCGTCAAACAAGCGTGACAGAAATCATACTGTATCCAATACTGAAAAAGAGGCTGACAAAGAGTCCTGCGAGGAGCTTGTTTCCAAGACTATGAAGCTTCCACTTTTATCCTGTCTATCACCGTCATATATCCACCCAGCAAAAGAGATTGATAAAGTATCAGATTCTAATGTGGAGGTTATATCAAGAGGAACGAACAAAGATGCAGCTTTGATGGGTTCAAAGCCGGAACTAGAAGATAATGTAGTGGCATTTTCAGATCGAAGCGTTAAGGAAACTGAAAGTATTAACGTAAGAAAAGACGTTTACCTGATAAAAGGTGAACCTCTAAACTCATTGGAAAGTAATTCCAAGAGGGAGAAAGCTCCAAGTATTGAACATGTAGATTATTCTTCTGTGGTTAAGGGTAGTCAGAGTGAGACAAGGAATGAAGATCAAATTTTAAAGTCAAAACTGCCTAAAGCACAGAAGTCACAAAAAAGTTCAAGCTCCATTGTTTCCATGAATAGTCTGAGAGGCAAGGACGCGGCTGTAAATATAATTAAGAAGAATGTACCAGATAAATTGCAGGAAGATATTGGAGAATCCGAACACATGTATAAGGGATTCTTTGGTGATTCGAAAGAATCAAAAGAAGAAAATCAAAGTAGTCCGATACTTAAAGCTGAGAAAGCAAAGCTATCAGAAGAAAATGCATTGGAGGAGAGTTTCAACAGTGTTAAAAATGATGAAGAGGCTTGTGACCATCTAAATTTGGTATGTGAACCTGATTTGAAACACCTTATTAAGCCGAGTGACTTGAATGAAGATAGGCACACCACTAAGCAGAGTGTTAGACGGGAAGTGAAAAATAAGCATTCTCTTGAAGGTATTATTTGTGAAAGATATTGATTTACCTTATAATATTTCCTTTGTGTTCAAATTATCTGATGTGCTTGATGAATACGCATGTAGGAGGAATGGAGAATATGGGAATGGAATCTGAAAGGGAACTTTCTGGGGTTTCTAAGAAACCAAAGACTGGAAAATCACGATTTTCCACTTTAGATCAACCTGGATCCAACAAATCCAACCAAATTCTGGACGTTTTAGATACTAACAAAACTATGATTACTCAAGCCTCAGCCGAAAATGTCAAGGATTTTGCTAAGGCTTCAACGCATGGCGAACGTGATGACAGAAAGAGGAAACTGAAGGAAAATGAAGAAAGTGGAGATTGTATGAGACCTAGAGAAGCTGCAGTAATAGAGTCAAGTGGAGAGAACGTTAGAAAAAGTAAGAGGCTTAAAGGTTCAAGTTGTGATGAAAAAGAGTTGCCTTTTAGTAGTGAAAGCTGTGATAAGGAAAGAAGAGTTAGTCAAGAAAATGGTAGAGATTGTACTTCCCATCTACCTTTTATAGCGTCCTCTCCGAGTTTGTGTAAGGATTTGGGCTCTGAAATTATCAAAAATAATGTCCGCGAAGCCAAAGGTTCACTAGTTGAATCTGTTGCCCCTTCGGCCTTGAGAGTGTTAGACTCGGGTGAGCTTAAATCAGGAAGAATTTCAGAGAGGGATGAATACCATGATGCTGATTCTAATGCTGGTGATACGTTAAAAAGATGCCGAGATGGTGAGGCTTATAGCACTATCGATAGACCAGGGACAACAAAGAAGGCTGCAGAAAATTCCAAGGATAGAGAAAGAGCATACGGTGAAGATTGTTCAATTGAAAACTTTAAACCAAAGAAGTCAGGGAGATGTCCTGGTGAAAATTGCATAGAGGGTGACTCTAAGCAAAAGAGTAGGGAAGAGGGGTCATCTGCACCTTCGAAAGAGAATAACTGGGGTCTGGTGAATGACGTGCAAGATCTTGGCACTGCTGTTAAAGTAAAAAGAAAAGAAAGCAGGAGCAAGAAAAGACCTGCTAGAAAGGTGTCTTTGGAGAGTAATAAAGAAGACTCAAGGGAATATCAAGATCCTAATACTAAGCTAGATAGAAGTGGTAGTCATTTTTCTTCTCGACAGAAACCTGATACAGCAAACACTTCTCGTGGGAAAAGCAACCCATTGGAAGTGACCACTGAGAAATTAAAGAATAAATCAGCTTCACCAGCTGGCACAGATCAGGTTGAAGTCTTGGGTCACGGCACTGGGATATCAAATACAAAGAAACAGAGACTGCGGAATGATAATCACTGTGTGACCCACGATGAAGGTTCGCGAAACCAAAAGCAAAATGGAAGTAGGCATAAGGATCATGTTGGCTTAAGCCCTTTGAAAAAGGAATCCACGAGTCAGACTGCCTCCAACTCAATCAAAGAGGCTACAGACTTGAAACACATGGCTGATCGTCTTAAGGTTTGGCATTTTTATGGAAAATGTTGCAGTGGTTACGTATGTTGTCTCTCCCTTGGCTTAACATTGACAGTTGCCTTTTGCAGAATGCTGTGTCCAATCACGAGAGCACAGGTGTTTACTTTCAGGCAGCTCTTAAGTTTCTTCATGGTGCCTCCCTTTTGGAGTCATCTGGCATTGATAATGCTACACATAAGACCATTGCCAGATCCAAGGATATTTACGGCAGCACAGCAAAACTTTGCGAGTAAGTTTGGCATTCAACATGATCTAAATTTGTGACTTTCTTCTACTCGATTTGTTGTGCACCTCATGGGAGTGAGATAGCTGCATTCTTCTGATAGTCAACGCAATTAAGTCCCCCAATTTACTATTTAGAGGGAGCCTTTCACTGTGATGGTACTTGTTCATGTTGCTCTCTCATTTTAGCTCAGCTGCTGCATTGTGGCCTATAGATATTTTTAGCATGTTAAGATGTTCTAGTGAACCCTGTCCTGATGTTATGAGTTTTATACTGTTTATGTAACAGGTTCTGTGCTCATGAATACGAGAAAAATAAAGATATGGGGGCTGCTGCTCTGGCTTATAAATGTATGGAAGTAGCTTATCTAAGGATAACTTATACCTCCCATGGTAACATAAGAAGATGCAGATATGAGTTGCAAGCAGCTTTGCAAGTGATTCCTTCAGGTATTATCTATTATAAGAAAGAAACTATATTCTAAATTTTTCTGTTGGTGGGCAAATTTATCACAATTTGGAAAATTCTTGGATGGCCTTTATGCTGAAGTTATCTGAAGAACATCACAGTACTTGTACTTACCGTGTCTACAAAAAATGGGCTATATGTAAACCATATGAGGAAAAGCCACTAACCACTCGGGCTGCATTTAGTGATTTAAAAACAAGTTTCGCAGCACAAAATTTCAAGTAGATGGGCGGCTTGATTGTTGCTTTGTTAGAAAAAGAAAACTTCTTTTAGTAGATTAAGACAGATACAAGATTGTATTAAAGAATAAATATGTTGTTCCCTGTGAGCATGATAATGATGAATTATCTTTCCATCGTGTTTGGATTTTAAACAGGTGAATCTCCTTCCTTTGCTTCTGATGGTGAAAATTCAAACCACACATTGGCAGCGGAAAAGTTTGCTTTGTCCAACAATGTGAGATCATCCCCTAGCGTAACCGGAAACCATGTTATCTCTTCAGGAAACAATTCCTCTCTTTCACAGCTTTTGGCATTTGTAAGTTCAGTATGTTACTTATGTGATTTGATGAGGTGGCGTAAAAAAAATTGTACTTTAGTTCATGTTTACAAAACATTGTAGCTGCTCCAGTGAGGCTGGGTTTAGAGGAATAAATAAATCCCGTCTATGGAAATATCAACAGGTTTTTAGTGAAGTAGTGAGATAATAGCTTGCTTGAGCAACATGAATAGGAACCATCTACAAACATAGCATCATTTGATTACCATCATCATAGACAATCATCATCAAAAACAGTATTCTGTGTATTTTGGTAACACAATCTTGCATCATATACCAAGTATTTCCCTCACGTGAAAGTTGATCTCAATCGTGTGGTTGAATGTGTTTTGTCTATTGGTGTTGCAGTCGCAAAACGTAAGCTCTGCTATGGATGCGTCAAGAAAAGCGCAGATTGCATTAGCAGCTGCAAAGGGAAAATCGTATGAAACCAGATACAGTAGTGATGGTATAACATGCATCAAAAGGGCTCTTGACTTGAATTTTCAGGACATGGAGAAACTGTTGCATGTGGTGAGGCTTGCAATGGAATCCATAAACCGGTGATTATGAATTATATATGATCAAAAACGCAATACTCCCCACCTGTCATATACTACGGGAGAAGAAAGGAAAGCGACCTTGAAAAATTGAAGACAAAGAAGGCCGCCTATATATATAAACTTGTTTGTTCTCTTCACAGCTCAAGTGTATAGTGTTAGGACCTTGATTTGTGAGACTTGCTCAAGATTAAAGTTACCATCTTGTGATGTGTGTTTATAATTAATTGTACATATATAGAGAGAGAGAGCTTTAGGAAGAGGTTGAACAATAGTTCTGAAAAACGAAGGTAAAAGACAACTTGTCTTTTTCAATCACCAATCCATCCAATGGTCCGACAAAAGAATGCAAGTCATTTACAAAACCGAACATCGAAAACTTATAACACCCTTTTTGACTAAGCCACATACTTGAAAGTGTTGGGATTTTCGCTATCCCTCTCCAAATAATCTCTGCTGATCAAGTCCTCAATCCGTTTCTTTATCATCTTTATATCAGGCTGCAAAGAAAACAAAAACCATTATGTTAATATTTCCTTAATTCTGTGTCCATCGAGTTTTTTTTATATATTTCCTTACCTTGAACATTTTGCTAAGATGCTCAACACATTCAGAGACTAACTGTTGATGCCCCAACACTTTTCTGCTCTTCATGATCCGAACAAGAGCTGCATCTATTGCATAGCGTCTATCTTTATCAACATCTTCAACAACTTTCTTCCTCTCATCCATTGGAGGCAGAGGCACCTGTTTAAGAAAAACACATCATTAGTCTTTTTGATCCGGGCTACATGAAACTAACACAATGCTCTCCTCATCATATAAAATTACCCTAATTCTCCTCATCTTATCGGTGAACTTGGAGTTGAATTCAAACGTATCCGTTTTAGAGATGGTTCTCGACATTGGTTCCTTTATAAGAATCTTGTACTTCCCGCATGACAGTGAATGAAGCAGCCTGACAAGATCTTCATGGCTAAGGTTTAGCTGCTCCAACATCTCAGTGTAGCTCAATCTCTCTGCGTTGTTGAAGAGCAAAAGCACCGCAGCCTGACAGAAAAAGAAGAGATATATATATATATATATATATATATATATATATATATGTATTTAAGTAATCCATGTACATATAAAAAAACTTACATAAGTGAAAACAAACCAGAAACAAATAGATACCTGGTAGGTGGAAACGACTAACTCCAATGATTTTTTATCGAATTTTCCAGAAATGTGACAAGTTCCCAGAGAATAAATCCATGAAAGTCTCCTGTGTTTGGTTATTGTTCCATAAAAGGTTTTAAAAGCTTCAACACAGTTGACCTGAAACAAAAAGAAAATTGGAGCTGAGAAAATCTTCTTCTTTTCTATTTCAAGACCTATAATTAAAGAGTTACCATTTCAATGGGTAGATTGAGGTCAGATGTTTTGTAACTTGGCCAGAAACCAGTAGTAAGAACAGTGACAGTCAAATCAATCCCCAGCTTTGTGGTCAGGCTAGCTGATAGATAATCAGCGAAGTTGGTTTGCTGCTCTTTTGCCAATGTTATATCCGTCACCTATATGAAACAAATTATATTTACAAAGGAAAGCATTAGTAACCTTAGTTACTACTAAACAAGCCTTTTTTTTTAAGGAATTTAAAACTCATGTGACTAACCATGCCCTCCATCTTAGAAGTAAACTGCCCCCCGAGTAGTTCTTTTAACTTTGTAAGTATACTTCTTTCGTGCTCGTCATTACCGCTGCGATCAAATAAGAGCCGACGGGCTTGTTTCTTCCTGAAAACAACCATATTTAGAAAAGCATAGAGCTTTGGATGTTGTGTAAAACATATACAACATCCAAACATCAGAGAAAAACAAATATTTGAGGAAGAGATATGTACCTGTAAAACTCGGCGAAAAGATCCTTGTCGCTTATATAAACAAGCAACTTAACCACCTGTAATAATAAAATTAAAATCAGCATCAAAAGGATAAGTGACATTGAACGCATTAGCAGTATGAAGAAAAGAGAAAACTACTTTCTCAAGCGTAATTTCAGTAACTTCTTCACTAAGCTTCTCACTTCCACCTTTTGTCTTGAGGATATTATCACAATAGGTTGCAAGTATTTCTGCACTAGACACTCCAGCCACTGTTTTGTTACAGAAGACTTCAAATGCCTCTTTTAATGCCTACATTACATTCAAAGAAACTATGGTCATTAAATAAAATATTGTGCAAGAAGATAGACATGCGAACACACTCAAACCTTATGGAAGAGGCTGTGTTTCTGAAAACACTCATCGACATAGACCATGTATTTATCGTGTAGCTCAATCTCTTTTCTGACAAGCACATGGTCCTGCACGCCACCAGCACTTGCATCCTGGGAACAAAAAATTCTCAACAATCACAAAAGGAGTAGACTAACATCTAATTTTTGACTCCACAGAGTTCTCAGGCTAGAATATAAACCTGATTAGTAGCTGCGTCGGCGGCTTGTTTGATAAGGGCATTTCCCTCTGCAGTAACATGCTGTATACACAATGTCATTTAGCAATTAGAAAAATGATTTGGAAATAAACAGAAAAGTGAGGTACCAGTATCCGTTAATGCAAAATGAAGGGAACAAAATAAAAACCTGCTTGAATAAGTCTGCAACAGGATCCAACCCTTGAAGGATTGGTTGATAAAGCTTGTACATCCTGGAGAGATCATCCATCTGAAAGTATATCCCAATGCTCAGTTCAAAGAGTGAATTTTAGATGAAATTTGTTTAAGAACTAAATAAACCCACAAAAGTCGCCTACCTTGTCATCTCTTAACAATGCACGGCACCCTGACTGCTCATTTTCTATAAGCTGTTTTGCAACCACTACCAACAACTCATTTTGTACTTTCTGCATCCAAAAACAAACAAACAATGAGTATTTACATATGGTTGTAACCAGCTCTGTCAGAAATAAGCACAACTCTTAAGATTAAACGCTAAAGCATTCCCTCGGTGAAAATATGATTATTCCAAACAATTATATATTTCAGCTAGCAGCGTGCAAATTATATCATAGCTAACCCCAAGTAATTTCGGCTCAGTGGTTGAATGAAGGTAGTTAGTGACTCTCTCCTTCTCCAGTTTTAGACACTCCTCAGCCTTTCGCATGTAATCAGGACAAGAATCCTCCTGGCTCCACTTTGAGGCCTTGCGAGAATAGTAAGATGCAGAATCTTGAAGCAAGAAGCTTTCAAAATCCTCTTCGTATTTTACCATCTCTCCCATTCCATTCTCACAATAGACATCTATTACGTTTTTCAATAGTGATCTATCAATCTGTTCACCCTCACGTTCTTTATGAATCTGGCAATACAAATTGTGTTAGATAGAAACCAGAATAACCAAACCAGAGCTACTCAATTAGTTTAATCACTGATACTTACAAGTTCTAGTACAGCGTCTTTGGCATTGGACTGTATCTCTTGATAAACCTGAAGTAAATAATTGCATGGACAGTTGGAAAATACTTTGCGACAGTTAAAAAATCAGGAGGTACAGGAATGCATGACAAACCAGGTCGCGAAAGGATGTCAAGCCAACACTATTCAGTGTTAGAAGATTTCTCCGAGGAACAAAGTAACGGTCAAGATAGTCGAAGAAGCGGGATAACCATCTAACCAGAACTTTATGGTTAGCCCATCTCTTAACAAGCTCTCTCAGCATATATTCACCATGCTTCTTCCTTATAGCCGGCAACACCTAATCACATATAAAAACATTTGACTGTTAGCTCAAGAATATACAGCACAATGTTCAAGAATCAAGCCCAAACGAAAACATGGTACTCACTGTTTGTTTATTGTAATCATCAATTACTCCACGATACTTATCATAAAGCTGCTGTGAGAAATCATGAGGAGGTTTCTGGACACACATATTGTAGATAGTCCTGTGAATCACATAAGAATCCACTGTGGTTAGCATCCATACGGAACTGTAGTATAAACAAGAAACATCATTATAAGAAGACATACGTGTACAGATTCATATATTGAACCGACTCAAATGCTGGCTCAGGCAATTCTTCCAGAATCCTATGTAGCTTTGTAACACCAGCCTCCATGAAGGGCCATCCTTCCTCCAACACAATTATACCCTTCGACATTATGAGATGACTCTTTTCAAGCGACCTTGAACAAGATTCTGCAATAAAGTAATAATACATGAGAAATCAAGATAACTACAACAGAATTCAGTTCTTAAGCACAAAATAAAACTAATCAGACTACCAAAAGAACAACGATAAGAAGATAAGGCGATGAATCACAAAGAGAGAAAGAACAACGAATTTGAACAAACGATTCGAGCGCAACACAACAATCTATGAAAGCAAATCAAGAATTTCGCAGAATCAACAAAGCAAAGAGAAGCCGACGTAACCCTAACTCGTTCAAAATCGAGCTGATAAACGCGAAACAGTGACAGAAACAGAAGAAAGCAAGCGAAAGACTAAAGAAGAGTACGAAATCGAGACATGTGAAGAGAAATTGTGCGATCTTAAACCCTAATTTCGTCACGTACCAGAAGATTCCGAAGAGTATCGAATCCGATTTCACAGGGATTTGGGAGAGCTCTCAGAATCTAGAAGTTGGCGACTAAAGCCTAGACCAGAAACGGAAGATATATATATAGAGTTTGGGAAGGCGGTGAAGTTTAATTATTATTTTTTTCTTTTAAAAAAATATATAGAAAGTAGATACACTTGTTTTTTTCCTCTTTTTTTTTGGTCAAAGTAAAAGAAACACTTACCAATTAACATTTTTAAGGAAGTAGAAATCTGGAAACTATAATTATTATTATTAGACAGAAAATTTAATATTATGTACCTTAACAAATGTGTTTCTTCTATTTCTGTGGTGTATTGATTTGGAATTATATGTGTTGAGTTTTTTTCTCTTGTGATAATGATAAAAAGGTATTTAGTCTGTTCGTTTCGTCGCCGCAGGCGGTAGCGGCAGCGACAGCGGCAAACACTACCGTAGGTTGTTGTTCGTTTCGTCGCCGCCAAGGCGCCAATGCTGCGGTAACCGCTGCCGCTGCCGCAGGGTTTGTGTTCGTTTAGACGCCGCAATCTCTGCCGCCGCCGCTGCCGCAATCTCTGCCGCCGCCGCTGCCGCAATCTCTGCCGCCGCCGCTGCCGCAGCCGCATCTGCTTTGTTCGTTTCGTCGCTGTTGCGTTAATTTTTACTTAATTCTTAGTTTATTTTTATAAATTTATATAATTATATTTTGAATCAAGAAAAATATAATTTAAATATATTTACATCCATAAAAAATATTTGTTTAGCTAGTAATAATTTTTAATTTTTTTTTTTTTGGGTAATGAATTAGTTTTTAGTAAAATATATAAATATATCAATATGATTTTTTTTGGTGATAAATCATGAACTAAATTAAAACAAAAATAGTAAACCAAAACATTTAACTATTGAAAAAGGGGCATTTTTAACAATTTCTCTTTAAGGGAGACTCACAAAAATGCCCCTTTTTCAATACATTTTTTCAAAAATGCCCCCTTTGGTTGTCTATTTTTAAAAATACCCCTTTTTATGTACAAAATGACTAAATTACCCTTCTTTTAATAAAAGATATCACAAATATATAAGGTAATATAACAAAATTAGGTCCACAAAATACAAAATATTTTTTGGCGGGAAAAGTGATCCCTCAATTTTTCCCGCCAAAACACTTGTAAAAACTTGTAAAACCTTTAAAATACCTTGTAAAATTTTCCCGTAAAATTTTTTCCCGCCAAAAATTTTTTTTTGCGGGAAAAGTGATTCCGTAATTTTTTTGGCGTTAAATTTTTGGCGGGAAAAATTTACAAGGTATTTTAAAGGTTTTTTACAGGGTATTTATAAGGTTTTACAATGTATTTTAAAAGGTTTTACAACGTATTTATAAGGTATTTATAAGATATTATAAGATTTTACAAGCTATTTTATAAGGTTTTACAAGTTATAAGATTTTACAAGTTTTTTATAAGGTTTTACAAGTTTTTTACAAGTTATAAATTCCTTATAAAACTTTATAAGTACCTTGTAAAACCTTTTAAAATACATTGTAAAACCTTACAAAACACTTGTAAATACTTCGTAAAACCTTTAAAATACCTTGTAAATTTTTCCCGCCAAAAATTTTCCCGCCAAAAAAATTGCGGAATCACTTTTCCCGCAAAAAAAAAATTTTGGCGGGAAAATTTTTTGGCGGGAAAAATTTTTACGGGAAAATTTTACAGGGTATTTTAAAGGTTTTTTACAAGTGTTTTGGCGGGAAAATTGCGGGATCACTTTTTCCGCCAAAAAATATTTTGTATTTTGTGGACCTAATTTTGTTTCAAATAAGGGTAAAATGGTCATTAAAAATTAAAAGAAGGCAAACTTAAAAATGGACTCTCAAAGGGGGCATTTTTGAAAAGGGGTATTGAAAAAGGGGCATTTTTAACAATTTCTCTTTAACTAAACGTAATACACCAAGTCATAAACGAAAAAAGATTGACAAAGTTATTAACTAAAAATAATAAACCAAGTCATAAACAAAAAAACTAAAAATATCTAATAAGGTAAACGACCTCTATTACATTCATTCGTGATGTTGTCACGCCAAGCTTCCATCGCTCTATCACCGGTCGGCTCATATGCAATATGTTCTTCTTCTTCTCCTTCTTCTCCTTCTTCTCCTTCTTCATAAAAAACCAAAGCATATTGCAGGACCTAACTCCACTCATTTCCTTGCTTTGAATATTGTTTTCTTGTAGTACTTAAGTTCCTTTATGGTTTCTCTTATATAATCCATGGCTCTGTGGTTGTTTTTCTTTGCAGGAGCTCTCCTTTTCTCTGTATTCACCCCCACAAACATATCCAAATTAGCTTATTATGTATTTTTCTCATTAATGACATGCACTTTTAGAGTATTTATCGTTACCTATGGGGAACCATCGGGAGCATAGAGCCTTGACGCTACTGACGTCGACAAGTATATGAGGGAAAAGGGCAGCTAATTCTGGCATGTACTTCTGTAAAAATACACAGATTGGTTATGATCAAGATGCATCTGTTTAGCTTTATATACAGAGAGTGAAAATACCTTTACCTTTTGTTATACACACAATATAACACCAAATTTACAAAAGATCAAATGTTCACATGTATCTTTACCTTTTGCTCAGCTTCCCTTTCAGTAATTACATATGCAAATAATAGACAAGTCTAATAGATTAATGAGTGGACAGTAATTACATATTATAATACACAAGTCCAATAGATTAATAAGTGGACAGTAATTACATACCATAGAGAAACTTAGCTACTTACATACCATAGAGAAACTTAGCTACTTACATACCATAGAGAAACTTAGCTACTTACATACAAGAAAAAAAACAGGTTCGTTTTCTTATAAAACCTGAAGATCCAGTAGTCGTGTAGACTAAAATAGTCAAGAGCCTTCTGAAAAACAGGTTCGTTTTCTTATAGCTCATACATGAAACCAATGTAATCGTGCAAACAAAATGACGATGCATTCAAGAGAAGCCAACTATTAATACAATCCAAAGACAGAGATAAAATAGATAGTGATGAAATAAAGAAGCAAAAGCTCTTGCAGCTTCTAATTAAGTAAGTAGTCGGCTAAACACAAGGTCCATCTTAAAGCTCTTGCTTGCAAATACAAATAAAGAAGCAAAAGACCTCAATTCAAAATGTTAGCTTCTTCTAATCATCATCCTTTGTTTTGTTCTACTTAGCTTCTAAACCATGACAGAATCATTAAGCATTCAAAAAAGTGTACTACATTCAAAACTAACCCAGAATCAAATCATTCATAAACGAGATAAAGATTCCAAATTTAACAAGACACAGCTAAATCGGGTTAACAAGAGTAACAATTCACAGAAACCCATTACTTTGAAGCTCTTCAGGATCATCAAAATCGCAGCATTTACTCGATTTGACTTGATTCACATAAGTTTTCACGTTTTGTGATACTGAACTTAGAGATGAACAAAGACGAAGAAGTAGAGAAAGGGCAAACCTGATTGACACAAGTGGGTGATAATCTTCTGGGAACAAACTCGAAATCTTCGGGGAACAAGATCGAATTAGAAGCTCGAAATCGTCTGGGAACAAGCTCTAAATCGTCGGGGAACAAAATCAAAGAGAAGAAGAGAAATCGTGTAAGCCATTGAGGGTTAGGTTTGTTTGTGATTTCTCAAAAATAATAAGGGTATTTTTGTCATTAATCCCATATAACGCAGCTTTTAAATCATAGACGCTCAATTTAACTGGCGTTTAAAATTTTTTGCCGCAACCTGCTGCGTTTGACGCTGCGTTATACCGCAAGTATCTGCGGCAACCAAACGAACAATGATGCTTGCGTCTGCCGCAACCGCAGGTACCTGCGGCGACGAAACGAACAGCCTAATAGATTTTTTTATTATTATTAATATAACATTATGAAATTATGGAATTTAAGGAAAAGTATATCATAATAAATTATATTTCACTATTTTGGGAATTAGGAAGATTAATACTTTTAATTTTTTGAATAAAATAAAACTTTAAATTATAACAAAAGCATCTAGAATTCTAGATACTTCTATTTTTTTTAGTAAATGTGATGAAGCAATGAGCTAAACCTCCTTAATGTGCACTACCTTTCCAAGAAATTGAACCGTAATTGACGGGAAAAAAAAACAATTCTATAGAGCTAGTGTAAAATCACTAGACTTTTGAACATCATCAACTATACAAGTTTTAAGACTACCGTGATGATTTCACCATTTTATTTTGCTTTTAATTATTCTACCATTATGTGACCTATTACTCCATTAGAACTCTACAAACAAATTCAACTCAGATAAAAATCAAATGGCGTTTGAGATATATAGTGAAACATGAAAATTACAATTCCCAATCTCAGCTCCACAAATATACAAAAGCCATAAAATTACAACAGAACCAACAACATTTTCAATTCAGTTTTTGTTGGTTAACCGGATCTTTTGTACCGAAACCAAGATCATGGTACCTTTTTACGCCACAATAGTTTTCCACAAAAAAAATGGTGCATGGCCATGGACCAATGCCCTCCCATCATTGGTACCATAATTTACAAAATTTAGTTCTCGACATCTGAGAGACTATGAATCAACCTCGAATCCTATCAAACATGGGATGGTCCAGTACTTCTCTAGCAGAAGGCCGACGCATAGGATCACGATCCATCATTGTCTGTTTCAAGAAACATGTTAGCATTTCTGTCTTAAATGCTATGTTCCAATGCTCGGACCACCATGAAACACACACCAGTAAGAATGCAAATAACGTACCTTAAGCAGTTGTTGTAACTGCAACGAATGGCCAGGAAGGAGAGGAAGTTTGCCTTCTTTGATATTGAGGGACTGGTTTCTTGATTCTGTAAGAGGAGATCCCTTAATCAGCTCGTAAACCGTTACACCTAAAGAAAAGATATCGACTTTATCAAGGTGGTCGTAGTCTTCATTGAGGATTTCTTGAGGCATGTAACGTGCATCTCCTTCTTCTACTGGTAAACTTCTGTCCAATCGTGTGGCACAACCAAAGTCACCGAGCTTGCAAACACCGTTCTTGATGTAAATATTGTCGGGTTTTACATCTAAATGAGCTATTCCTTTCTCATGCACAAACTGCAATGCCTTAGCTATCTGTAAGAGACACACAGTACAATGGTATGTATATAAGAATTCAAAGAATCACGAAACTCTCTATACTCGATTTTATATGAAAGTTAAGTGTTTACCTGATGCATAATCACCAAGATCTCTCTTTCTGAGACCTTAAGAGAAGATTTCTTGGGCAAAGCTGACAAGCTGTGATCGCAGAGTTCCAGTTGAATGTATAATTGCTCATTTTCAAACCACGAGGAGTAGTATCCTACTACATTTTCATGAAACCCTACGAACAAAATAAAATAAAAACGGTTTAAGGCTACACTGAGCTTAGCTTGCAAACAGGGAAGAACAGAATAGATTCAGGACAAGAAGGCAAAGCAAGGGACTGTACTGACCAAGAGCAGCAAGAGCTTGCACTTCCATCATAGCTTTACGTCTGCAAAAACTCAGCTGTGATTAGTTGAACAAAAACGATCCAAACAAGATGACACTATTTTTCAGCAGATATGTGTTTTTCTCTTACTAAGAAAACTAGAGAAAATTATACCTCTCTGACTCTAGATACAACTTCCTTGTGCTGTGTTTCACAGCATATAGGCAACCATCAATTCTCTTCAACACCTTAAATACACGACTGAAATGTCCAGCACCAATTTGCTGGAGAAACCAAACCAAATTACGTAAGAAGAAGCAACATAATTCCCTCATGATCATAATTCCAAGCCAAAATACCCCTTTCGCTTACCTGAATTTCATGAAAGTCCGTGAGATATCTTGACAAGCCATCCCCACTTGTACTTGCAGGGAGAAAACCTGCATACCAGTATATTTAGTACATTTTTACTGAAGAAGCCAAGCCTTATTGATTTTTAAAGCCTTTCAGGAAATTCTTGAGTAAGAATATTAGGGACAACAAACTTACTTGCGCATTTTGATCTCTGATATCCGAAAGGGTCAGTAGCAGTCTCAGACTGATTCATAACATACGGATTCTTGAGGCAAGGGGGTGGCATAGCCCGACACCGCAGAGCAACTGCAGCCTGTGAAACATATCCAGTCCTCTCTGTTTGATTAGCTTGGAGTTTATCCCCCATGACCTCATCAGTGTCAATATCATCATTCTCTTGTTCATCTACTCTATGTTTTGAAGACCAGGTAGAATTTGAATGATTTGATGTGAAACTCTCTGCATTAAACACACAAAATTTTATCTGAGTAATCAAAAACTTAAACAAACAACACACTGTCACCAAAAACATCAAATCACAAGATACTCAAAGCAATAAAAATTTCAATATTGGACATTTGTTAAAACAGGAGATCAAACATAATTATAATAACAATTGTACCAAAAAACAGTCAAGCAAGTTTCTTACAGAAACCTATATTTTCTTCTCATCTGAAAATCTTATTTTTACTCATACTAATCACAAAATTCCAATCCAGGCAATATGTCAATGACAAGAAAAAGTTAGCTTCAAACTCTGTGAAAAGATAATGACTACTCATGCTAGAAAAAGAAAGCTTACCCTGGCGACATCTTTTGCTTTTAACTGTATTTAATTTGACAGGAGACCTAGGACAAGGAGAATGATCCTACAAAAAAAAAAAAATAGAAGAACTTTAAATTTGAGACATTGGTGAAATAAAGATCTGACATAAAAAATAAAATTAACAATTTACCTTGCTGATATCTAAGCCGTTCATCAAGTTCTGATTGTCCGGGGTTATATAGTCAGGTGTGCTGAAAAATAAATCAGAAGTTAGTAGCTGAGATTTCACGAATCACAGGCCATTCATCAATATCTGTCAAGCATCTTTTCGCTAAACATAATTACATAAATCTCAATAAGTTAAGCTTTCTCAGAGATTTCAGAAAGGCTAGATTTTTAAAAAGTGAATATAAGGGAAATCTTCTCAAATCTACAGTCCAATCATGAAATCGTAATACTAACTAATCCCAAGCATCTTGATTTTTAAAAAGTGAATATATGGGAAACCATCTCAAATCTAAAGTCAGATCTTGAAATCGTAATACTAACTAATCCCAAAATTCTACTACACAGAAGATAACGATAGATCTCGAATTAGATAAATGCCAGAGTTAACGAAGATTTACCAGAAGAAGTCTTGGCTAAGAATAAAGTCCTTATCTCCGCAATTGGCATCTGAATCAGCGGATCCCAACTGATTCCGGAGCTCCGACGAGTCCGAATCGATAAGACCCTGAAACGCCGATGAAGCAACATTCGACGATGGACGATTATCAAAAGAAAGCTTCGACAATTGACCGAATTGAAGCAGAGAGTGTCGCTCCAATGTCCCTTCCATCTTTCGAATCTTCTTCGTTCTTCTGGTTTTGATCGTTCCTAGGGTTTTCCTCTTCGCCAACAGTGTTCTTCCTTTCTTCTCGAACATGACGATGAATATTAGTATTTGATAGAAGAAGTAAAAACAAAAAATAATTGAAATAAATTCGAAATTTGCGCGCTCTAGTCTCGTAGCTAAAATTTGGGAATAGTCATCTGCGTGAATGACTACGGTGCACTTCCTATATTATCAATTCTGGACCGTTCGATCTTCAGGATAGTAATATTTTGTCACAGATAAAGTAGAGGTGCAGCGGATCTTCTGTGGAGCGTGTCATGTAAGCTTTGGTGGTCTTTAATAAAACTACGCCCTGAGCTGGTGGGGCTGGGAACATATTGGGCCCGTTAAAATTATAAGTATTGCCATTACAACTAATGGGCCCGTGAGCTATATTCGACAGAATCGCACCGCTAACACCACTATTTTCCCCCGCAAAACCCATTTGCTGTTTCAATTCCCACTTCTTTATAGCTGTTTTCTTTTGGGTATCAATATTGATCTTATGACAAGTTTTTTTGTGGTGTGTACTAATTAACGTATGATTGTTTAGGTCTCAATATCGATCTTATATTCTTATGACAGTTTGTTTTTGCATAAGAAGCTAATGTAATTAATTAATCTTTTTTTAAAAAAAAATATGTAAAAAGAAAGTATTAGGTGCCTTGTCGTAAACTCGTAACCAAATTATTGAACATCTCCCACCTTTAACATTGTCTTAAACCTCAATAGCTTCATCACTTGCATAAGCTTTTTCAACATTTGATATATCATCTCTGGAAGCAGTGATAAATCGGTAAGGGATCTTAATTAAAGTCTCCATCTCTAGTTCTTGACCAATGAGTGATGCTTTACTCTTCTTCAGGTTCGATTGTGGGATGTTTATGAAGGGTCGCTTCTTGACATGTGTGATTTTAGTACAATGGTATATATCCTCATACAGTAATTTATCCTTAAAATCTGGTTATGTATTTCTTGATATTTGTCACAGTAAATGAATTATGTTTGTGCGTATTGAAGGCGGAGTCGACCAAAGTCACTGACATATGTAATATATCCAAATCTTCTCTTGCTGTGGCAATGCAAAGATAAGTCCAATATTTTAGCTCGCATTTGTTTTCTTCATAAATGTTTGATTACTTATATTAATTAAAAAATGCAGCTTCCAAGGAATATACTTGCTAATTTGTGATTTGGCAAGGCTTTTTATCAAAACGGTTATCAATTTCCCCGAATAAAATTATGTGCTTACAAGTATTGCTTTATGCAAACCAGTGCTATTGATGGTATCTGGAGTTTCATATCCACCAAGCTCTAGACTCCTTGGTTAGTATAGGGTGAGAGTCTTGTCACACAATGAAGAAAAAATCGTTGATGAGGACAATATTCCGATAGGGACAAGACTTTTGAAACATTTTCATGACCATTCACACACAAAGGTTACTTGACTTCTGCTTTCTTTCTCATTTTTCCATGAGCAAAGATAAAATCATTTGCAAGTTTTTTTTTCACATATTGACATTTGTGTGAGTTACATTACAACCTTGAGAAATATGAAGACAAAATAATCACATCATTGGTTTTCTTCACTTCCAACTCCTTCCTTTTGAAAATTAAAAAGCTAATATCACAAAAGAGTTTAGTGACACATTGACATGGGATAAGAGTCTAAAGACTAGAATCAAAACTGATTTCCATTTCCGTCTCACTTTTTTGTATCATATTTTTTCTTCCAAACTTTTACCCGTAATTTGTACTAGAATGTGAAATCAAGGAATTGCCGGATCAATGTCTAATTAATTCTAAAATATGGGATAAATTATAAAGCATGCATGGGATTAAATTGGGCCTGTAAAAGCCCAATTACCAATCCAATAAGTGAGCTCATATCCAAAGCATACCAACGGCAACGTCGGTACAAAGGCGAACACCGGCGAGATCGATTTGAACGGTGACGGCTAATGTGGCGGCGAAGTAACTTACCGGTGACTGTCCTACATCCCTGAGAATTATTTGCGATTGCGATTTCTTCTTCCAGGACGGACATTTATTTGCTTTTTTTCTTGTTGGATTATCAGGTGAATCCAGATTCCGATCAGAGCATATCTGGTGGGTGATCTGAAATTTCACTTTTGTATCTTAATGTCTTTCAAAATTTCAAACGAGTGACTCTCAAGCTGTTGTTTGGTCTTGTAGAGGAAGAGGAGGAGGAGCAAAATGATCTGTGGCCTAGCGAGAATGCAAAGGAAGAAGAGGTAATGTTTAATCTCTAACTTTCGATTCGTTAACCTCTTGCGTTAAAGCTCTCTGGGAACTCCTGAGAATTTGAAGATGGAATGATATATCTTCATCATAATCTGGGTTTCTCCAAAATGAGTTTCTTAGGTTGTATCCTATATGAATATGATTTGAGAAAGAACATGGCAACTTTTAATTTTGCCCAATTGATTAGTTTTGAGGAGCTATAGGGAAATTTATTGTGGTTTGACAGTAGTTGGCTTCAATATTTTAGGGAGGATTACTACTTCAAACAAAGCTCGAAAAACTCATAGGTATATATATCCAGTTTGTGGTCAAGCCTTTTCTATGACTATCTTAAGGGAAGTGTTTTCACAAAGAGCTTCTGTGTTGTTTTCAGGTTGTGGTGAACTAAATTATGCTAGGGATCCCGGTGATGTAACTCTGGAAGCAACTGTGAGTCTTTTTCGTTTTAAAATTCTTTTGTTCTGAGGAATATTGGAATCACATGGTGATGAGAGAATTTCCTTTTTAGCTACGGAAGATATCATCGGATTTCGTCCAAGTTCCTGATTCCCCTGAGGAGACTTGTTTTACTTCTTCAAGAAGAACAGGATTTGCATGCATATCTGCTCAGGAAAGTGGGTCAGATGATGAGGTTACCTTCTAATCTTCGAGTCCATTTCACCCATGCAGCTTGATAAGTGCTGTATATTTTTGTCGAATTGGTCACAGTATTCTCCCATTGAGTCGCTGTACTTATGTTTTTAATGATGATTATTGTTGCCTTCAGATTCCACATGATGAACAAGTGGCAACTTGGTCTGCTATAAGTAAAGAAACCAAGTCACTAACCCATTTGAATGGTATTGCTTCAGTCGCATCATCCCATCTATGTGGCTTCAGAGCCAAGAGAAGTAGTAAAGGTACTGTTTCATCCAAAACTCTTCTTAATATTTTTTACCGTAGAAGTTAAAGAACGAGCACCACGTATGAAAACTCAAAGAAACAGATCATGTGTGCATGAACTTCTGAAATCTCTGAGTTGGGTTTCTAATGTATATGCAGTTGTCAAAGATCATGTGAGGCCAAAATTTTCATTTAACTCACATACTCATGGAGAAGCGTCATCCAAGATAAGTGACATGGCTGAAATCTTTGAGCCTGATGCGGAGGATCAGGCCATAGAAGAGGATCCGATTGTTGAATGCCCCAACAGTTTTGATGAAAGATCAGGAAACAGGCAGGGTGTTTCTGTTGCTGAGTCGAGAGAGGTTCTGCACGGGTGCACTGAAGATGCGATACCCAAGCTTCTAGAAATTCCTCCAGATAAGATTAGACTGATAAAAAGAAGCTCTAAACTGGTATTATTGATTATACAGTGGATTAGCAATTGATTTGCTACTTTGCTCTCAGATCTCTGTTTCATTCGTTTGGCCTCCTTTCTGCTCCAGTACAGCAGACATGAAGCAAAAAGTCGAAAATTTGCTCATAAGGGAAATTCATCTAACTTCCAAGATAGTGATACTGATGATGAACTTCCTGGACCTATGGATAGTGGATCATCAAGCGATGATGAGGTTTGATTCTCTTCCTTTCTTGTGATTTGGGTAAACTCCTTCTCCTCAGTCTACGATCAAAGCCAAATGATATTGTTCTGTGACATAGCCTAGTTATCGAAGCTCAGTGCCAAACATTTCTAACCAGAAGAAACAATTTGTTGGAGACCGGTTTGATGAAGCGATAAAAGCTTCCTCTTTGAGCAAGGAAGGTCTCTTGTTCGGTTCACCTAGATTATCTGGGTAATCAAACTTTCAACACGTTTTAGGCACCACACTCTTAAAACCACACATATCAGTTAACATGAAAACCTGTTTTTTGTTGCATCAATTTGCAGTGGCTTTAGCCTGTATGGCAAGCTACAACAGATCATAAAACAAGAAAAAGAGACAGAAATGGAAATCACGAGGAAATTGCAAGGCGGAATCGAACAAGCAGGTAACCCTGCTTTTTAACTCCCATATAAACAAAATCTAGTTCATACCTCTGTTTACTCGTTTCCTGTTTCCCAACTCAGATACATCGAGCTATCTTGACGTAGAAATCATATCAAGACACTTGGAGGGAAAGCTGGTTGTCTGCAAATGCTCCATCATTGACCTTTCTGGGGTTCTCTCTCCATCTCTTTGACGCATCTAATAAAACTGCTCCTTTAGTTATATCCTTTGAAGATCTATCATCTATCAAATAGATTATAAGCATTGATTTAGTCACTCACATTTGATTTTGTAGGACTCCCTATTACTCAAGAACACACAAGCTCTTGCAGCCAAAGAAACAGAAACAACAATTGTTTTTAGTCCTAAAGTTTGTGCGGATGTTGATATCGAAATAGGAAACTTTATCCGAGTATATGCACCATGGTCAGTTTTGATTCCACCCTTTAGGCTCTTATCCCGTGTCAATGTGTCACTGAACTCTTTTGTGATATTAGCTTTTTAATTTTCAACAGGAAGGAGTTGGAAGTGAAGAAAACCAATGATGTGATTGTTTTGTCTTCATACTTCTCAAGTTTGTAATGTAACTCACACAATGTCAAAATGTGAAAAAAAAAAAAAAACTTGCAACTGATTTTATCTCTGCTTATAAAAACGATAATTAAAGCTCTATGATTGATAACAACGAGAAATTGCAGAGTATTGGACTTTTTATGATCAAAATAGTAGAACAGAATTATGATTTTCCATATTTATGTGATTTGTAAGAAACTGCAGATTACCAGAAACTGCTGTGAGATGTTGTAATCAGAGTTTAAATGTTTTTGGATTTATCGTGTTTTCTTCTTTGGTTTCACTAATCACTACTACTGATTAAAGGCGTAAATCAGTTCTTACCAATTGTTCAAGTCGTTTTAGTACTGTATACATGAACTCTTTGTTGGTTTGATTCCAGTCTTGTGCTTAGGTAAACCTCAAAATAAAGCATATGTAGCCTCACGAAAGCTAAAAAAAGTTTAGTATTCGTCCTTTTTCTTAATTAGCACTTAATTAATGAAACAAAAAGGATAAATAATGAAATAAAACGGTAGATCCGTAGTTTATAATTTGTATCATTGGAACAATTCATCTCTCAATACACAAGAAAGGTGGACACTTTACGTGGATGTGAAGAAAAACACAAAATGTTCCTCAGCTTTTGTATTGCAAAAGAGAAAGCATATAACTTAGTATATATAATCAGGTTTATGGAGGAGCTATATATATACATGAAAAAAACTAAACAATTCTATCTATATAGTATATATGGACTGCTTACAGATGGTGTTCAAGTTATTGCCAAACTGGAAACGTGAGGCAGAAGTTAAAAAGCTCGGTAAGCAAAATTGGGATAGAATTTGATTTCAGTGAATTCGTTTCTATGATTCTTCTTCTTACACTAATGTAAAAAAAATATATATATGGAATATTAAAGTTGCAGGTTACAAGGTTCATGGCGATCCTTTCTCCACCAACACAAGGCGTGTCCTCGCTGTTCTCCATGAGAAAGGACTCTCTTACGAGCCCATTACCGTCAAACTGCAAACCGATGAACACAAAAGGGAACCTTTCCTCTCTCTCAATGTAAGTAATGATATCGCAAAATCGAATGATTAGTGCCGAATGAGATTTCATTACACACCTGTAGATTATAGATTGACTTTGTGCCGAATCATCTACATATACATAATTTTGTTATATATGGTTAGGTTTTGATACTCACCTAGGGATTGGTTACTTGTAACCCAAGGATTTAGAGTTTTAACAGTGTGTTATTGATGCAGCCATTTGGTCAAGTCCCTGTTTTTGAAGATGGAAATGTTAAGCTGTATGGTGAGTTTAATCTTACACACTAATAACAACAACCTGATAAACATTTGTTATACTTATATCTAATCAATTTTTTTCCTTCTAGAATCCCGAGCCATCACACAATACATTGCATATGTTCATAGCTCAAGAGGCACACAGCTTCTGAATCTTAGAAGTCACGAGACAATGGCAACTCTAACAATGTGGATGGAAATCGAAGCTCATCAGTTCGATCCACCCGCATCAAAACTCACTTGGGAACAAGTCATTAAGCCTATCTACGGTCTAGAGACTGACCAAACAATCGTCAAAGAGAACGAGGCTATTCTAGAGAAAGTTCTAAATGTCTACGAGAAACGACTCGAAGAATCTAGATTCTTGGCTTGTAATAGCTTTACTTTGGTTGATCTTCATCACCTGCCAAACATACAATACCTTTTGGGAACTCCAACAAAGATACTGTTCGAAAAACGAACCAAAGTGCGTAAGTGGGTGGATGAGATTACGAGTAGAGAGGCTTGGAAGATGGCCTGTGATCAAGAGAAATCTTGGTCTAATAAGCAAAGGAACTAAATGAAAGCAGAAGTAAACTTTATGTGTGAATGAATGTGTTTGTGTGTTGAGTTTGGGTCTTTGTTCGTAAGCTTGTGTGTTGTTTGTTGCTTGGTGAATCTTATAAGATGCTTTGTGTTTGATTAATATATGTTTGATATAAATAAATATTATTTAAACTAATTAAAGAGAATAGCACCTAGCAGGCTAGCACTAATTAAAGGTATATACTATGTTGCATGGAAACTCTCTTTGAGGTCCGTTTCCCGTTTCCGAAACGTTTCGGAAACACGAAAAATGTCACAGAAACACGTTTCCTAAAAATCTATGTTTGGAAACACGATGGAAACTCACGTTTCCAAAATGGAAACACGACAAATTCTTTTTATTGACTTTGGAAACTTAATAAATAAAAGTTAAAAATATTAAGATTTATAATACATATAACTAATTTTGGAAGACTATTAGTTTTAAGATCTTTCTATCGACAAACTAGATTTGGAGGCATCTTTATATGATCTATGATGAAACTAATAAAAATGAGAATGAAAATGTTGGTCTAAATTAAATATTTGAACTTGAATCTTTTAATTTTTATCTTTTAGAATTTTAGTTAACCTATTTAATATTGATGTTTTGGACTTGTATTGTTTAATTTAACCATTTTTTATAGTTTTATGTTAATGTTACATATATATATATATACATATATTTTATTTATATGTATGTGTATACGTTTCCAAAACGTTTACAATCCCTAATTTTAGAAAAAAATCGTTTCCCGTTTCCGAAACGTTTCGCTTCCACGTTTCCGTTTCCGTTTCCATGCAACATAGGGTATATATGTACCTCACCTACATAGGCGGTTAAATCTGTACCTCGCTATTAAATTGTAAGCTAAATCCTTATAAGAAAAAAAAAAACTCTAAAGGAAAGAAATCTACAATGTCATGTCAAAAAATCCAACTAATTAGTAATAAACAAATTTGAAAAGGAAACGAAGTAAATTATTATGGTTATAATTAATTATAAATACATCTTTTGGATGCTCTATGATTAAGCAATCAATATACACCAAATATAAAAACAACTGAGTGTTGAGTGTATAGAGAGAGTCGAAAAAATGGGTTCCTCCATATTATTGGGTTCGTTTGCTCTCGTGGTTATGATGGCGATTTCTTACGAACCATTCCAATGTAATTATTTTGATGTTTTTTTTTCTTTTCCGTATTATACTATGAAATTTGGTTTCGAATTATATTCATAATTGAGTCGTAGGGATGGGAGTAAACGCGAGCGAAGTACGGATAACTTGCTACCATCATTGTAACCAGACGTTCGAGAGTCAAGAATTAGCTCACAAAGATGGTAATCATACTAATGGTGATTTCTACCAGAATGAACAGTGAATTTCTTTCATCTCCTACTTCATCGTAATACATGTAAAAGTGCAGAGTACAAGATTTATGGGTACCCTTACTCCACCAACACAAGGCGTGTCCTCGCCGTTCTCCATGAGAAAGGTCTCTCTTACGATCCCATCACCGTCGACTTGAAAGCCGGTGACCAGAAGAAGCCACGTTTTCTCTCTATCAATGTACTTTCCACCTCTAGCTAGTTAAATCTGCTTCACGAAATGTTTAGTGATATCTTAGTTTTAATTTAACAATGCGTTTATTGTATTATTGATGCAGCCATTTGGTCAAGTCCCAGTGTTCCTAGATGGGGATCTTAAGTTGACTGGTGAGTTTAAAACTACATTTAAAACTAATTGATCTAGTGAATTTTGATATAATTTGTTTTCCTCAGAATCTCGAGCTATATCTGAATACATTGTGACTGTCCATAAATCAAGAGGCACACAACTTCTGAATTACGAAAGCTACAAAAAAATGGGAACACAAAGAATGTGGATGGCTATTGAATCTTTTGAGTTTGATCCACTCACATCAATATTGACCCTGGAGCAATCCATCAAGCCTATGTACGGTCTAAAGACGGACTACAAGGTTGTGAATGAAACAGAGGCAAAGTTAGAGAAGGTTCTAGATATATACGAAGAACGACTCAAAAAGTCTAGCTTCTTGGCTAGTAACAGTTTCACAATGGCTGATCTTTATCACCTTCCGAATATTCAATACCTTATGGACACACATACAAAGAGATTGTTTGAAAACCGGCCAAGCGTGCGCCGGTGGGTGGCTGAGATCATAGCTAGACCGGCTTGGAAGAGGGCATGTGATGTTAAGGCTTGGTACCATAAGAAGAAGAATTAATGAGAGCAAAAAATTTGTTTTCTTGAGTTTGATGTTATGAATAAAAAGGCAAAACTTTTGCAAATTTCAGTGAATTAGTCATCTCCCTTTTGGTCCATAATAGAAATCGATCGTTGTGGAATCACTCTTTCATGTCATAATGATTGCAAATTCCGAAGTTTAATTTATACTTCAAAATATAAGATTTTCCGTACGTTTCACAAGCTTAAATGTTCTGTAAAGTCAAAGTGGTTTATAATTTAATGAGCATTTTTGTGAATGTGAAAAACGTAAAAAAGTATTTTGTATAAGATTTTTAAAACTTTTTTTGTGAAATATATTACAGTACATAAATTAGTAATGTATTCCTACATAATTATGGTTAGTATCATAGTATGTAATTCATGGATCGTTGCTTCAACATGATTGATCATTATTGACCCCAACTTTGTAATTATACCATATTGTTCAAAATGTGAAATATTTCGTTAGCATCCAACGATCTAACTTGAGTATCTAACGATCCAAGTGAACCCAACAACGTCGGTCAGACTTTTTGACTAGTAGATAAAAGACTATTCTTGTGGTCGTTGTCACGCGGCGGTTGATATTTTCTCTGATTATAATGTTTTTATAATTTATATGACGTTATATTTAAGTCTTGAACCAATAGAAACGACGAATCATACATTAATCAGCTTGACTTTGAAATAATCTTCTAAACACTTTATCAAAAAAAAATTCTTCTAACAAAAGAGTATTCAAGGTTTTATCCAAAAAATAAAAATAAAAAGAGTATTCAAGATTGGTGGCGCCTTTTGCTTTTTGTTTATTCACTAAGTTACTCTGTTTAGTTGTATAAATACACTTCCCCATTGTGTATTTCTTTTCATCAACCACAAAGATCTCTCTACTTCAACAAATCTTCACATTACTTTTAAGAACAAAAAAAAAACAGCGTTAACTAATGGCAGGAATCAAAGTTTTTGGCCATCCAGCTTCCACAGCCACGAGAAGAGTTCTCATCGCTCTACACGAGAAGAATGTCGACTTTGAATTCGTTCATGTCGAGCTCAAAGATGGTGAACACAAGAAAGAGCCTTACATCCTTCGTAACGTGAGTACATATAAAATTTGTCAAGACAAAAGATTGTTTTTCATCTAATTACTGAATCTTGGTCTAAATAATCTCGAATATTGTTTTGCAGCCCTTTGGTAAAGTTCCAGCCTTTGAAGATGGAGACTTCAAGATTTTCGGTAAGTATATATATATATATATATATATATATATATATATATATATATGTGTTAATATAGTAAACATGTCAAGTTACAGAAATTTGTATTTTTGATAATTGCAATAAAAGAAAGCAGAAACACTCAAATGTTTCTTTTGTTTGGCAGAGTCAAGAGCAATCACTCAATACATAGCTCATGAATTCTCAGACAAAGGAAACAACCTTCTCTCAGCTGGCAAAGGCATGGCGATCATAGCCATGGGCATTGAAATTGAATCGCATGAGTTTGATCCAGTTGGTTCCAAGCTTGTTTGGGAGCAAGTCTTGAAGCCTTTGTATGGTATGACCACAGACAAAACCGTTGTTGAAGAAGAAGAGGCTAAGTTAGCCAAAGTCCTCGATGTTTACGAACACAGGCTTGGTGAGTCTAAGTATTTGGCTGCTGATCACTTCACTTTGGTCGATCTTCACACTATCCCTGTGATTCAGTACTTACTTGGAACTCCAACTAAGAAACTCTTCGACGAGCGTCCACATGTCAGTGCTTGGGTTGCTGACATCACTTCTAGGCCTTCTGCTCAAAAGGTTCTTTAAGTGAATCAGAAGATTTGAATAAAAGTGGCGATGACCTAATTGCCTCAATTCTCTCACAAACAATAAAAGTGGCGATGACCTAATTGCCCAATTCTCATCAACTCTGTTTTGCTTTTTGGTGTGTTTCCTCTGTTTTCTGCTTCTGAGTGATTGGTTTGAATGTAATCTTCAATAATGAGTCTTCATATATAATAAAATATTTTATCTTAAAGTTTAGCCACCAATTAATGTTCATCTCAATGTCTCATTCTATTCTTCTAAGTCTTGAAAGTTGACTTTTCTTTCTTTTCCCATTGTAAGAAAGAAATTGACTGTTTACTGTAAATGCGTCTTAATTGGTTGAAGGTCTTAATCTGCAAATTAGTTAGTATCGTAAGTTTAAATTCAGACAAAAACACATTTTTTTAATTAAAATATTACAACACCAACTCCAAATTAGTTCTGCTACTCATCAATCACACTAATAATCTTCTTCGTTTTCCTAATCAATTCCAAACCTTCTCTGATGATGGCAAGCTTCAAAGTCAACAATGTTATTTATCATTTTTGGGCATAACTGTCACCAAAAAAGGTTCCTATATAAATATTCAAAGAAGTTAGAAGTTAATTAGTTTCCCAAATAAAACAGAGTAGAAAGGAAGTTGTTTTTAAGATAAAAAGTTATGGTTTTCTAAGGAAGCGTATAACAAAATTGAATTGCTGTGGGTGGCTATAGCTCCCTCGCTAAACCGTCATTTACTCGAGAGTGAGCCGCGTTTAACGTTCTCTCAATGTACCTTTGCACCTATAGTTAGATGACTTGTGTTTCACGAAATTTAGGTCTTAACTAGGGTTTCCATTTAACTGGCCTTATCTGTTTAAACGACAGTCTTCTAATCTCTAAACTCTTTGTTGAAATCCACGTTAGTTTAACAATTTTCTAGATTAATTTAGCCATAAATCATTGACTTAGCAAGCATGTTATAACGAGGGTTGATTATTACCTAACGATTAGTTACTCAAGTTTGTTATGTCTCACGTTTTAAGCCTCTTGATCTTACGTACACTTCCAACTAATTGATCTAATAAACCTTTTTGAATTTGATTCCGGGCAAATTTTGATATAGTTAGTCTTCCTCATATTCTCGAGCTATATCTGAAAACATAGGGACGAAAGCTACAAAACATGGGAACACAAGCAATGTGCATGGCTACCGAAACTTCTGAGTTCGAACCACTCGCATCAATACTGACCTGGGAGCAATCCATCAAGCCTAAGTACGGCCTAAAGGCGGACTATAAAGGTTGTGAATGAAAACCAAGGGGAAGCTAGAGAAGGTTCTAGATATATACAAACGACGACTCAAAAAGTCTAGCTTCTTGGCTTGTAGCTTCACATTGCCTCATCTCCTTGACTCAACTATCCAATTTGAACATCCAACGATCCACGTCGATTCAACAACGTCGGTCAAACTTTGACTAGTAGATAAAAGACTATTCTTGTTGTCGTTAATCGCGCCATGGTTGATATTTTCTCCGATTATATTGTTTTTTAATTTATATTAACGATATATCAAAGTCTTGAACCAATAGAAAAGACAAATCATACATTACTCAGCTGGACTTGAAATAACAAAGAGTATTCAAGATTGGTGGCGCCGAGTTTTTTTTCTTGTTTTTGTTTATTCACTAAGTTACTGTGTTTTAGTTGTATAAATACACTTCCCCATATGTGTATTTCTTTTCATCAACAACAAAGATCTCTCTACTTTTATAAATCTCCACTTCAAGAACACTAAAAACATCATTAATTAACTAATGGCAGGAATCAAAGTTTTCGGTCACCCAGCTTCCACAGCCACTAGAAGAGTTCTCATCGCTCTACACGAGAAGAATCTCGACTTCGAATTCGTTCATATCGAGCTCAAAGATGGTGAACACAAGAAAGAACCTTTCATCTTTCGCAACGTGAGTACATATAATATTTGTCATAAGAAAATATTGTTTCATTTATATACTGAATCTTGATCTGAAAAATCTTGAATATTGCTTTGCAGCCTTTTGGTAAAGTTCCAGCCTTTGAAGATGGAGACTTCAAGCTTTTCGGTAAGCAGCAAAACACTTAAATTTAGGCCTAATCATACTTAAATCACTTAAATTCTTTTTTCTTTTTTTCTATAAATTCAATTAAAGAAAGCAGAAACACTAAAGTTTTTTTATGTTTCTGTTGACAGAATCAAGAGCAATTACTCAATACATAGCTCATTTTTACTCAGACAAAGGAAACCAACTTGTCTCCCTTGGCTCCAAGGCCATTGCGGTCATAGCCATGGGCATTGAAATTGAATCGCATGAGTTTGACCCAGTTGGTTCCAAGCTTGTTTGGGAGCAAGTCTTTAAGCCTTTGTATGGTATGACCACAGACAAAACCGTTGTTGAAGAGGAAGAGGTTAAGTTAGCCAAAGTTCTCGATGTTTACGAACACAGGCTTGGTGAGTCTAAGTATTTGGCTTCTGATCACTTCACTTTGGTCGATCTTCACACTATCCCTGTGATTCAATACTTACTTGGTACTCCAACTAAGAAACTCTTCGACGAGCGTCCACATGTCAGTGCTTGGGTTGCTGACATCACTTCTAGGCCATCTGCTCAGAAGGTTCTTTAAGCGAATCAAAAACTGTTAATCAGAAGATTGAATAAAGTGGCGATGACCTCATTGCCCCAATTCTCATAAACAATATAAGTGGCGATGACCAAATTCTCATAAACTCTTGTTTTGTTTTTTTTTGTGATTCCTCTGTTTTTTTGCTTCTGAGTGATTGGTTTGAATGTAATCTTCAATAATGACTCTTCATATATAATTAAAAATATATTTGTTACCCTAAAGTTTAGCTACTAAGTAGTGTCGATCTCTTATGACAAAAAAAAAAAAAAAGGAGTAGTGTTGATCTCATTCTTGAAAGGAGTATAATTCTTGAAAGGAGTATAATTCTTGAAAGATGGATGACTTGAGATTTTAATTTTGTCATTGTAAGGAAGAAATTGACTGTTGACTTTTAATGCTTCTTAAACAGTTGAAGGACTAAATTTGCAATTTTATTAGACTATTAAACTTCATATTTAGACAGAATCACATTCAGTTATTAAAATATTACAACAACACTAACTCCAAATTAGTTCTGCTACTCATCAAATCACTAATCTTCGTCGTTTTCCTAATCGAACAACGTTTTTTTTTTTTTTCTGGGGTCTAATTTGTACCAAATATAAATTTCGAGATAATATTCAAAGAAGTTGGAAGAATAAATATTATTTCCGAAATAAAACTATGGAAAAAACGGAAGCTTTTTTAAGATAAAAGTTTGTTTTTTGTTTTTTTCGTAAACGTAGAAGAAAATTGAATGGCTGTGGCAACAGCTCCGTCGCTAAACCGCCATTTCCTCTGCCGCGTCTCGAACCCTTACTCGAGAGTTAAGCAACGACGGCCATGGCTGCCACCAGGAGACGCTACCCTTTTCAATTCTCGCCGGAGTTGGGATTCCCATCTCCTTTTTTTCGCTTCCTCTTCTTCTTCTCCTTCGTCGTCGCCTCCGTCTCCAAATTCACCGACGGATGATCTCACGGCAGAGTCGTGCGTCAATACTGGTCTTGATCTCTTTAAGAGAGGACGGGTAAGTTCTAGAGTTCGATGACGGTTCGAATGGTTTTGTGGTCGTAGGTGAATATGTTTCACTCGTTTTTTGGGTTTTCTGTGTCTTGCTCTCTTTGGTTGTTCATGTCTTCTATTGCGACGTTTGTATGATTCTGTATATTGGGTAAACCCTAATTCGATGAAATTTACTTACTTTCGCCACTCGCTAGTTGATGCTTGTAACTTTAAAAGGGATACTTTTTGTCTGATCGTTGCTAGTTTCTTGATCTTAATGGAGATTTTATGTTTGAAACTTGGAAAACAAAATTAGCAATTCTCTACATTCGCTTGTACTAGTTATAAATGTTGACACTTGGGGATAGCAAAAGATTTAGTTGATTTGTCATGTTGGGGGTTCTTTCAGGTCAAAGATGCTCTTGTTCAGTTTGAAACTGCACTGAGTTTGGATCCAAATCCTATTGAGTCACAAGCTGCTTACTATAACAAAGCATGTTGTCATGCTTACCGGTAAGAACCTTGAACCATGTGCCGATGAAACTGCCTTATAATTTACTGATTTGAAAGATCCTGATGAGATTATGTTGTCTTTCATTTCATCCCTATTGTTTATCGTCTTGAGGTAGGGGCGAAGGAGAAAAGGCTGCTGATTGCTTGCGAATTGCGTTAAGAGATTATAATCTGAAGTTTGCCACTATTCTTAATGATCCTGATTTAGCATCCTTTCGCGCATTACCCGAGTTTAAGGAGCTGCAAGAAGAGGTCTTGTAATCTCCTTTTGTATATCGTTTTCTTATCCCAAGAAAAACTTTCTTATTGGTGAAAACTTCTTCCAATTGTTTCAGGCTAGGTTAGGCGGGGAAGATATTGGCGATAGTTTCCGGAGAGATCTGAAACTTATCAGTGAAGTACGAGCACCGTTTCGTGGCTTTAGAAAATTCTTTTATTTTGCCTTTGCAGCAGCAGCGGGTATCTCAACATTCTTTACCGTACCAAGACTGATTCAGGCAATCAGAGGCGGTGATGGTGCTCCAGATCTTCTGGAAACGACGGGAAATGCTGCAATTAACATTGGAGGTGAGTCATAGACAATACTTGAATTTAAAATTCCATTTTTTTCTCTGCTATGTGAGTAAGCTTTCGGAACAGCAATGTGCAGGTATTGTTGTTCTGGTTTCACTGTTCCTTTGGGAAAACAAGAAAGAGGAAGAACAAATGGTACAAATAACTCGAGACGAAACTCTCTCCCGGTTGCCTCTACGCCTGTCAACCAACCGTGTTGTTGAACTTGTGCAGCTAAGGGATACAGTTCGACCCGTGAGTTTCTTGTTCCACTTTTTACTGCCTCAAGTGTTAATAAGCCTTTGAGTTTCTGAATATTGATTGACATTGTCGTTAGGTTATTCTAGCTGGGAAAAAAGAGACTGTTACACTCGCGATGCAAAAAGCAGATCGGTTCAGAACCGAGCTCCTAAGACGAGGTGTTCTCTTAGTTCCTGTGGTATGGGGTGAACGTAAAACACCGGAAATCGAGAAAAAAGGTTTTGGAGCTTCTTCAAAGGCAGCTACATCTCTTCCTTCAATTGGGGTAACGAGAAGATTCTGTCTTGGAACAAAACAAACAAAATTCTCCTTCATTCTCATTTTGTAATGCAGTGATTTTTCTTTACTTGATAGGAAGATTTCGATACACGGGCTCAATCGGTAGTAGCCCAATCAAAGCTGAAAGGTGAAATCAGGTTCAAGGCTGAGACTGTTTCGCCTGGTGAATGGGAAAGGTTGAAACTTTAATCACCTTATTGCTGATCAAATTTTGATAGAAGAAAGATAGAAACTTTGTTTTTGAGTCTTAAAATGTCTCTGGTTTTGTTTGTTTCAGGTGGATAAGAGATCAACAGATATCTGAAGGAGTTAACCCGGGCGATGACGTGTACATTATACTGCGGTTAGATGGTCGAGTCCGCAGATCGGGTAGAGTAAGTTCCATCTAGACACCTTTCCTCTCTTGCTTTCTCATGTTTGATGGAAAAGTAGTTTTGGTTGTTGGTTGATATCGACTTGTTGGTTTTTGAAGCGGTTTTGTGCATTGTAAGAAATAATAACTCTGTTTTTTCAGGGGATGCCGGATTGGGCTGAGATATCGAAGGAGTTGCCGACGATGGATGACGTGCTCAGCAAGTTAGAAAGATGAAACTGTGAAGCTTTCTGACATATTGTATCTTCTTCATAAAACCTTAGAAGAGTGCTCATAGGAGAAGAAAAGGTCTTTATTGTTTGTTTGTGTTGTTCACAAGTCCGTGAGATTGATACTTGCATTTTTAAAAGGAAAATATTTCTATTAATAACCGTGTTTTTTCCCAAAAAATGTTAATGCAATTGTATTTTTTTGTCTTTAGTGAGTTAGTGTTGTCATCTTCTATGATTTCTAAGAACCTGATTAGCTTAGATTGGTTTCCTATGAAATTTATTAGTATTATCATGTTTTTATGAGACGACTGATCCATGGCTCTGATTCTGAAGATGTTATATGAACGCGTTTTGTGATTCGATGAGACAAAGAAAATTAGGATTTGGCTTTTTGGAAGTCTTGTATATTTAAAACATGATTTATGTAAAAGTTGTAGTCTAATACTAATAATTCTAGATTATATTAGTTAAGGAAGGATTAGGTTATATTTTTTTAGTTTTATTGGGATAACGATGGCCCAACTCTTTTCATAGTCGTTGGGAAGAGAAGATGAATCATATCATAGCTTTTTGTTGTTTCAAAGTTATGGATTTTTATTTTAAAAGTGAACTATGATAATATATTTTTGAGTATTTGTTATTCAGTAGTTAAAAAGTTGGTACCAAACGTAATTTACAATGACTAGTATTGATCTCGGTAGATGCCAATGAGCATTGTTTACTAAATGAAAGCTATCAAATTTCAGATAGTGAATGAAGGATATAATCAAAATCCATAAAATGAATCAAATACCTTAAAGAAAAGTAATTTGTAACTTAATATATCCAAGATTAAGGAACAAGTCAATTATGATAATGTCATCTAGATTCAGTGCTTTCAGATCATAAAACATGATAGTGTTGATTTTTAAAATTCAAATGAATAATGAGAAAAGGCTTGACCCCTCCAATATTCCAAATCTTTTTGGTTCAATTCGTGTCGGCTCTAACAAATATTCAACCACTCCCAACAATTCTCCAATTTATAATTTGCATATATGATTTTGATATTTCATTGTCAAATCGAAATTTATTTCTGTTAATATAGAGATACATAAAAAAAAAAAAATTCGCATTATAATGTTCAAACAATTCTGTTGTAACTACAGAAATTAAATAATTCTAAATCAAAGCTCGTTAAATTTTCAAAATTTGAAAACAACAAGAGAAAAATGATAGGTACTAATAGATTAACAAGTTATTGTCATGCTATCTTTTATTTTTTAAGAAAAAAACAAACTGAAATTTTTAATAAGAACACAAAAGTAGAACTAGAAAAAACAACTTCAACCACTACGAAATTAAAAAATCGAGTCCATGCACTCACCATGTATATATAAACATTAACTTAAGCAATAATAATCAAACCATAGAACGATAGAACCATAGAAAGAAGGAAGACAAAAAAAAATGGCCAAGTCCTTCCCTCTGTTCTTAAGTCTTACGATTCTCATAATTTTCATCATCTCTTCACCTCCGGTCCAAGCCGGCTTCGCCAACAACCTCGATGGTCTAGAATGGGCTACGAATGGAGTCCATGGTTCAGGCTGCCACGGTTCAATAGCAGAGTGTATCGGAGCGGAGGAAGAAGAAATGGACTCGGAGATCAATAGAAGAATATTGGCGACCACAAAATACATAAGCTATCAATCTTTGAAACGGAACAGTGTGCCTTGTTCAAGAAGAGGTGCGTCTTATTACAATTGTCGGAACGGAGCTCAGGCTAATCCTTATAGTCGTGGTTGCAGCGCAATTTCTCGATGCAGGAGTTAGAATTACAAAAAAAGAAAGCTATATATCTTCTTGATCTTGACTTATGTTTTCTTTGATCCATCAAGTGTTTTTATTTTTATTAAATATTCATCATGTCTCTGCACAATAGTAAAAACCTATGTTTTGATCAAACCGGGTTGCTTTGTTATATTGTATGTGAATAATCAGGGTCTTAATGATCCATGAAGTGTTTGGTTTTAATTAAGGGATCTTTGAATACTCTCTGCACAGTACTAAAGTGTAAGAAACCTATGTTTGATGAAACCGGGTTTGGTTTGTACCTTAACCGCTTTCAAAGTCGTATTGAATAACCGGTTTCAAGTACTCAAGTTGTGTTACACACAAGTGAAGTGACCAACTCTCAACCTAACCCTTACCAACTATCAAACTCTCTACGCGTTTACGGGAACGGATAGGACATGTTGGCGAATTAATTTGTTTTTAAATGAATAGTATTATATATATATATATATATATATATATTGGTCGAATTGAACCATACCGGATGGTTAATTTTGAAATCCACTATGGATGGACTCTTGGAAACCTAAAAGGGAATACTACAAAATAAAAGTATAAAACATACTGAAATTATAACGAAAAGAGTGAAACATGCATACATAATTAAAAACAAATCAGCATTTTGGTTCTTGTCTAATCACTAGAGGTTTGTCCCAATAAAACATGTCGCTGATCAGCTTGACAACATCAATTTAATAAACCATTTTCATGTTATAATTTTATAGTTAAACCGTTCCATCGTTGAAAAAAAGAAGAGGTACAAATAAGTTTTTTTTTTCTTTTGAACAACAATAATATAGGTAGAAGATCCATAATTTTCTATCGTGATCCATAATAATGGATTTTTTTTTTCTTTTGTTAAAAAATATATATATATATATATATATTTTTTTTTTGTCAAAAAAAAATTATGGCAAAGTTTTGGAACATGTTTGCTTACGCTAGAAAAGAAAGAACATGAGTCAAGATGGTTTTTTTTTTTTGAACAACAATAATATAGGTAGAAGATCCATAATTTTCTATCGTGATCCATAATAATGGATTTTTTTTTCTTTTGTTAAAAAATAATTATTTTTATTTATTTTTTATTTTTTATTTTTTTTTGTCAAACTTAAAAAAAAAAAAATAAAAAAAAAATTAATTATGGCAAAGTTTTTGAACATGTTTGCTTACGCTAGAAAAGAAAGAACATGAGTCAAGATGGTTTTTTTTTTTTTTTTTTTTAAATCTTCTCCCTATTCTATTCCCAAATATCTAAAAAAAAAAAGAAGCTAGAGAAGATAATAATACTCAGGATTGAGTTTCTATTTTTATAAACAATAAAAACATCTTCTTCTTTTGTTGATTCTTATCCCAAAAATGATTTGGCCACAAAATTTTCTAATACCTTTTCCATTTCACCATTGATTTGTCTAGTCTTTTTCTTTTTCCCTGTTTCAATATAAGTGATGGATGTGAACCTAATGGGCTGGGTCTTAAAGGCAGACTACACTAATGGGCTTTTACCAATTACCCATTTCACTATTAATTGTCTACTTGCACAGTAAACAAACTTACTGCTCACATAATGGCGGGATCGATACACGTGCTTAATACAACATTCGGTTCGTTCCTAACTGCTACCGAGTTTGGTAGTTACCCCATAATTATTACCACAGTTGACCTTATTTTTAGGTTTGAAATTCATCTGTAACAGTAACACCATATTTGTGATGACCAAAACATGATATTTTAATCTAGTAAAACATACCAGGTTAGTTAAAAAATGCGTATAAATTAGCTGTAAGAATGTTACTTCAAAAGCAATAAAACGCATGTCAAGTTGTCAACATGTAAACCCAAACATTAACGATTAAAAATATACAATATCAGCCACAATAACAACAAGTAGCATACAGAGAATATTCTAATGTTTCCGGTCTATATGTAAATGGTCCTTTTTATATATTGACCGTTGGATGTTTTGGTTTTGAATCTGTACAAATAAAGTGAAGAGGAGAATCTACTTCTTCAATTCCCTCAAAAATATAAAATGCGTCTCTTCGGTCAAAAGCTCAAGTGGACCTGATTTTGTAATTAATTAATTTACTAGGAGAGTGAAAATAAAATACTTTCTTAAAGTAAAAAAAATGAGAGAATTGTTAATTTCCTTTTTAGAAATATGACAAAAAACGGAAAATGTAAAATATTAATAAAAAAGTCCAGATACGAACTTTTTTATAAGAAGAAGTTGCAGTTCTCTGAATATTTTAATTATTTATTTATTTGCAGTGAAAATCTCTCTTCTCTTTTATCTCTCTCTGGAAGCGTCTCTTCTTTGGATCAAGCGGCGGCGTTGAAGAAGAAGTAAGAGAAGTATGGTTGAGACCAGACGTAGCTCTTCTGCTTCCAAGCGTTTTTCAGCTGAAACAAGTTCATCCTCACGCCTTACCAAACGATCCAAGGTTAATATCGACACCAACGTTGCTGCTTCAAATCTCTTCTCTGCTTAATTCTGGATTTCGATTTGAGAGAGGATTAGGAAGGAGTTTAATCAATTCTTATTCTCCTGGATTTGAATCTGGGCTTTTGGAATTTCGTGTTGATTTTGAGTTTGTTTTGGTTTAGCGGGCTGCGGAACCGGCAGCATCTTCGTCGGCGAGTGAGGTGCCGATTGAAAATCAAGGACCGGTTTCGGATCCTGGATCGGAATCTGGAGAGCAAGAACTAAGAACTTCTGATCCGCAGAGTAATGATGCGGAAAGGCCAGTTAATAACACCGCTGTGCCCGCGATGGAGACCGACACAAATCCAGAAGTTGAAGGCTTGGTGACGCCTACACCTGCAGGTTCGCATGTTGCATCTTGTCCTTTCCTTACATAAAATGATCTCTTTTCTCATATGTTTCGTGTTGGTCTTGTTCAGGTGAAGTGGTGGTGGAAGCTGAGAAATCGAAATCCTCCAAGAAGCGGATTGCTAAGGCTCCTTGGGCCAAGCTACTTTCTCAGTATCCTCAGGTGTGTTTATTTGCTGTGACTGCTCTATATGTTGCTTGCATGTTTAGCAAATTGAGCCTACTAGTGGTTTTAGCTGTCTGCGATTCGGGAATTTAGTAAAGATCCTGGCTTTCCGTTTCGGAATCTTGCTGGTGAAATGTTAGTAATTGGTGATATAGTAGCTGATAAGTAAGAATTGTGAATTAGCGGCATATTTTAGTTGGAGACCATTGGTTGCTTCTAGCTTGCTACGGTTTTCTGAGTTTTCTGGCTAGTCTATCTAGGGATGTTTCAACTTCCAGTGACTCTACTTACTTTTGTGGTTTCTGACTGTCCTTATTTGCAATTTCAGAACCCTCATTGTGTCATGAGAGGCTCTGTGTTTACTGTTGGACGGCGAGGATGCGATTTATGTATCAGAGATCATTCTATGCCCAATGTTCTATGTGAATTAAGGCAGTCTGAGGTATGGACACTATCATCTGATTGATCTTCTACTACCCTACGGGACACAAAGCCTTTTACTTATTATGTTTTTTTGCAGCACGGAGGTCCATCGGTTGCATCACTGGAGATAATAGGGAATGGAGTACTTGTTCAGGTCAATGGCAAGATTTACCAAAGGAGTACTTGTGTTCATCTACGAGGTGGCGATGAAATTATCTTCAGCACCCCTGGGAAACATGCTTATGTATCCTTTTAAAAGTTCTCTGGAATGTTATCCACATTCCGTAATTAGGGATGATATATTTTTTTTTCTATTATATATCATCTATGAGGTTCTTATTATCTGTATTCAGTGTTTATCCTATTTTTTCCTTGACTAGTGTTCAGATATTTCAGCCTCTTAAAGATGAAAATCTAGCTACTCCAGATAGAGCTTCTTCATTGAGCATTTTTGAAGCGCAGAGTGCCCCTCTGAAAGGGCTTCATGTTGAGACAAGAGCAGGAGACTCTTCATCTTTATTGGCGTCTATATCAAAGTTACATAATGTCCCTTTTCTACCACCTACTGCTAAAAGTGTCAAAATTCAGCAAAATTCAGAGGTTCCTGTTCTACCTTCTAGCTGCAATGATTGTATTCTGGATGTTGACATGAACGATGATGATAGTCATAATGATCATGCTGCTATTGCTTCAACGGAGAAAACTGTTGCTTCGACCTCTTGTGCTGCCAACGATGACCTGAATGCAGATGGAAATGGAATGGATCCTTTTCAAGAAGCTGAGGGTGGAAATATTCCTGGTTCTGGTTATGAAATTAGACCAATTTTGAGTTTACTTGGGGATCCTTCTGAATTCGATTTAACGGGTAGCATTTCCAAAATACTGGTGGAAGAACGAAGGGAAGTGAGGGAAATGCTGAAAGAAAATGAACGTCCATCAGCTTCGGTGTTAACTAGACGTCAAGCACATAAGGATAGTTTGCGAGGAGGAATACTCAAACCTCAGGACATAGAAGTTTCTTTTGAGAACTTCCCATATTTCTTAAGGTCAGTCGTGCTTATAATTTTCTATGAGACTTATATTATACTTTGCTACGGCAAGATGAAAAACACGTACAGTACTGTGGTGTTCCAAGTTTGATAAACAACTTTCTGAATTCTCACAGTGGCACAACTAAGGATGTTTTGATGATATCAACATATGCCCATATGAAGTATGGAAGGGAGTATGCGAAGTATGCATCAGATTTGCCAACAGCGTGCCCCCGTATCTTGCTCTCTGGACCATCTGGTATAAGGGAAACTCTGGAAAAGTATTGTTTTTGATTCTTTTGTTTCTCATTTCCATTTCCCTAACAAAATTCTCATATGGAATATTTTGAAGGTTCTGAGATATATCAGGAAATGTTAGCAAAAGCGCTTGCGAAAAAATTTGGGGCCAAATTGATGATTGTTGACTCTCTCTTGTTACCTGGGGTAAACTTCCATTTTTCGTTTTTAAGCGTTTGATTGGATGCATATTTGTAACAAATTTTATGGTCTTATCTTAAAATCGTGAGCATATTGGTATTAAATTGGCACTGTGACTATTGGTTTCTTTAGAAGCTATATTTGTCCTGGCAATCTGTCAAGTTTTTGGGATTTACACAATACTGCTAGCATTGATTCTCTACTGTTTCTGGATGGCTTCAGGGATCAACACCCAAGGAGGCAGATTCTACCAAAGAAAGTTCTAGGCGTGAAAGACTGTCTGTGCTTGCTAAACGAGCTGTACAGGCTGCACAAGCTGCTGTTTTGCAGCATAAGAAACCAATTTCAAGTGTTGAGGCTGATATAACAGGTGGATCAGCATTGAGCTCTCAGGCTGTTCCGAGGCAAGAAGTATCAACTGCAACCTCTAAAAGTTATACCTTTAAAGCAGGTATGGTTGCTTATGTCTTGTTTTTTTTTTTTTTTTTTTTTTCGTTGTTGTGCCGCTTTCTGTGTTACTGAACAAACACTTCTGTAATTCTTAGGTGATCGAGTAAGGTTTCTAGGCCCTTCAACTTCTTCTCTTGCTTCTCTTGCTTCTCTCCAAGCTCCACCTAGGTATTGTTCTTTGTTTTTATTCTCTTCTTTTGTTTGAGGTGTTTTCATCTGAAGTAGGTTGTTGTTAGAAAAACTCAATTTATTTCTTTTTTTCATACTATTATTTCTAGGGGACCGGCAACAGGTTTTCAGGGAAAAGTACTCCTTGCATTTGAAGGCAATGGATCTTCAAAAATCGGGGTTAGATTTGATAGGTCGATACCAGATGGCAATGATCTTGGTGGTCTATGCGAAGAAGACCATGGTTTTTTTTGTACTGGTAATTTTCGTGCTAATATCTACTACACATTTGCGTTTAAAAGGTAATTGTAGTAATGACATTCTTCGTGTGCAGCGAGTTCTCTTCGGTTAGAAAGTTCTTCCAGTGATGATGCTGATAAACTTGCCATTAATGAAATCTTTGAGGTAGTTTCTTACCACTTTTTGTTGCCTATATTAAATCTCTGTCCTCGTAGCTACAGAAGCCTTTAATCTCTTTGAATGATATTGTAGGTGGCTTTTAGTGAAAGTGAAAGAGGGTCATTGATATTGTTCCTCAAAGACATTGAGAAATCTGTGTCGGGGAACACTGATGTGTATATAACTTTGAAGAGCAAGCTTGAGAATTTACCCGAGAATATTGTTGTCATAGCTTCGCAAACCCAGTTGGACAGCCGAAAGGAAAAAGTAGGATTTCTATTTAATCTCTCTTTTTGTATGCTTAAGCTGTCTTAAAAGACTTACGTTCTTCTCAAAATGGTTAATTTTTTATTGTTTGATATCTCATTTTCAGTCCCACCCTGGAGGTTTCTTGTTCACAAAGTTTGGCAGCAACCAGACAGCACTACTGGATCTTGCATTTCCGGTATGATAATCTTTAATAATTTCCATTTCAGGCAAATATTCTTTTTTTCCTGAATTTGTAACTTGTAAATGACGATGCAGCATATACCCATATACATAAAATTATATCCTATCTCTCTTGAATGTGTGAAGGAGTGATTTTTCATGTCATCTGCAGGATAATTTTGGTGGTAGACTGCAGGATAGGAACAAAGAAATGCCTAAATCAGTGAAACAAATCACTAGGCTATTTCCAAACAAAGTGACCATCCAGTTACCTGAGGTCTAAGCCTTTACTATTTTTTTTCTTGTTTACCATTTGTTTCTTTTTATTTCATTTTCGTTTGTTCTGAAAACATAACAGGATGAAGCTTTGCTGGTGGACTGGAAGGATAAACTTGAACGTGATACAGAGATCCTGAAGGCTCAAGCTAATATTACCAGCATCCGTGCGGTGAGCATCTTTCAGTGAAGTCCTATGTCTATATAAATATTCCTGCTTTTTCTTTTTGTGTGTGTTTCCTTATGTCTTTGTTAATGGTTCTTGGCAGGTCCTTAGCAAAAACCATCTAGTCTGCCCTGACCTTGAAACCTTGTGCATCAAAGACCAAACCCTTCCTTCTGATAGTGGGCATCTTCAACTTTTCCTTCTTTCTTTCTTTCTTCCTTGAGCATCTGGTTATTTGTCTAACCGAAAACCGTATGATTAATAGGTGTGGAGAAAGTGGTTGGCTTTGCTTTCAATCACCATCTTATGAACTGCGCAGAACCTACAGTCAAGGACGACAAGCTTATCATCTCGGCAGAAAGGTGAGCTTCTTCGAATAGAAATTCTGAAATATAGATCATGCAGATTCCGAGTGTGATATTTTCTTGCGTATAACCGTTTGGCATGTGTTGCAGCATCACATATGGCTTGGAGCTGTTGCATGGGATTCAAAACGAAAACAAGAGCACAAAGAAATCTCTGAAAGTAATATATAGAAATCTTATGCTATTTCGACTCTCAATTAACTTCTGGATTTTAACAATTACTATGCTATATTATTTTCAGGATGTTGTTACTGAGAATGAATTCGAGAAAAAACTCCTATCAGACGTCATTCCTCCAAGTGATATCGGTGTTTCTTTCAGTGATATTGGGGCTTTGGAAAATGTGAAAGATACCTTGAAGGAGTTGGTGATGCTTCCTCTTCAAAGACCCGAATTGTTTGGCAAAGGTCAACTTACAAAGGTACCTTTCTTGCTTTTTATTTATTTTCAAATGTCTATTTCATTCCATATTCTATGGAAACTGAAATATAACCGGGTTTTTTTCATGCAGCCTACAAAGGGTATACTGTTGTTTGGACCGCCTGGTACGGGGAAGACAATGTTGGCAAAAGCTGTAGCAACTGAGGCTGGTGCAAACTTCATCAATATATCAATGTCCAGCATTACTTCAAAGGTATTGATTACTTAAAACGGTTACCTGACTCTGTAATGTTTCCTTTGAGATTAGACTTGACTTGTAGATTTCGTGCAGTGGTTTGGTGAGGGAGAGAAGTACGTTAAAGCTGTTTTCTCTTTAGCAAGTAAGATAGCACCAAGCGTCATTTTTGTTGATGAGGTATGTTGTTAGACGTTAAGAACAGCTCTCCTCCGCTTTAAGCTTCTTTGAATACCTGTTTTTATTACAGTTCCTTTTTCCTTCTGAATATCTTTTGAACGGGAATAAAATTATGTAGGTTGATAGCATGCTCGGAAGACGTGAGAATCCAGGAGAACATGAAGCTATGCGTAAGATGAAGAACGAATTCATGATAAACTGGGACGGCTTACGCACAAAGGATAAAGAAAGAGTTTTAGTATTGGCTGCTACCAACAGACCATTTGACCTTGACGAAGCAGTAATTAGACGGCTTCCCCGAAGGTAATGATAAACTGTCAACTATTCTCTGATTTCTGTATCTTTGGCATCTTCGCTTAAGAGTAGATCTTCTGTGCAGGTTGATGGTTAATCTGCCGGATTCAGCAAACAGATCGAAGATCTTGAGTGTGATTTTGGCGAAAGAAGAGATGGCAGAAGACGTAGATTTAGAAGCAATAGCAAATATGACAGATGGGTACTCAGGGAGTGACTTAAAGGTCTGTAATTTCCTCCATCCAAAGCACAAACTGAAAATCCGTTTTATAAAAATCCACATTCTAATCAATTGTTTGGTCTGCAGAATCTTTGCGTGACCGCGGCACATCTTCCTATCCGAGAGATTCTGGAAAAAGAAAAGAAGGTTTGGCTCTGTTTTAAAAATCATAATAATGGTTATGATTTGTGGTTTCCGTATTTGAAACCATGCTATTGCTGACTCGCAGGAGAGAAGTGTGGCTCAATCCGAAAGCCGACCAATGCCACAATTATATAGCAGTAGAGACATTAGACCCTTGAACATGAATGATTTCAAGGCCGCACATGATCAGGTTTGAGAAACTGTAACATACAAATTAGTTTCACCATTTGGTCTAGTTTTGGGATTTAATGGAATGTTTTGTTATTGCTGTAAGGTATGTGCGAGTGTGTCGTCTGATTCATCGAACATGAATGAGCTCCAGCAATGGAACGAGCTCTACGGAGAAGGAGGCTCGAGGAAGAAGACATCACTGAGCTACTTCATGTAAAGAGAAAACAGAGAGGTTGTGTTTTCTAGTTTATCAATATATATTTAAATCTCTCTTTAATTTATATATTGTACAGAGAGATAGAGAGAGAAGAGAGTCCTCTTGAATTGTCTAAAAATGTTTTCTTCGGAGCTGCCTCAATTCTTTTCTTTCTTTCTCCAAAAAAAAACTCATAAACATCAGATATACAATCTGTTTACATGCTTGATTGATGTAATATGTTATCTATATGTAATGTATATAGAGTTTAGATATTTTTACTCCTAATTTTATATAATTTCTTATTTTTTGTGATGAAATTCATTATTTTTTTACTCTTAGTTAAAATGTCTTCAACTATACAAGTTTGCTTTAGTGGTAATGGTTGATAGGTTGAGAGAAACAGCCAGAGGGAATCTGAAACCAGAAGTCCACATTATCACGGAATATATTATGTTTTAACATAAATATTTTGTAATACTTAAGTCTTTTACAATTGAAAGCATTTTGTATGATTAAAAAATCTTTAGTTAAAATATCAAAACGGTTTACTTAACATACTATTTGAAAAAAAAATTAAAAAAGCGTTAAATATAAAAATCAAAATAGTTTAATATAAGGAAATTTGACTGAATCTACCACATTCCGGAATGTGGCATTCCAAATATAAAACGTTTTTGAAAAAATTTAAAACTTTACGAAGTGTTAAATTTATGACACTAAGCTTACGGACTAAAATGCTAAATCTAGTTTGATTTCGACATATTTAAATTTAATACTTAATTTTTTTTTCTTAAAAGAGTTTGTAAAATCAAATTTGTTTAGTTAAAACATTATTTGTGAAAAACCTTAAAACTTAATCAAGTGTTAAATATAATTTACGTGAAACATGTTGAACTTATAACAGCACTAGACTTACGGACCAAAAAGACGGGATGCTAAGTCTGGTTTATTTTCAACATATTTAAATTTAAAACTTAATTACAATTTTTTTTTTGTAAAATTCAAACACTATTAGTTATATATCAAAACAATTTACTTCAAAAATTATTTTTGAAAACCGTTTAAAACATAACTAAGTGTTAAATTTTAATTACATGAAAACATGTTGAACTTATGACACCTCAAGACTTACGGACCAAAAGGATGGGATGCTAAGCCCAACGTGTTTTCAAGCTATTTAAATTTAACATTTAGTTTTGTTTTTAAACAAAAATATTTTGTAAAATTCAAAAACTTTTAGTTAAAAATCAAAACAATTTACTTAAAACATTATTTTTGAAAACCGTTTAAAACATAACTAAGTGTTAAATCTTAATTACGTGAAAACATGTTGAACTTATACACCGCAAGACTTACGGACCAAAAGGACGGGATGCTAAACCCAACTTGTTTTCAAGCTATTTAAATTTAACACTTAGTTTTGTTTTTAAACAAAAATATTTTGTAAAATTCAAAAACTTTTAGTTAAAAATCAAAACAATTTACTTAAAACATTATTTTTGAAAACCGTTTAAAAATAACTAAGTGTTAAATCTTAATTACGTGAAAACATGTTGAACTTATACACCGCAAGACTTACGGACCAAAAGGACGGGATGCTAAGCCCAACTTGTTCTCAAGCTATTTAAATTTAACACTTAGTTTTGTTTTTAAACAAAAACATTTTGTAAATTAAAAATATTTACTTAAAACATTATTTTTAAAAACCGTTTAAAACATAACTAAGTGTTAAATTTTAATTACGTAAAAACATGTTGAACTTATACACCGCAAAACTTACGGACCAAAAGGACGGGATGCTAAGTCCAACTTGTTTTCAAGCTATTTAAATCTAACACTTAGTTTTGTTATTAAACAAAAACATTTTGTAAAATAAAAAAAATACTTCAAATATTATTTTTGAAAACCGTTTAAAACATAACTAAGTGTTAAATTTTAATTACGTAAAAACATGTTGAACTTATACACCGCAAGACTTACGGACCAAAAAGGACGGGATGCTAAGCCCAACTTGTTTTCAAGCTATTTAAATCTAACACTTAGTTTTGTTTTTAAACAAAAACAATTTGTAAAATAAAAAAAATAGTGTTAAAAAAACTTAGTTTTATTTTTAAAACAAAAACATTTTCTATCTTATTTTAACGAATAATAGAAGAAATAACTTACAGAGAATTAGTAGTGTTGATGATAGTGTTTGTCCACAAATCTAGTAGGCGATAATTTCCAATAGGCTGAAATTGAATATAACGAAGAAAGGAGTCAATATTGGTTGAGAGGGATAAATAATAAATAAAGTTAGAAAGAGATGAAAATAAAGAAAAGCAGAGAGGATTTTGGAGATTACTTACAGGTCAAGAAAGAGAGGATTATGAGATTGGTGTTATTGTTGAGTCATAACAGCATCATCCCTAATTATGCCAAGAGAGTGAGCCAAAATTATGCTGTTGAATGGTTTTGCTCATTGATAAGGTGTTACTCGGCTGTGACCTAATCGACGATTGAGCCTTGCTGCTGCCTCTCCGATCCGGTGATAGAAACAAAAGACCATCACTGTAATCAAACGCCGACGACATTCTTTTTCTGAATCTTCTTCATCCTTCAAATTAACAATCGACGGTAAATAGTCACCTGTTTCACAGAATACAAAACAAACCCTATCAAAATCCCAGATTAAACAAGCAACGAAACTCACACCAAAATAGTTTCGGAGCAGACGTACCGACTCAGTAAAACTCAACCAGATTCAGAAGAACAACACGAAAAGATATAGCTTGTTCTCATCGCCATTGCAACGTTCTCTCTCTCATGATATAATTTTGATTTCTCTAGAAGAAATAATAAGAGATTATGTTTATATTTATAAACAGGTGTTCCGTCGTTGTCTCGGAAAAAAAAAGGAAATTTCCTTTACACATGTTATATCAGAAAAAGTAAATCACTCGGATCAATAATAAAAATAAAAATGGAAAATAACCAAAAAGAAAAGGAAATGTTTTTTTTTTTTTTTTTTTTTTTTTTTGAACAAAGAAGAAAAGGAAATGTTATGTTTTTTTTTTTTTGTTGAAAATTTGCTTTTGCATTAAATTACAATAAGCCGAGCCGACTGTAGTGGTTGTTGGGCTTTAGACCCACTAAACATAAATGAAAAGGGCTGTATAACGAAACCCACAAGAACAATAACCCAATTTGGGTCCACAATGAAAATAGCCCACCCAACGCCCAAAGTTTGTCATTAACCAAATAATGGCTGCTAATAATAATAGTCACGAACGAACAAGAGATAATCAATTCGGCGAAGAAGAGTTTCGTCGCTATTGAAGATGTCACGGTGAAGTCGTGAGTTTTGTCACGAAAAATAAAAGGAAATCGATACGACGTCGTTTGGAGTGATGACGTCATCTGTTTCGTTGGCGAATTGATGAGTCAATGCGAGAAACCTCTGTTTGAGATTTGAGGGTTTCTTATCGAATTTGATTTGGTTGATCTCTTCTCCCCCATATAATTCTATTTTTTTTTTCCCTTAATTGCAAGCAAAATATCTCTACCTGATTTATTTTTTAAAATAATAACAACAAAAGAACTATGGGTTAAAAAAAGAAGACACCTTTTCGTGGTTGGAAAAAGTCACGTTTTTCTAGTTTAATAAGATGGAGACGTGGCCTTGTCTGAAAAGTCAACGTTTGGTCGTTTCGGTGAGGTACTGTCTATATTTAATTTTGCAGCAACCAGCAGAGTGATTGAATGAATAATACATAAATAAAAAGGTTATCAGAAACAATTCCTTCTTCATCTTCTTCTCTCCGATGTCTGCCATGGATGTTATGCTTCACTCTTCAAGCTTTCTCCTCCCTTCGAATCCCGTCGACGATACTACAGGGACGAGATACGCTCTCATTGTTCTTAACCAGAGTTTACCACGATTCGCTCCTCTTCTCTGGGAACATGGTACTGATGAATGATGAATCGCTCTATTCTTCAGAATATATGACTCTGTGATTTTTTGGGTTTTAGGTTTATTTATTTGGTTTCGAATTTCTGTGTAGAACAGCAAAACTTCGTCTCTGTGCTGATGGAGGCGCTAATCGCATCTACGACGAATTACCTCTCTTCTTCCCTCATGAAGACGCTTTGGCCATTCGAAACAGGTCTCTCTCTCTCTCTCTCTCTCTCTCTCTCTCTCTCATTCCTTGAAATCTGATACTCTTTCTTCGGAATTTGGAGATTATTATTCAATTTGTTGTTCCTAGTGATGGTTTATTGGAATAATTAGCCTAAATTTGAGCTGGAGATTGTTTTGTATGAGTTCATAGATTCACCTTCTTCTTATCTTTATGATTTGATAGATTTGATGTATATTACATAGACAAAGGTTTCATGAAGAAGAACTTGAATCTGGAAAATCTTGTATTTTAGGTATAAGCCGGATGTTATCAAGGGAGATATGGATTCTATTCGGCGTGACGTCCTCGACTTTTATGTTAACTTGGTAAGCTCTTTGTGTGATTACATTTTTAGAATCATTGTGTGTGGTGTCTTTGTTAGATCGAACATGCTTTCTCTGTTTTTTTCTCTCCAGGGAACTAAAGTTATAGATGAATCTCAAGATCAAGATACCACTGATCTTGATAAATGCATTTTGTATATCCGTGACTCTACTTTGAATCAAGAGAGTTCCAGAGTAAGTTTTTTTATTTATTAAGAATGCTCTCTGCCTTTGTTTCTCTGCAACGTTTTCGCCTTATTTTTTCTATGTTTCTTCTGTCAGCTCCATATTCTTGCCACTGGAGCACTTGGTGGAAGATTTGATCATGAAGCCGGTAATATCAATGTCTTATATCGATATCCAGATACAAGGATAGTCCTTTTATCTGATGATTGCCTCATCCAACTCCTTCCAAAGAGTCATCGACATGAAATACATATTCAGTCTTCTCTTGAAGGACCTCACTGTGGACTCATACCCATTGGAACTCCATCTGCTAAAACCACAACCTCAGGGCTTAAATGGGATCTCGGTAAGTAACATTTTGCATCATCATCATTATCATTATCAGCATCATCAGATCGATCTAACTATACTTTATATCTGTTTTTTTTTTTATAATCGTCTTAAAGCCAACACTGAGATGAGATTTGGTGGGTTGATAAGTACATCAAACTTGGTTAAAGAAGAGAAAATCACAGTCGAATCGGATTCGGATCTTCTCTGGACTATATCCATCAAGAAAACAGGACTTTCCATAGAAGACCATACACCTTAGGCGCGGTAACAAAAACACATTTTAGTTTTATACGCCACTATTATATTCCTGACGCGTCGAATTACTTCAACATTATTGTGTTGATTTGTTTTCACTGTACCAGCAATGATACCTGTTACCTGTACCATTACTGTCGTTATACATAAGATTATTATTTCTTTGGTTTTGTCATTTTTATGTGAGGCTTCTTTGATTTAACTCAAAATTGTGATTGGATGTTGGTTAGATATTGGAATCTACTTGTGCCGTATATGAGAACAGACAAAATTCAAAAGGTGAATGACTACGATAGGGCATATGATTGCTTTAAAAGAAAAACACACTTTGTATTTGTGATTGCGATTACATGTTACAGAAACATTAATATGAAGAGAAAAAGCAAATATAAACATTAAAAAAAAAAGATTTAAAAGGAACAATTGTAGTCTAAACAGAATTGGAAAAGTGATAAAAGAATGAAACAAAACCAAATTGAGATATAATGGGTTGTTACACATTAGCATGACGTACATCTCTTTCTCAAATGAGAAGCTACCATGGGTCTGCACAAGTACCAACCAAAATCTGCACAAGTAACATATGTGAGAGATATGTTAAAAGTATGTCAGATTTTGTCTACTTCTAATCCTAAAAATGAATGATATGTTTGATCTCATATCTCCTCTACCGTCCAACATGTGAATGAACACAGTTCATGCTATCTATCTATCGGAAAGTTAATTATGGTCGGTCTACGACCCATACATAAATAAAGTGTTCTATCTTTTTAAACATAAAGTTGATTTTCTGTCTCCTTTCCATAGTTTGTGCACTTGTTCCAACTTCCATGAGCGGTGCAATCACTTTTTAATGCATATACAAGTTCAACAAAAATCATCAAAAGTTGAACAATGAATGATTCGGACTTCCATGTTAAGTACTCCCTCCATTTCACAAAGAGTGTCGTTTTAAGGTTTTAATTTCATTTCACAAAGAGTGTCGTTTTGTGTTTTCAATGCAGTTTTAAAGACTAATTTTCTTTTTTAACCTCACTATTTTAACTTATTAATTAGAGAGAGGGTATTATTTAGTGTATTACTAAGGAGTAGAAATGAAATTTGTTTACTTTTCTTAATTTATGTGAAAAATGCTGAAATGACACTCTTTGTGAAACAGAGGGAGTATAAGATTAATTGATTTTTAAAGTTTACAAATTTGTGTGTGGGTTTTGGATGTTTGCGTTATTCGTGGCCTACGTTAAGAAAAGAAAATACTTTGAGGGCTTATATGTAAATATCAATGTCTATAATTTGGAATTAAGGGTGTGTACTATGTACATATAGTCTGTCTTTTGGTCGGTTTCGATTCTGTTTTATCGATTTTAGTATGAGAAGAACATTTGTTACCAACATGAAAAACTGAATCTAAATATAGATTAGTATTAACACTTATATTACGTAATTATTAAATTTATAAATCTTGTCGATGAAAGTGAACTATACACATGTTTTTTAAAAAACTTGTACATGCTTGATGCTTTAAAAAAGGACAAATAGGATTCATATATGTGATACGAAAATTATATGTTTGGTTAAGTATAGAATTCGAATTTGGGCCAAAAAAAAGTAGTTCCGTGTTTCAAAAAAGTAAAAGGCTATTGGCTATTTCAATTTTCAGCTTTTCCTGTCCAAAATAAACCTCAAATCCTGAACACTAACGAAGCTCTCAGCCGTTAGATTCTATATGATTCACCTAACACCTATACACTAGCAGGTAGACGATAACCACTCGACGTTCTATAACATAGTCTATCTGAAGAAACTAGTTGAGAGACTCTGCTCGATCAAAAGAAAATCTTTGCGACGTCATCGTTGTTGTTCTGTCTCTTTAGGGTTACACGAGTTCAGTTCTGCTTCCAGTAAATTAATTATGAGGTAAACTCAAAAAGTCGGCGTCATTTGTATTGTCGATAGATTTGGGGACACACTTGCTCTTAGGTTCCTGTAAAATGGGAACAATAAAACATTTGGGGGATTTTAGATTCAATCCTAGGGTTTATGGTGTCTGTTCGGTAAATTCTTTGCGTTTATAAATGTGGCTTCGATGAAATTTGGTTCACTCCTTAAAACCTATGGAGTCTTTAGACTTAGGGTTTTGGGATCTGTGCTTGTAGAGGTTTAAAGTTGCGGTTTTTCATTAACCTTCATGCATAGTTATTGGAATTAATGCATTTGCTTAGGGTTATCGTTTTACAAGGTTGTTAGCACTCAATTAGATTGTTTTGATGTGAATTTTACAGTCATCATCCAGAAGTGAAGTGGGCTGAGAGAGCCGATATAGTTTATTTAACCGTGCAATTGGCTGATGCTAAGGATGCAGATGTTAAACTTGATCCAGAGGGAATCTTTAGTTTCTCTGCCAAAGCTGGACCTGATAACCAGCTTTATGAGCTTAAGCTTGAACTTAATGACAAGGTTAATGTAGAGGTAAGATTATGAGACTTTGTCTCCTCTTTTTCCTTTTGCTGTTTGTGTGTGTTGCCTACTATCAGGTTCTAATTCTCTCGTTTTTTTCGATTTAGGAAAGCAAAATAAACATTGGATTAAGAAGCATAGTCTGCATCTTGGAGAAAGCAGAACCAAAATGGTGGAATAAGCTATTGCGTGGAGGCAAACCTCCTCACTATGTTAAAGTTGATTGGGACAAGTGGGTCGATGAGGACGAAGATACACCCACTGGTTAGCACCTTCTGGACCATATATATCTATTCAACTTCATTTTCTGCACTTACATAAATTTGTAGGCAGTGTTAAATTTTGGTTTCTTCTTCTTTTCTTTTTCTGGTATAGGTCCTGGAGATATGGATATGGGTGGAATGGGTGGGATGGGCGGAATGGATTTCTCGGTATGCTTTTTAGCTTACAAGTGCTAATTATCTTCTGCTTCCTTTACTTGTAAGTTTTGAGAAAAACTTCATGTTTCTTGCTTCTTGTAGAACTTTGGTGGAATGGGCGGTATGGGTGGAATGGGAGGTATGGGCGGTATGGGAGGTATGGGCGGTATGGAAGGTCTCGAAGGGCTTCAAGGGCTTGGTGGAATGGGCGGCCTTGGCGGAATGGGTGGTATGGATGAATTTGATGATAGTGATGATGAAGGTGAGATCTTTTTCAAAACCTTTTCTTGTTTAAGTTTGATCAGATCATTTTTGATGCAATGATTTGGTTTCGCGGTGTTACACCCTCTAATCCATCATTTAGTACACTTAGCAACCAAATGATTTTGTATTTGCAGGAGAAGAAGCCAAGTCTGGAGAGAAAAAGGAGGAAACACAAGCTCCTGCTCCTGCGACAGAAGAGGCGAAAACCGAAGAGCCAACACCTGTGAAGAGTGACAAATGAAGACATTGTCCATAAACCGTATGGTATGACTAACCGATAAAGTCTTTATGCGTTAATGAATACTGCTGAATGGTTTGCTCTTTTAAATCTTTCCCTCTGCTTATTTAATTGTTGAGTTCACGATCGGTTCTTATGTCTTTTCTATTTTTATCAATTTGAAATGTTGTTCTTGAACCTGCAATATTTTTGGTTGGTTGTAGACTTGTAGTGGGCTTAGAGTTTGTGAGAAGAAGCTCTTTAAGTTTGTTGATCTCCATAAAACTTATTTGTATACGATCGCACAAAACCGGAGTTTATGGACCGGAAGTTACCTAGACAGTGGTCATTTTGGGAAAATGGTCTTCTTACAAGAATGTTAAAAAAAAAAAAATTATAGTACAATGCGCCCTTTTTTTTCCTATACATATGTGTATTTAATACGGCTTTTGTAAAAATGAAATCTTTTGTTTAGAATTTGCTTTAGCAACAAATTTACTTGTCAAAATTATAAAAGATCCACTGAACCAATCAAATATCTACTGGCGAATTTCATCACGACCGGTTTAAAACTTCATAGAGTTAAACTACAAACGACGTCGTTTTACAGAAGAACCTTGTAAACCCTTGTAGTTTAGTTAAACCCTTTCCGCCGCGAACATCATCTTTCTGCTTTTTCTTCTACATCGCAAAAAAAAAAATTCAGTGAGAGGCAGAGAGAGAGAGAGAGAGATGGCGAGGTCGAGAAGAAAGTACAGGAACTCTAGGGCGAAAGTTCGCGTTGCTCTTCCTAAGAAGAACCCTAATATCTTTAAACCAGCTTTCAATTTCCCTCCCAAGCTCCGCGCTCTCATGGCCGACGATGTCCCTGAATGGGACGATCAAGCTAGCGTTATCCAGAACTACAAATCCTTTGGCGTCCTCTCTAACCCTAATTTGCTTGGTATCCGATCTCGCACCGACCATATGATTCAGGATGATTCCCTCAACGTTCCTCCACCTGTAGAGCCACCCACTGATGATCCTATTGCTAAGGAGTTCGAGCCCATCGATTCCGGAAGCGAACTTGAGGAAGACGGTACGTTTTTCTCCTCTGCCTTTGATTCGATTCTAGATTCAACCTGGATTAGTCTTATTGATTCCTTTTCGAGTTGGTATTGACGAAACTGGAGAAATTAGGGTTTGGAGTGGAATTTTTCTTACTAGTTTATCATCCATGGATTATTCTGCATCATTATCCTTAAAATGCTTGTGTAAAGTTTACAACTTTAGAGACAAGTTCACTATAATCATGGATATATGTTGATGACATTGATGAAAACTACACAAGCTTAATCAAGAGTCAGCTTCATTAGCTTCAGATTCTTTACTCCTTCATCTCTTCTATCTGGTTAAAGCAATTTACTTAGTTGATGTAAGTTTCTTTTTTGTGGTAACTAATTGTTCAAATGCTTTGTTGTGAGATGTGTAGATCTTAAGACAGCATTGGGGAAGCAGAGAAAAGATGGAAAGAGTGCTCCTTTACAGCCGCTTACCACTATGCAACGCACACGTATAAGACGTTTGGTGGAGAAATATGGCGATGACATTGAGGTTAGATCTATAATCCTACTGATTCTACTCTTTTTGCTTGTGTGATGATATACTTTTTCTAACATGTTTTTGTTTGAACAGGGCATGTACCGTGACAGAAAGCTAAACTCAATGCAGCATACGGTTGCAACACTTCGAAAGCTATGCACAAGATATCAGATTTACAAAGACAAGAACCCGATTTTAGTTCCATGATGTTGATGATGAGATCTTTGTATCTTGTGTTCAATTTTGTTATAAACTTGCAACAACACTACAATGGTTATGAAGTTTCTATTGAGAAGCCAGCCTCTTTTAGCATATGCAAAACTTATAAATCATATTGAATGCTTAAGAGTTATCAGTGATCACAAACAAATCATCACTCTCTGTTCAAGAAAACACACTCACAGAGGAAAGCAAATCAAAATCAAGATTATTTTTACCATCTTATTATCAAAATCAAGAATCTCACTTGAGAAGCCACAAATCAAGCTATATCATATTCCAGTGAAGCTTCGGCATTGGTAATCCCAATATTCCTTTGCTTGTTGTAACCTTTCTGCTCTCTCTGTTTTACGCCTTTCTTCCCAATAGTCTCTGCAGCTGCATTATTGCAGGTTTTGGAAATTGTAAGTTAGTCCTCCTCCTTTTAGAGACAGGTTTTAAAATACTATAAGAAGATAAGTTGTATTTTATATGCGTTTACCTTCGCTTAAGTAAGATATTGAGCTCATCCAAGTGAACAGCACCTTTATAAACCCCATCCTGATATCAAAATGGGCAAAAAGAGCATGAAACAAGGAAGACTAGAAGATTTTTTAAGTCGTAATTAGCAGTGGAGAATGTGTCTAACCTCACGGCAAAGCGGGCATTTTTCAGTTGCTTCTGCGGTTTTCAAGCCATCAACTACGTTTACTGATGCAGCAGAGCAAGCACACATGTAGCAATATATGTGACCGCAGGTTAGAGATATCGGATCAAACACCGTGTCCTGTTTTTCGCCAATCAATTGTAACCCGTAAGTTAAAGACTTATTCATAGCATTACATTTAAAAACATTCTTTCAATCAGATGCTAAAAAGGACTTGGTCTTTGAAGTGGAATCTGCAAGATGAGAGTGGAACAGCACCTTGACACGACAAAGTTAAGACTCTATCCCTATAGGTTGATACTGTCTTCTATATTTCAGATTACCAATAAGTCAACTAACAGTTTTTTGACATTGAGATTCTTTTAAAGTTTCTTACCAGGCATATTGAACAAGTCAAGTCAATGTCAACTTTGACGGAATCAGAGAGCTCGCAGGAAAGTAAAGGCTTCCCATCGTCGAAAGTCAAAGCGCAACCATCGAACAATGCATGAACAGGAGGAGGAGAAGCCACAGTAGCTCCAGATTCCTTCTCAGATTCTTTCAGATTGATGTGAAACGCCATAAGCTCGCAGAGCCATGGTGACTGAAGGATTTCGATTCGCATTTTCTGGACCTGAGTCTTAAACGCTTGGCCTTGCCTAGACTCATGAATCTGCAAGACAAAGATGTTAAAAACATATTGAATAAGAAGTGATCAAAAAGACCATGAGCCTTTGGATCTTAAAATAGTAGATTATTATCAACCTTGTCATATTTCTTGAGGATTTTTCGAATGGCGACGGCATTGATGAGAGCGTAATTAACCAAGTCTTTGCCCTCTTGGATCAAACCAAGATGGTCCTTTTTCCGACTATTGCCTCTGAGCCAAGTTAGACACTTTGTGAAACCAGAAGCTAAATGCAGCTCAAGAAGCTTCTGAGCATTCTCGTTAAACCATCCAACAACATCTTCCATTTCCTTGAGAAGCTCCGGGAAAAAAGTTCCATCACAAACTGCAAAATCAATTTCCAACAAGATTGAAGTCTCAAAACCAAAAGGAGAAAGCAGGGGCCAGGGGATGATTCATTCATTCAAAGGGGAATTATGTCGAACAGTACCTGGGCATTCACGAGAACAGTTGTGGTTGATTGTTTCAGTAAAAGACATTCTAGAAGGAAGATGATTTCTTCTGCATCTCTTGAGAATCTTCTTCAGCTTCTTAAAGCCAACACCAGGAAGATTCTTCTTCTCCTTCTGTCCTTGCATGTACTCTTCATACTTCTTGCAAAACTTCATTTTTTTTCTCGATTTCACAACGCAAAATCACTCAATAAAATTTATAAACTTAGATGACCATCAACAAACAAATTCAGCCCTCGAACAAAAAAGGATTTTGATCAAGAAAACAAATAAAAGTTCTAAAATTTATTTCTCTTATCTCTTCTTCTTCTCTGTCTCTCTTGCGTCTCGTGTTGGCTTTATTATTTAAGTATGAAAACAAAACAAAACAAAACAAAAACAAAAACAGAACAGAGACGTATTTATGAATAAATGAAGGTGAAGAAGACTGGCGAAGTCGGCGGAAAAAACAAGTTGTGAAAATAAATAATTTGAGCAAAAAAAAAAGTCAAAACGTATTTATTGGGAACGTATCTTCGTTAAAAGGTGAATTTCAATTTTAATGACTTGTTGTTTTTGTATTGTTACGAATAGATTATAAGATTTGGGGTTTTTAATTAATGCACACATTTGTGATTTGTTGCATATCAGTATCACAGTCGATCTATTTCTTTATGCCGCGTGGATGCGAAAGTCTTAGATTTATCAGCGTAAACTATATAAAACCTGTATAATATATACGTGTGTATTTTTAACTTTTTTTTTGTTAGAGAAAAAAGATGGGAGAGATATTTTACCATTCAATAATGGTTATAATTTGCTAGAATATTTGTCATGTCGTTTAGATAAAAAATTTTACCACTAAAATGGGTGTCTTCTTGTATATATTGGGTATTTAGGTATAAAAACTGAAAAACTCATTATTTATAGAAATCTGTGATCTTTTCATCTCCATGATATAAAAAAAAGAAAGGAAATTCTGATATAAGATAATATACAGTATAACATATGAAACCACTGTGTAATTTGGGATAAAGATGCCACCACAAAGGGCCCTTTTGAGGGTTTTTCTTCTTTGTGGGGTCAAATTAGAAACTTAGAAATAGTATTAAGAATATAATATACAATTTCTTGGAAGTTTATTTTGACCTGGATTGGATTTCGCCACTAAAACTTTGCTTTATATCATTTTCAAAAGCCGCGGATTTTGCTTATCTTAACTTTATGACCCCCTTAATTATTACATGTATCATGATTTTGCACTAACATATTTCTTCACCAATCACCACCACTGTCCGTTTTTCTTTACTTGGTTTGCTTTCACGTTTAGGTAAACTCTACATAGTTTTAATTACTCAAAAGAATGTGATTCTTTCTTATCTTACAAAAACAAAATTAGAGGGATATGCTCTTTTGCTTTATGTAAGTTTCAAAGAAGATGCTCAAGTGGTAAAGAAAATTTAAATTGAAACTTTAACTTACTTTTAGCTTTATTTGAATGGTGTAATAGTGATGCTGATGCATGTACTAAACTCTTGCAATTTAAATCTTTAATAGAAAACTATATGAATTGTATTTCTTACTACATAATGAGGTAATGTGATAAGATATAATGTCATGATTTTTCATCTGGCTAGTCTTCTAGGTTTGAACGTTTCAATTCTCTATTTACTTTTTAAAATGCTCCAAAAATATCAATTTAAAGTTCCAAATGATCGACAAAAGTTGCAAAATAAAGTGGCACACCATTCATTTGTCTGCTCAAGTGGTCATTTGTTTTATTCAATTCGACTGGTTGTGATCATTTTAAGGCCCTGTGGAATTTGATGTTTTCAAAAGGAAAACAGAAAAAATACAAATTAGTCAAATATTTTCGTATTGTTATAATAATTACTTTATTTTATGGTGTATATAAATATATTTAATGGAGAAAGAATTTATACCCGCAGAAGGATCGGGATACTGAAAATAAAGAGATGAGAGGAGGAGAGAGATTTCTTATAACTTCTTATTGTTGAAGTATGAATTGTGATTTTACATCGAACGAATTCGTTCGTTTATATAGGCGTAAAAAAGTAAATTACTATGCGTGCATAGTGACGGTGGGCTCCACATAAATTAATAAATAACGAAACGTTTAACCCATGTGCGCATCTTTTGCGACTTTACGATTCCTCCTTTTCACGACTTTTATAACACGTATTACACGGTTACTACTTACTAACTTAGCATACAATCATTTTATAGATTCTAACTAAAAATACAAGAATGTACAATGCGTAACATAATAAACAAGTAATTAAATTGATGCCTTTAGGATTTGACAAGAAAGCAATCGTCTCTTGCGTAAAAAAAATGCAAAAGACACTTAAGAAATAATAGGTGTTAAGTACGGCTTTTATACGGAAGTGTAATGTCTTTTTTTTTTTTTTTTTTTTTAAGTGTAATGTCTTGCTTCATACGCAATATTATATATAGGTCAAACACGCTAAATCCAGCTCTTATGCTAATCCAAAACAATATATATATATATATATATATATATATCATGACCATTAGAACTTCGAATTGTAACAATAGACCAATCAATATATACCTATTTCTAACATACATTGGTTATATCCTGATATATTGTAAATATGATAATTAAAAAAAAAAAAGACATATTGTTGATTCTCATAGCCTGCAACTAAGCATTATAAACATTGAAGTAGTCAAATGATCAAGATGAAGCATGTGATGGTCTGATGGATGGTGCAGTGTTCCTATGAGGAAGGAAGAGTACCAGTGAGCAGAGAGTTTAGGGCTCCTCTTAAGATAAGGATCCTTGAAGTCCACGTAAAATAACCCAAAGCTCTTCTCGTACCCACCAAATAGCTCAAACACATCCATAAACGACCACTGAAAATACCCTTTTACGTTCGATCCATTCCTGTTATGAGATTTTTATATTTAGAATCTGACTGACACATCCATTGAATGAAAGTGTACAACTTTTTACTGTTACCTGATTGAATGAAGCACTGCTTCAATGTATGAGCTCAGATACTTCACCCTCGTTGTGTCCTCAAGTGATGACTGAAAAAGCATAGATAGATAAGGCACACGAGAATTAACGAGGTTCGGCAACGTGCCTACGTCCTCAAAACAATAACTAGATTCACTTAGACAATCTTTACAACAAGACCTTGCCTAACTGGAATTACACGACACTAAGAACCTCTTAGTTCGACACCAAACAATATCTAGTTACACCCAGTATTAGAACAACTAAACCCGTGTTCCAGAAAACAGCTCGACTTGCCTACAAAAGCACCGAAACAAAGCAATTCGTTTTTCTCTCTCTCTTTTCGGCTAACCCTAGCAGCACACATCTCCCTAGTATATATACCCATATACCTATGAGATATGTCACCCTAGATTTTATCCCGATACAAAAGGAAAATATCCTCTTCTAAATAAAAGAAACAAATCTTCAATAATATTCTTCTCCAAGAATATCTTCAGCTGCACGTTTTTTCTGATTTGATCTCTCTAAATATCTTTCTGATATTTATCTTCAACTCCACGAACCACGTCAGCACCAACCGAGCAATCCCAAACTTGTTCCAACAGACCGTTTCTTGTTCCAGCAATATCTGCACTTTCAATGACCTCATTGACCTGTGAGGAGTCATCTGACCTGAGAGAGAGAGAGAGAGAGAGAGTTTCAAACACATGAAAGAAGCAACCTGAAATCTGAGAGAGGCAGAGAGAGATAAAGAGAGACCATTCTCTAGGATGTAGACAGGAGGGTTTCTATAATTTGATATACAAAAGTATCTGTTGCAGACTCCATGGTGTATTTGCAAACTGAAGGAAGCAAATCATCAAACATCAATCTTGTCTCTTTTAAGTGATCACATATGAAATTGATATCTACGACATACAAACCTCATTCTCGAGCGATGTGTTTCCAAACACTGCATCCGCAAAATGGATCGGAGAAACCAGTGAGCCAGATTTTTAACTTTAATTTTCAGAGAGTATCATGTAAACTTACAGGTCATTTCCACGGCCATGTCTGTGGTGAAATCCTGGACATTTGGTTTCAGAGAGGAAGAGTCGTCCTTGATGTAAAGTGTCATGTAATTTATCACTCCAAAGAAATCAAATGCGCCCTTAACTTGTTCTGACTCCTCCTCTGTAAAAGCTGGCAATCTAGACCCAACATTGGTCTTCATCGTCTCAGGATAATCGCCAAACACCAACGGATGTAGAATCCTTACAAAAACCGAATCAAGAAACTCAGCGCGATCAAGACATTTATAGTCGATACTTCAACATTAGATTCTTTAAGACTTACCAACCAATATAGAAGTCATTTACTCTAGCAGTTGCCTGCTTATCCTCTACAGAGTTAGTTAAAGGGACAACACCGTATGTGTATACGCTAATGCCTACTGATCCATGTTGCTTGAACTGTGTAATGAAGAGGAGATAAGACAATGCAATGCATATGGGAGATGGAAGAGCAGCAGAGAGAAGAACCTTGTACTGTTGCTTGTATAAGTTTGTTGCAGAAGCGTGTGCGAGCAACATGTTGTGTACGGCAATGTAAGGCTCAATGGAAGAGTTTCCATTGGTACAATTAAGTCCAAATGGAGGAGAGCATCGAGCAGGCGGTGTTATTCCCTGGTCATACCCTCCAAGGGCAAACACGTTGACCTCGTTTATAGTAGTCCAATGTGACACTCTATCTCCAAACTCCTTGAAGCAAGTATCTGCATAAGCTGTGAAGCCTCTCCTATAACAATCATTACAAAAAGATTGATGAATAAGTTTGATATCACCAATGAAAGAGGAAGATTAAAGGAGAAGAATCATACACGATTTCTTGGCTAAGCCAACCTCCATACTCATCTTCTAAGGCTTGTGGAAGATCAAAGTGGTGCAATGTAACGTGTGGCTGGATTCCTTCTTAGTCAAAGAAGTAGGAAACACCATAAGGATATTAAAAAGTAGATTTGTTTGGTCTTGTAGCTAATTAATCAACAGGGTCAGGGTACAAGTTTAACCATGAGTGATCAATTCATCAATAAGACTGTTGTAGTATTGTAGCCCCTTGACATTAATTGGTCCTCTTCCACCTGAAATAAAATCATATTCTTCATCAATCCATTGAGAATGCTTCGCTTATCGAGTCGTGGAAAAATCATACTTGGTAAAAGCCTTGACCAGGATATGGAGAATCTGTAAGCCTCCAATCCCATGTCTGCCATGAGCTTCACATCTTCCTGCAAACATCAGGCAATGTTAATGCAGAGATAAGTTGGATCATATTTCAAACTGTCACACGAAGACAGAGACAGATGTTATAATGGATATGGGAAGGAAAGTGACCTTGTATTTGTGATACTGGTCACATGCAACATTTCCAGCTGCTACTCCGGAGTGTCCTGCAGTGAAACTATATATGTAAACATCTTGCCAAATTCTCCAGCTATTCAAGGAAACATAAAGTGAAGAAATCAAACCGGCATGAGCAAAAACATCCCAAATGCTAGGAGTTCTCCCATCTTCTTCAGCAGCTCCTTCCACCTGTTGTATAATCATATGGACGAAACACTGTTATATCTGGTATTCTTTTATCATTCTAACATGAAGGTGAAAATATAATGTTACCATCTAAGGCATTTAGGAAACAGAAAAGGGTTACAGAACCTGATAAGCTGATGTCCCAGAGCCAAAGACAAAGTCTAGAGGGAAGACTGCGGTTAAAGCCAAAGCCAGCAGAGGAAGGAGCATGTGACTATTGCTCAAGAACTTCATCTCTCTTTAGTCTCGTCACCGAACAGAGCAAAAATTTAAGCAAGCAAGTACGAGTACCAAAAGTGAAATTTGGTTGAAACACGAAATTTCATTGTCTTTTTGTAGGAGTGGGTCCACTTGTTTTGACACGTTTGATGAAGAAGTAAAGAGCAAAAAGTCCAACGAAATAGAAGATAAGATAGGGAGCAACATTAGCTTTCAAAGAGCTTTTTGGTTGTTTCCTTCGTTTTAGTATTTTTGTTTGCACCCACAAGTTAACATATTTGAGTGATCAATCACCATAGTACCGCATTTTACCAGGCAAATCTGCTCATGAGGATGTTGCCACCAAGTTCAAAGCAGACGATCTAGAAAAGGCAGGAAAGAGACGTCTACGCACCAGATTTACCGGTGACTGGAATCGTACAGTTCAGGCTATACAGTCTGGTTCCAGATCAGGACTAACCACGACGTTCTTTAGGTGCGAGGGTTAAGAAAAGGATAAATCATAAGGGAAACAGAAAACGATATCTTCAGGAAAAAAACATCATTCTCAAAAGTATAGGATCCAGAAGACGAATAGTAGCAAGAATATTACAAAATGATAGTGCAAATCATTCCCAAAACATGTCTCATCTTCTACATTCAATAAGCGTTAAGATATGATCCACTTCAAGAAAGTAGATTTTTTTGCGTAGCAAGAAGATGCTTCTCTCTCTCTTCTCTTTTGACCTGGATATCTCCAATTTTACCTGCAAACAAGAGCTCAGATTCAGATTTACGCAGTAAACAACAGAACCAGATTGCAATGTTTCATTTCTAAGAAAGAATATGTACCGCGATGGACTCCTAGTACGGATAGGGCTCTTGGCTGGACTTGGCTTGCTAGGGCTCTTGCTTGCTTCCTTCTGAACCTGCTATACCGAAAAGCTATTAAGATAACGAACAATGTAAAACAGAAAATAATGTCATAATTAAAGAGAGGTCAAAAGTTGGATTGTTACTCACAGGAGGTAGAGGAGATCTTGATCTTGAACGCGATCTGCAAAAGTCCAAGAAAACAAAGTCAGATTCAAAAATCCAAACATGTTGTGTTTAATACCGTTCAGCCAAGGTCCTTCATGCCTCTTCTTCTATCTCACATAGATTAAGAAGTAGCAACAAATAAAAAGAAGTAACTTAGACCAAACTATTCTGCTACTTAGTTAAAACATAGGACAGAGGTATTATAAGCCATGTGGCCAAAACAACTTCTGTTGCCAAATGAGCCATGGACGTCCCAAGAGAACCCAGATTCCATATTGTCATCATCCAACGAGCCAATATAGTTTTACTGAATTCCCGATATAATATTGTGATCCAAGTGATCCAATGTCTCCACTGTTATCCATCTAGCAGCAATATAAATTAGTTATAAGGAAGCCACGAAAAGCAAAGTTTCTATTCCAAAGTTTCCATACCTCTTAGACGAAACACTTGTCAACAATCAAGAATTTCCATCCAGATATTAATTTCCATTTTCTAGTCGATTGTATGTAAATCCATATCTATGAAACAAAACCATTTTCTTTTCAGGAAAGAAAAGAACAGATTAAAAATGCTATTGCAACAAAAAGCAAGACTAATCTTGCAAATCTCAACCAGAAATGGGCTAAGCATCTAAATATAAGGATGGAGTTAGAAAAGACAATAATGACGACCATATAACAGGTGTCAACAAAAAAACAGTATATGCTCAATCAACAAGAACTTCGAGTCATCAACAAGAACTTCGAGTCATCAACAATGACTTTTCTAATCAGATTTTCATAAAATTCACAGGAAGATCTACCAACTAAGAACTGTTACCTGATGCATTTTGAGAAGGAAAAAATCACTACCTTCTTGGAGACGGTGACCTTGACTTCGAGCGGGGGCCAGGAGATCTTGATGTAGATTTTGCAGGGGACCTACGTGAAGACTTTGCCTTTGGACTTCTGCTCCTGCTCCTGCTCCTGCTTCTGCTCCTGCTCCTGCTCCTGCTTCGGCTCAAGCTTCGCCCACGGCTGCGGCTGCGGCTGCGACTCCTAGAATAGGATCTTCCCCGGCTAGGACTCCTAGAATCCTTCCTTGAATCGTATTCTCTAACCTATATAGATATGAAAGAAAAAGAAAAAATTAAACACAACAATGAAAGATCACAATTCACAGGAAACTCAGCTTCAACTAACCCGAACATATCCATGAGAAAACGCATTTCGAAACTCTGTGTCGTCGAGCTTTTTCACCTGGGGAAATTCATGAGTAAGAGCTAATCAGTAATTAAGGATGAATACAACAAACTCTCAACCACATGAAAGAAACAGGGAAAATAGCTCACCGCATACTTCATGTCCTCGTAGCAGGTGTAATCCACAACTCCAGTTGTACCTACAATAAGATTGTCCAAGATTAAAATCTTTCAACCTGGTTTAGATGCACAAGATTATATGGGCACAATTACCTCTACCATCACGGTACACTTGCGAGAAACAGACGTCCCCTCCTTTACGCATGTGATCCTAATGTAAAAGTGATCAATGTTAGGATTCAGAACCTTTGAAGATATAAGAATGAGTAAGGAGTTTATTGACCAGAGCGTAGTCACCTTGAGATCTTGCCAAGAAGCAGAAGAAGGCAAGCCTGTCACCAGAACTGTGGTTGAGAAAAGATAAAATTCAAATTAGAGATTATTCCTTCAACTTTGGAGAGAATAATGCTAATTATATGACTACATACCACGAAACTCTGATCTCCTAGATGGGCCACGACTACCACCATCACCACGGCCATCACCGCGGCCACGTCCACCACCACGGCCACCACCATTGAAACTACCCCTAGTATCATCTGATGAACGCCTCCCACCATGCGCCAATTCCACCTAAAAAGGCAAGACATTCGTTAAATTTGATTGAAAACCAATCAAGTGTTGTACATAAACATCTGAAATTCGATTAAATAACAAACCCGCAAACGATGCCCATCAAAGTCATAGCCATCCCGACCTTGAATAGCATCTTCAGCATCCCGAGCATCATCAAACTAAACAGATTAAAGAAAAACAAATTAGAGCATTCAGATATGATGGAAACGGTGCTCACGAATCATAACAACAGAGCGCCTAACATCAAGAATCATAACACATGTCACTGCAAGAAAAAAGAGTTGTGGAATTGGTTGGTAAGCTAACCTCAACGAAAGCATAACCAGGAGGCCTTGGAGGGACCTTCAAATCAATTTGAACAACAGGTCCATACTGAAACAAAAAAAAAGGAAGAGTTAATGTTATGGAGACTTCTTATTATTGAGAGTAAGCAAAAACAAGGTGGTTAGTGACATAAAAACGAAACCTTTACCTTACTGAACAAATCTTCAACCTCTCTCTCACGGATATCGCCAGGAAGGTTTCCGACATACACGGTTCTACTCGAACGGCTGCTCATTCTTCCTTTATCAAAATCCAAAAACAAAACTCCAAACTTAAGATTCTAACAAGAACACGTTCTCAAGAATGTCGGAAGCGAAAATTCACCTGTTGGTCGATTTGAGATCTCTCAGCCTCCGCAATTTGGGAATTAGGGTTTCGGAGTTGGCGATATAGGTTAATGAGGGACCGTCACGTGAGTCACGTGAGCCTTTTATAGAGTGACGATGAAACAATTCAATTAGTATCTATCTGCTTAATTAACAACAAAATCAAAGTTTAGAAACATACTATAAAGAAAGCACCTTTAAAAATTCTCACTATCATCTCTCTCTCCCAGAAATCAAAATCTTCAGCTTTCTGTTTTTGGCGTTTGAAAGATTCGTTCTTTTAATTCCCGATCAGGGTTTTGGCGGTAAGTGTATCTGTTAGGTCTCCACTGATCAGTAAAAGAAAGCTCTTTTAGCTTTACATGTCTCTGAAACTTCTGGAGTCGTCACAAAGCTCCGTCGAATCTTTCACCCTGCATCTCCTCTCATGGCGTCCGTTTCACACCGCTGGTTCTAACGCCCTTGTCTCTCTCATCGCTCCCCGCTTTCTCCATTGAAGCTTTTAGCCGTCTCTCGCTAGCAGACAACGACAATGGAGTGAAATCGAGTTACAGGAGAGGAGGTTTCAGGCCTGTGGAGAGAAAACGGCGTCGTCGTGGGTCTAGATCGGGTTCTGGTCGGAGTAGTGATCGAAGCGGGACTCTTCGGTGCTGCTCTGTCAATGCTCAAGTGACCACTTGCTCGGAATTTCAATTCGCTGTTGGTACGGATTCTATTGGGGAACTATTCTGTGAAGCGAATTGGTCCTCCGATGTGAGTGAGGCGGCGCGAAATTCACGGAGTGATCGAGATTCAAGCGTCGGAGAAAAGGAAGGGGGAGGATTAGGATTTGGGTTTGGGATTGTTGAATCAATGGGTAACGAATCCGGTTACGGGAGCGAACCTGGTTATCGAGGGGATGCTGAAATTGGTTACGGTGATGAGTTCGATGAGGAAGAAGAAGATTCCAAGCTCTTGTTTTGGGGAGGTATCAATCAAATCGAAACCTTTCTATTTCCTTTAATTGTTTTGACATTTAGATGTAGTAACTGCATTTGGCTCTAAGCTTCTGAAATTCGTGTTTCATCATTGATTATGTTTCCCTTAGACTATATAGAGTCTGAAGTTGGAATCTTTATTCTAAGAGAAAGATAGTTTCATCTTTATTGAAATTCCTTTTAGTCAATGGCTCTAGCTTAACTAGTGTTGGTTCTTTCCAAATTTTGACATTGTGCTTTCATTATATGCGTAAGAACCTTGTTGAATGGGTTTGTAGTTGAAAGTCTTTTGCCTTGAGACATATGTCTTTGCTCATAGAGAATATCAGATTTTTATGTTTTTGATTTGTTAAGCAGATACAGAATCAAGCAAGGAGATTTGTGCTGAGGAAAAGGAGTTCTCAGACAAAAAATCTCACTATAGATGTCGTCGAGTCAGAAGGAATGATTACAACAAAGCTGTTGATTCCATGACTCATAACATTTCTTTACTTCATCTTCAACCTTATAGATTCGATCAAAGCAATGCCATTTCTTCAGGGGATTGACTTTGATCCACTGAGATGGGAAACTGCTTCTGAGTCGCAATGCAAAATCGCAAAGCCTTGAGAAGTTGTATAGATGTTTTTTCTTTACTTCATCTTCAACCTTATAGATTCGATCAAACCAATGTCATTTCGTCAGGGGATTGACTTTGATCCACTGTGATGGGAAACTGCTTCTGAGTCGCAATGCAAAATTGCAAAGCCTTGAGAAGTTGTATAGATGTTTTATTCATGATTGTACAATTCTAAGAGAAGAAACCAAGGTTTGGTTACGAACAAGAATTATGAAATCAAAGAAAACTGTTGTTGGGCATGGAAGTGAGGGCAGAGATATTTGGCCAGTTGACTGGTGGACTCGAAGCTGCTTGGAGCAAACTCAAAGGCCAAGGTTCGATTTCTATATTATTTTTCCTTGAGCTCAAATTAGGAATCCCTTGTTAACTATCAAAGTCATCAGCTTTGTTCATGTTTCTTTAAACTTGAAGAAATGTGCGTAGATGAGTGAAAATAGACATTGTGTTCATTGTCATATATACATAGCTAAACTCGTGGAACGAGGAATGGATTAGAGAGAAATTGTTTTCTATCACTTTAGTTAACGGCAGTGTAGTCTTGCCAATAGATTTCAACTTGCAGGCGGCAAGATACATTGAACGAAGCAACACAGGATCAGAGAAAACATGCCATGAATGTAGCCATTGCCACGGCAGCAGCAGCTGAGGCAGCGGCTGCAGGCAGCTGCAGAGGTTGTCAGGATGGTGGGAAACGCCTTCACGTCACAACATTTTGTCAAGAAACTCAGCTCCCAATGTGGCTGCTATCAAGATTCAGAGTTCCTTCAGGGCTTATCTAGCCAGGAAAGCGTTGCGGGCGCGGAAGGCAATTGTAAGGCTTCAAGCAATTGTGCGTGGCCGAGCTGTTAGGCGAAAGGTTTCTGCTTTATTGAAGTCTACACTCTCCAACAAAGCTTCAACACCAAGCATCATCCAGAGACAAACAGAGAGAAAGCACTGGTCCAAGACCAAATCTGAGATCAAAGAAGAGCTTCAGGTATCGAACCATTCGATGAGTAACTCAAAGGTCAAGTGCAATGGTTGGGACAATAGCGCTCTCACAAAGGAAGACATAAAAGCCACATGGTTGAGGAATGAGTTTATGGATAAGACTCTGGTGATGGACAAGATCTCTCCATTATCTTTCCCGAGGGGATCTTTCAGCCGTTTGGAGCAGAGACTATTGGAAGACGAGAGCTGGTTTCAAAGCTCCAATGGTTTCCAGCCTTGCATGAGTGTGACAGGGTCTGCAAGGTAAAAGATGAGATCACTGAGCACACCAAGGCAACGTGTAGGGCTCATGGATTCTTTGTTTGATAACTACAAGAAGGATGGGGATAAAGTCTGTCTCTGGTCTTCTTTTGTCTGTGAAAATAGTAAGATCAACAACGCTAAGAAGTCGTACGTCTCTGACCACATATCAACATAATTGTTAAATCTGAACATTCATGTCACTTTCTTTCTTTGTTTTGGTTTTTTTGGGTATCATATCTCATGTTCTTTATAGATATGCTTATGGAGAGGTCAATTTTTTGGTGTTTGGTGTATGAATTTTTCTGTTCATTTCTGTTCTTGAGAAAATGGAAGCATCTTTATCAATGTGATTCATTTTGTTCAAACCATAAAAATCTTTTAAGATCCTATACTTTGTATATCTTGGATTTTGATTCTAATAATTTACTCATGAAACTCCAAAGAGGTTTCATTTCAAATGACTTAATATACAAAGATTTTACAAGTCTTTTAGTTTTGAATAACACTGGATTTTACAAACCTTAAATAATTGACTTTAACTATACCATTTAATAACACCAAACTTTTAAAATCTAATGAAGTATAAGATCTAATAACACCAGATTTTAACATTAGATTTATAATCATTAGTTGAATAACACTGGATTAGTGTTGGATTTCAATTCTATTAAAATCCATCATTGAATAACACCACCTAAGTCAACGTGATCCAATAATACAAAGCACAACGTTAGATAAATGAGAAGCAATCAATGATTTAGTAGTAATCGCCAAATAAATGAAAAATTTAGTAGGAGCGGCGTATCAACTAAAAAATGGAAAGTGTTTTACCCGAACCGTGTATAACGGCAAGATTATCACCGAACCTAAGGTTAGTGTTTGCTCTGGACTATAACAAACCCTAAGTGAAAAAGAAAAAAGGAAACTTGAGTCTCAAACATATAAGACCTCGTCTCGCGTCTATCTCCTCAAATTCTCTGATTATGTTTTCAATTCTCTTGTTCGATTTCTGTCTGCTTCGAGATGATGATGCTCTGATTCTTTCTTCTCCCTTCGTTTAGAAGGAAGAATCATTTTGGATCCAGTCACTGATATCAGTTACTAAAATTACTAATTAGTATTATCTCTTGATATTGAACAAATATTAATTGAACCGCGGTTCAATATTTTGATATTATTTCGGATCAAACCGAAATTAGACAGGTTATTAGCTCAAGGTTTGGGCCTGAAAAGCCCACTGGGCTAACACTAAACAAAACCCTAGGGTACTCTTGTGGGTCATTTATATGTTCCATCCCTAACTTCGCTGCGGGAAGATTTTCCATCTTTCTGAGTCATTCTGCGTCTAAGCGAGAGAGTTTCAATTCAAAAACTCTCAAGGAGGATGGCTCGAGGAATAGCGGCGAAGTCGAGTGGTGGTGCTAAGAAGAAAGGAGTGTCGTTTGTGATCGACTGCTCTAAACCAGTTGATGATACGATCATGGAGATAGCCACGCTTGAGAAGTTTCTTCAGGAACGAATCAAGGTCGGAGGTAAAGCCGGTTCTCTTGGTAACTCCGTTTCCATTACCCGAGATAATGTAAAGATCACCGTCAACGCCGATTCCAACTTCTCTAAACGGTACACTTCTTTTCTTCTCTCTCACGTCTTTAGAAACCCTAACTTGCTCTTAAGTTACAAAAATCTGGAATGTTGGTTTTGAATTCAGGTACTTGAAGTATCTGACGAAGAAGTATTTGAAGAAGTACAATCTCCGTGATTGCATCTAACAAAGACAAAAATGTCTATGAGGTACGCTACTTCAGGATTGACGATGAAGTAGCTAGTGCCGAAGAAGATTAAGCTCGACCTTCTTCATTCATTTTTAATTATACTTAGTCTAGATTTTTCCTGCTTAGGACGGATCTCTATAACTGTTCCTAAAAGTTTTTGCTGTGGGCATTGGTATTTTTTGGAATGATTTAGTGGTTAAAATTGACACAAGAATGAGGACTAAATTCATTTTAAAATTTCTGAAAGAAAAGAGTGACTAAATGGCCGACTCTTTTTGAGGCCGTGTTGGTTCGGCAGAATTGAGTGGTTGCGACTCAATTTAGTTTTGGAGATCAAAAATATCTAAATATATGCATGCGTAATTATTTTTATTGATATGAACATTAGGCTAATAACATTATTTCTTTAAGCATTATGAATACATACATATCTCAATGTTATATATGTAAATTTATATATTTTGTTGACAAAAAAAAGGATAAAAATTGGTTTTTGGGTAGATAGAATTTGTATATTAGTAAAACAAGTAGATAATTACATAGCAAAACGACTTTGAAAAAAAAAAACCAATTTTAATTACAAGTTACAACTAACTTTAAAACCCTAAACCCAAATAAATTAAAAGAAACAGAAAAAATAAAAACGGAAAACAATAACTTTGGGAGAAAGCCTAAATAGACGCAGCCTATCTGCTCTGCTTCCTCTATATAAACCTTCTTCTCCTCTCTCTCTTCCTTCTCATCCTACAAAGCAGTTTGAAATCAGTTAAGAGAGAAAGGACGACCAAGCTTCTTCGATCTCGTTGCCGCGAAAGGTAACAGTCATCAGAACAAGAACCTGTGAAACCTCTCTTTTGGTCTGTTTTTTTCTCCAAAACTCGAAAACCCATAAACCACAATGGCTCGTTCTCTCGCTAACGCTAAGATCCTCTCCGTCTTCGTCTCCGAAAAGCTCTCAAACGCCGTTTTCAGGTAAAAACTCCTTTCATCTGAAACAAAACATATGTGTTGCCCTGTTTTCCCGTCGCTTTAAAAAACCGTGACGTTTTTTGGATTCTCTTCAGACGAGGGTTTGCAGCCGCAGCCAAAACGGCGTTAGATGGGAGCGTTTCGAGCGGTGGAACCGCTTCTGCCGCGGAGATGAAGAAGAATGTTGGAGAAGCTTCAAGCGAGAAGGCACCATGGGTACCAGACCCTAAAACCGGTTATTACAGACCGGAAACCGTTTCTGAGGAGATTGACCCGGCGGAGCTACGAGCTGTTCTCTTGAACAACAAGCAATAAATTTATTGAAAACCGTATTTTTATTAATTAATGTTGTTTAATGAGAAGATTAGGAAAATGGGTTATGATCTTTTGTGGTCAATCCCATCTTATTCCGTTCCCATTTCTGTAATAATCGTTTGATCTTGTTATTTATGAAGGCTTCCAAGTTCCATTTACGAAGATTTTACTATGACTCAAAGTCATGAGACATATTATGACACAAAAATTTAAAATCGATTGGTATAAAAAAGGTAAACCTAAAAATAAATTATCAATTTTTAAGACTCCGTGCTCAGTGATCCTCTAGCGATCTAGCAATGGCGAAGAAGTCATTTGGACTACCGGATCCGAACACTTGAAAACCCTCTATCTCCAAACTCCTTTACTAGGTTGGGCTTATTCGTCGGAAATTAAAATTTCAAACTATTGTGATAAAAAAGGGATTGCATGGCCTTTTTCTTTGTGCTAAAATCATGTGATTGGTAAAAGAACTGTAGACTGTAGAGTCACAAAAACATGGTATCTATTTCTGAAGTTTATAACCATAATGTTTTTCATCGACTAATAGCACCACCAACATTACAATTATCAAATTTAAGAACCTTAAATAGTTAATAACCCTATTGCTCTTTTTTTGATTAAAGATTTAATATTATTTTTCTTTCTATAGTTATTTTCAGTATTAAAACTTTAAAACGCTTGTGCGGATTTAATTGCGAAAAAAGCAACTACAGGCTCAAACTTATGGAATTTGTATCATTTGTGCCCTCCTTTTCTTATGAACCTTGTAAACATTGATTCTCATTCTTCCTAAGTAATAAAGCAATTAGAAGGGGAAAAAAAAACTTTAAATATGATTTTGAAAAATCAGCTTCGAAATATTGAACTACAGTGCAATGATGTGTGAACAATCGCGCTAATTCAATCATACTTAGAAAAAAATATGTCATCTTTAGATATTTTTTTTCTCTTGCACTAACAAATCAAAGCCATGAACAAGCCAACCACGTGGCAAGCCATGTTGCAGTTGGGAAAATGTTGATCATAGAAATAAGTAAAGTTTAATACAAGCAAAGAGAAAAACAAGAAGACGAGAAAGCTCTAACTTGTGAGCCTCAGAAATTAACTTTAGGGTTATGAAGACCACATAACTTCCGTGTTAATGGTTGAGAGACTTGAGAAGAAGTGGCTCACACTAAATCCCAAAGGCCAACATGCAATAAAAAGACATAAGAAAAGTTTGTAACCTCACATTCTTAACTAAATGGCGCTTCTTAAGCTAAATATCGGTTTTTTTCTTCCTACACAATCCAGATATTGATTTAATACAAGAAAAATAAATACTACATGTATGCCAAATTTTAAAATCAAGAGAATCATCAAACATACATGGAAAAAACTATCTTCCTACTTCTTCATCATAAAAACTTGAGCTTACACAAATATTTTTGAATCATTGTAACCTAGTTCATTACTACATGATATTGTCCACTTTAGTTTTATCAAAGTCTTCGATGAAGAAGATAAGACCATGTCGGAAGCAGAGAATCTCGAGGCATGACTCAAACAAAACTAAAGGAGCTGGTAAATCTGAATCACAAACTAACACAGGTCAAGGAGGTCAAGAACCCAGCGATCTCTTAAGAATCCATCTTTTTCTTTTGAAGTAAAACTAAAACTTTTAAGAGGTGTTGGTTGAACCCAAGAATGTGGAGTCCAAAGACATTGTGTCATCATCACTAGGCTAGGCTACAATCAACTTCTAAAGAATCTCATATTGATCCATCCGAAACAAAGGAACAAAAGATCTAACATTTCATAAACATTCATTGGATGCAACAGTAGCAACACACAAGCCAGTAATGAGTATGCCAATTCTTTCATCATAAGAAACAACTTTTCCCACCACCGTTTTATTCCTGGTCGGTTCATAAATACAATTCATCGGTTCAATCCTACGAAGAGATACAAACAAAGAGCATTGATCGAAACAAGAACTCAGAAAAAAAAATTAATGATTGGAGAAAGAACATAGAGCATCCAAAGAGTTCAGATTCTGCAATAAAAAGTCTTAACCTTTAAACCGAAGAAACAAAAGGGTTTCTTCCCAAAGTCTTCGTCTTCGTTTTGCAATCAAATCCGCAACCACACTGTGGCGACTCGTAAAACTCATCGATCTCGAAGTTCGCCGATGTGATCCCGACGGAGAACTCGAGTTCGTCTTCGTTCCTAATAACTTCAACGATGTTGAGCCACAAGAAGAGAACTTTCACCTTCACGCCGGTAAGTTTCGTGATCTTGTTCTCCGATATGTAACCAGAGATTGTCGATTTGTAATCCAATTGGTAAGAACCTTGAAGAGCGAAACTACACGATTTGTTGAAATAGGCGTGGAATTTACCAGTGGATGGATCTAGATCATATGATACGACTCCTTTAGGAAGAATCCCGACGGGAAAGTTGAAGCTTTGGAGGAGAGTGTACGCCGTCGGTTTATCGTCATCTGCAGCGGCGGCGGCGATTAATGACAAAGGAACGCAAAATAATAAGAAGAAGAAGAAGAAGAAGAAGAAGATTGAAATCGGAAGCAGAGTCATGTCTCTTTTCATCCAATGTAGCAAAATCACTACTTTAGGTTTTAGGTTTTAGATTTATCCAGTTTGGATTTCGTTTTCCGTCACTTTCTCGGCGAGAAAATAAAAAGAAATCTCTGGGACAGACGTGAGAGACTTTTCTAGCTGGCCCATCTGATCAGATCAAGCGACCATAAACACGACATCGTTTTCACCGAACAACTGGACACGTGTCTTTTTGTCATTTAGTTAACAAAAAATTCTTAACATGGTCTAATTTGGGCCTAAATTATTTATTTATTCATTCATAACAGCTTCAAGGCCGTGTTTATTTTATTTATTCATAACAGGTTTAATTTAAGGCCCATGGGCTTTAAAAGGAAGAGATAGGCCTATAACAATTAAACCCACAACCACACTTTGGGCTGTCCACGAAATACTTGGTCGAGAACTCCTCCGAGGCAGCACCAACGAAGAACTCGACATCGTCGCCGTCACGAGACACCTCGGAGATGTTGATCCAAAAGAAAAGCACTTTGACGCTTACGCCTATCAACCTTATGACCCGTCCTCTTGTTATGATGCCGGAGATTGTGGGTTTGTATTTGACCTTGTACGACTCGATGGAGAACGAACACGTGGTGTTGAAACGGACTTTGAAAACGCCAGTTCTTCGGTTTAGCTCGTAGTCGTGCACACCTTCTGGTAAGATTCCTCGTGGTAAGGTGTAGTTTTCGAGAACCTGGTAAACACTTGGCTTTTTTTGGCCGGAGACGGATAAAGAAGTAGAGAGAAGGAGGAAGAAGATCATGAAGATGGACATTTTTCTTTTCCTAATTAAGTTTAGCTCTCTGTGTTTTTGCTTCAATTAGTGTCTTATCTAATCGTAAAACGTTTTCTTGAATCTGTTTTAGAAGTTGGTTTTGGGATGTCTTTGTGTGTTTAGTATAAGTAGAGGACGATGAGGGATTAGTTGGGATCAGAGACGTTGTGATCGGTCCGTGAATAGAATGAACGGCTGAGATTTGACGAGCTTAATGTTCACGTGTTCAAGAGTTGACGAACGACGCCGTTTAATTCAGTATGATGCTAAATAATTTCATTAAATTCCTACTTTTGGTAAAAATTGTTTACAGTTACATTACCAAGCCTAACATTTCCTTTGCATTGAGCTTGATTTTCGGTTTATTACAGTTCAACAAAAATAATACAGTTTCTTTAAATTAAATTAATAAAAGAAAGTAATTAAGAACAAATCACAAATTACTATGAAATTAAACCGCTGGTATAAGGCACTCCAGTTTTCCAAATCCAATCATCTTCGATGAATAAACCAGTGACCGTGAAATTAGCTGCATCAGTCGAATTAATCACGTGGTAACCAGGCCATGTAACCCGGTTTGTAGTGTTTGAACCAGGTCCGGTATTGTTATACTCTGCATAGTACAATGTACTTAACGCAAAATCACCGTTCCACTCTCTCCAACCAACCGGTTCAACAAAACCGTCTATGTACGATTGCATGTACACCGTCCGTGAATACTCTTTCCAGGGTCGACCCAAATACGTTCTAACCGTATAGTTACTCGAAACAAGATCATCAGCGGGCTTAATCGTACAGTTTTGGATCGACGTACCTGTGTTCTGGTTCGGATCAGACCGGCCTTGTGCGGTGATGGCATTGAACTGGTTCGGCATTGGTTTTCTCGGATATAAATTACAATTCTGAAATACCACTGCCGCATTTCCAAATATAAAATCGACCGTTCCATAGACATCGCATC